AAAAGGCTTACTTATGTTCAGCTGACATTTAACGTTGGACAATTACAATAAAATTATTTAGATCGCGATTTTTTGGATTTTACGAGTTACTTCGGCCTCTATAATATTTAAATTTATTAGAAACTTTCTGAACGGTCATATTGAAGTTTGGATTTCAAGAAGTTTAATCAAAAATGGCAAAAAGTTCTGCAGGAAAAATTATTAAAATTTAACTCGATGCCAGTCAATGTATCTGAACAACCGTAAATTAGTTAACCTAACGTTTATTCTCAAGGTTATACATGTAACGTGGTTTTAAAGACATTAATTTAATTATAGGATACTAACGATAGAATAAACTATATTCTCGAAAATTCGAACTTCGATGGTCAGTTATTGCCAGCCATTTCTATGCAGCGGCATAAAAATCAATTATCTTGATTATAATTTCTTGATTATTATACCATAAACTGATAAAGCAGTATTTCGTCATTCTAATTACCGATTAACGAATATTCAGAAATTTCATTTAATACTCTTACAAATTCTTACCAGAAAATATACTTTTAACAACAAAGCCATTAAATAATGCAGATGTATCTGTATAATGTATATATTTTTTATATCAAACCATCAGCATAGAAAGGAATGCTGAAGGGACCGCAACGGCTGGGACGAAAATATGCACGTTCTCATAGGCGAGCAGCTGTGAAAATTTTGGAACAATTAGAAGAAAGATTAGAATACCATCAGAGGCGTATACATACCACACCATAAAAGAATAGGTACGACTGTGGTATGCTTACCATCGGCGGGTGTGGTACGACTGCCTCACCGCCCTCACGTGTGACTGGCTTGATCACAAAAGGGCGGGAAACAAGCATAGGTCATGCAGTGCTATGTAACGTCTCCCGCGTATGTCTGTATGTACATACATACATCACTGGTCATTTATGTAATGCATGTATGTCTGTATCTATCTATATACATATGTATCTATTAGTATGTAGCGAACCTAGAAATTACGACTTTTAAATAAATATATCCTTTTTCCTCTGCCTTGGCAACACCGTTAGGAAGTTTACCTCGCGTTCTAGTTTGTCCCTTAGTCAGTATAGCCCAGCCGATCCACAACAGCAGGTTAGTTAAGATTTAGGTCTCTAAGATAAGTTTCTTTGTTTATATGCATAACTGGTTATATTGTACTATTATTTGCCTCATCATGGATACTTATAAGACATACTTCTCGAACAGGTTCCCACATTGCCAAGGGTATTATTTCTATTATTTCTATTTATACTGTTATCATTCCTTATTCTTTGCCGTATCAAATAAATTCACTTGATCCAGTTTGATTCATTTCCGTACTCGTAATTTCCTCACTGTGCGGGTAACTTACGGCTGTTACCCCACAATTGGTGACCCCAGACTAAGTTACTTTTCAATACAGTAAACTTGCTCCTTACCCCCAGGGTAAACTAACTTTAAAATTAGTACGTCCATCTTAATTTTCGCATACCCTTGGCAACCTAAGCTTTCATCACAGCAGCAGCAGCAGCAGTAGCAGTTACGGTGGTCGAGGTGATCACTTCTTGTCGACATGGAGGTCAAAGAGCAGAATATTACCGAAGAGCGCGTTTGTGCAGCCGCGGAAGTGCAAGTTCCGGAGTGGACGGATGGCACAGCGGCCATTTATTTCAAGATCCTCGAAGCTCAATTCACCATCAAACGTATAACAAGCTCGAATACTAAATTCTGCACCGCTCTGACCAAGTTACCTCCAACACTTCTCGCTCGACTACCTGCTGCCATAATTGACTCAAATGATTATGAAGAATTGAAAGCTGCTGTTTTATGTCAATATGAAGCAACCAAACCGGAAATTTTCGAAAAACTTATCCGAACCACGACTTTTGGCGGCCGACCATCCATCTACCTTTACATTAACTATGCGACAAGGTACAGCTTTACAACTATTAATCTCAAAGAAATTATAATATCTCTCAGCTTGGAGGTTATACACTATAATATTATCTAGTCACTACAGGCGTGTCCCCCCTACCCCTAAAACCCCCGGTTCCCCACGGGTCCCTCATTGTCGTTTTCTATAGAAAATATATAAAAAAATCGGTACCGCCAAAAACGGATTTCAGATTCCTAATCTACACCCCAAAAACCATATAATTAAAAAAAACACCCTTTTTTGGATGCACTTAATCTAAAGTAATACTCTAAATTTTATTAGTAGTAGAGAGAAGGTGAACCATTTTATTAGTAGTGAATAGATGGTAAACTATTTAGTAAGTATTAGTAGAAGATAAAATTTTTATACGTTTGAAATAGAGATTAAACTATTTCGTCTTGGAGTTGGTGGGCAAGAAAGCGATCCCGCCAAGCCCTGTGTTCGCGATGATGCGATTTAACATTCACTGCATATCCTTCAATACCGTATCCATGATAGTAATGCAAAACGGACGGACAGACGGACTGACAGGCAGACGGACGGACAGACGGACGGACGGACAGACGGATAAAGTGTAATATTAGAGAGCGCATTTTCTCGTCGACGAAAACATGAAGTCACGGACTGACAGACAGACGGAGACGATTTAGACTGACCTATAAATAATGAAACAAATACAAAGCACATTTCATCCAAAGGTAAGCGAATGACCGCAAATTATATACCCTAAAGTTTATTCTCAAAAATATATATTTACTGTGCTTTTAAAGACATGTCATTAATAATAGGATAGAATAAATTATATTCTAGAAAATTGAAATCAAAGATAGGAGATCTGAAAATGCAACGAATATTAATTACAGGAAGACAGTCGAGAACCGTGCCTCTGGCAACTGAACGAGGTAGCTGCAACCGGCGGGGCAGCAGCCATGGCTGAACAAGGAGTCAAACGTTTAGGACAGTTCATGGTTTGACAACAAGCTCTCGACTCCCGTGTTGGTGATTTATTATATTTTATTATTACATAATAAAATTTATTAATAAATGAATTTTATAATATATGAATATGAAAAAAGGCTTACTTATGTTCAGCTGACATTTAACGTTGGACAATTACAATAAAATTATTTAGATCGCGATTTTTTGGATTTTACGATTTACTTCGGCCTCTATAATATTTAAATTTATTAGAAACTTTCTGAGCGGTCATATTGAAGTTTAAATTTTAAGAAGTTTAATCAAAAATGGCAAAAAGTTCTACAGGAAAAATTATTAAAATTTAACTCGATGCCAGTCAATGTATCTGAACAACCGTAAATTAGTTAACCTAACGTTTATTCTCAAGGTTATACATGTAACTTCGCCTCACAGAAAGCATCGTTGGCAGCATAGCCGAAGTTTCTGGAAGGTTGACTGCGTCGCCGAAGCTTCGGGAAGATTGGTAAATGGCGTCGGCAAGATCTTCGAAAGAGTAAATTTGTCTGCTAATTCGTCTCCGAATATCTTTCAAATCTTTATCACTCTCTGCACCATGGTTACTTGGAGCCTTAAGATATCATTCTAAATCATAGTGGCAAACCAGTGGTTTTCTAGAATCAGTTCATTTTTAATTTCCTCATTTACTCAAGATTTTAACAGATTTCTTATGTATGATGATTCTGGTATCCAAGATACTTTACTGGTCTACTTATAGGACTCAAAAATGAACTTGAGGAAGAGTCTAAAAAACTCTCTGCTTTGCCACTATGTTCTAAATCATTAGTAGTAAGTAAGAATTAAGAAATTTCAAATTTTGTGAACAATAACCCATGAAACTCACCAACAGAAGGACTGTGATTGTTGTTGTCTCTGACACTGACAGGACAACTGGAAGAGGAATCTTGATCCTTCTGTACTTTCAGAGCAGCATGATCAACTGGACACTTGCCAGAAGCTGTATTTGCTTGAAATTGGTGCGTGGCCAGTGAGGCGGCAGCATTTTCAGCAGCAGACAAGGTATTACCCATAATAATTTGTAGTTAACAGGCTGCTTTCAAAATCGGATTACCTATTCTTATTCGGAGATGTTATTGACTTAGAAAACAATAATAACCAAAACTATAAGAACCTACAGTAATTGTAAAACTTTGATATTAATAGGTAAGAAATAATATCCGATTCTACACGTTCGATTAAATTAAAACTCTTTAGCTGTTCAACTAAACCGAGCATGAGAGCGTGGAAAACAGAATAGAGAGGTTTGGTTAATGATCCGGATTGAGCGGAACTTCTCTAGGAGCGGAATGTATGAAAAACATTCTTGAAGATTTATATATGAAATTTGTTGTATGAAAATTGAATAAATATGAATTTTCCTAAAGGTTTTATTGTTTGAAAGATTCACTTTTATAAATTAATAGTGTTTCCTTCACTTATTTAGTATCTGTATGGAAGTAAAAGGAATTTTTTTAAAGGCCTCCCACACTCACCATTCCAACAAAAAAAAAAAAGAATTGATTTTATTAATTAAAAACAGGGAATTGTTCCTTGAAAATTTTTCTTGCTTGTTTATGACGAATTTTACATCGCATATGTATATATATATATATATAACTTGAAGCAAACGTCAACATGTCATAGACATGGCAACATTGGAGTTAGTATATTTTTGCCTTCTAAGCGACCAAGCCATTGAAATCCACATTTTACGGCCGGCGTGAAGTTATTCGCATCAATTGTGTCTGCAAAGCCAACAGAAAATTTACCAGATAGTCGATTGTTTGTAGCTTCTTACGTTCCGTCATCATCCACATACGCGTAGCCGAAAACAAGTAAGTTGCGCCATTCAATTGTGACGGTGACATGAAGGTGTGGCCAAGTTACGCCACGGTAAGTTGACGCGCTACAATACATGTTGGGGAAGATCTTGTTTGTAATGGCGTCGGCGGTTGACCCACTTCGATACGTGCTTGGAAAAACTAGTACGCAAGATTGTGGGCGGAACTTTTCAAAACATCCGGGGCAACCATGAAATAAATAGAAGGGTTTGGGACGGATCAAGCATAGTTCCGATCGAAGCGTAGGCGCAACGACACTAGCTTTAGGTTAACTTACTTGGGCGACGAACAATCATTATACGAGTTTAATTCTTCTGCAATAACCATCGAGATGACCTGGGTTAAGGTGAGGCATCGTTACTCATATGTTCAACAGTAATTTTGTTGATATAAAAATTTCTACAATTGTTGATATAAAAATTTGTAAATTTGTCGTCTAATAAGAAGCCAAATATTAACCATAATTTTCATTATTATACGCACACGATTTTTCATTACGAGATCAAGTACTCTCGTATTAGCTCTATCAGCCTCTATTCAACACGAAAGCTTAATCATCTGGCAGACTGGCATGCATAAGTATGCTATCTAAGATAGCAAAGTTGCTTGAACAATGTATTTTAACTCGATTCAATGGCGCAAAGCACACGCAACTGTTAAAATATCAAACAGTCATCACTAATTTTCTATTACAAATTATTCGGCGAACTGCCTTTCGCTTTCAGCAAAACGTATTCAATCTGATTATTTGGACATAAAATCACTTATATATAGTCACACGTACTATGACCACCAACTCAGTCAAGCTGCCAACAACAATATTCTTCATTCCCTATTCAATTATCTCTATTCAACAACAATTTTCAACTCCTTTAAATTTACAGGTAGTGCTTGTGGTTTGGGCTGTGGTTGCTACCACCATGGTTCAGGGGAGACATTCTAAGACCCAAGAAGAGTTGATGGTACCTGATGGCGACCATATGCAAGGTAGCGAGTCGCAACAATTTTCTGCGGTGGTGGAGACTCCGCTGCAAACTGCAGCAACTGGTGAGGTTGAATTGATTTTGCCGGTACTATTCGATCAATTTTTAAACTCCACGTTTTCGCACTGACATAAATTTGTCAGCGAAAAAGTTGGGTATGAAATAACGTGAAATGTATAAAATAAGTAAAAATATGACTTATTGACCTTTAACTAAAACCATACTAAATTCAGGGCTTCAGAAAAAGAAGAAATCATTCGAACAAATAACTCGTAAAGGAATAAATTGGTTATAATTAATAGAGTATTATTGTGACTATATGGGACTCAGGCTTAATCCAGAATAAGTGTAGTTTAACTGATTCAAAAATTAAACTGTCTCCTGCACATGGAAAGTTCAGTTTTTTTTTAAGGAGAAGTTTCGATAAATTTTACTATGTCATCCATTTATAATTTTTGGCGTTGATAGAATGTTATGATTGAAATCAGGATTTTTTGGTGGCCACCACGGCCACCACGGCCATCATCACAAAGGCTTCCTAAAGAAGCACGGCCATAAAGGCCATAAAGGCCACCACGCCAAACACGGCCACAAGAAACATCACAAAGGACATTTCGGCAAAGGCCACAAAAAGGTAAATAAGAAATGCTAATACGAAAGAAAATATTGCAATTGTTTTTTTCAGACTATGAATGACTTCTCCATTAGCTGAAAAAACGGTTAAAACTATCAAAATCGGTCCCATCTTATTTCTTAAAATTGTCTTAAATTAAACAATAAATCTGAATTACAGTTTTTTTTAAGTGGAAATTTAAGTTTATTTGATGACATTCAAGGGCTTCTTCGACAACTTCGGCAAGAAATATGGCGGTCACCACCACAAGAAAGGTCACCACGGTCACTTCCACAAAGGCGTCAAGGGCCGCAAAGGCCACAAGAAAGGCGTCAAAGGCTTCCACAAGAAAGGACACAAGAACAAGGTATATAATTTCTATTACTTTATTATTCTAGTAAATGCTTACATTTGCATTTATTACAGATGTTAATACACATAAGAAGCGAGTGTGACCAAATTTCATTAGTAAAATTCTCTTAACTCCACCAGAGATTTAATTCGTAATAACTTCAGGGTGTACGTGTTATTTTTCCCATTAAATATCGTATTCAAACACTCTCAGGATAATTTTTTTCAATTATATATGTGGATTTTTGTGGATTAAATGCGTGAACGTCTTGCCTCAGGGTTTCCACAACGTGTACCACAAGGAGGAGTTCGGCCACAAGAAGAAGTTCTGGGACGACAAGGACCTCAAGAAACACTTCAAGAACTACGACCATCTCCACAAACACTTCAAGAAGGGCAACGCTGGCCACCACAAGGGCAGCAAATATCATGTAAGTCATTAATTTCGGATTAATATTATTAATAGTCCATAGACGGTATTAAAGTTTATTCAAAATGTAATTTCTGTTTCAAATTTAAATGGGGATTTTATTGTTGTGATGAGCGACGCAGGGTATAAAAAGAGCAGCAAGTTCCACGAGAATTTCTAGCGTTTAAATATACTTAAGCTTAGATGGAAAATTTTATTTGTATGGAGATATCCAAGAACATGAAAATTAATACAGTTTTTTAAATTTAATAGTCAAAATTAATTCATTTGATCGCGCATAGCCACGCACAATTGATGCAATTATTTTGATTGAAATAGAGCAATGAGTTCCAGGTTTTGTAGCTGTGTAAATTAATTATGTATTATTAATTAACTTCTAATTAACTAAGGGCGGGAAGCACCACAATAAGCACGGCAAGTCCGGTCACCACAAGAAGGGCCATCACCATCATCACGACCAGGGCCACAAGAAACACTACGGCCACAAAGGCCACCACGGCCTCCACAAACATTATGGCCACAAAAAAGGCCATCATGGCCATCACGGTTTTTATTAAAGGACTTATTTACCTAAACATTGGCCGCGTTTGGCCATTTTTGGATGCCAAAACCAGATGTATCTCTACATGTAATTTTTTTGAAAACAGACATTGTTTGAATATATTCCATTGGTGATGCTAAAATTCACAATATTTTTCGTAACCAACTCATGCAATATCTTTGAGTGAAATACCGTACGCGTTCCCTCAACAAAATCAACTCTCGCCTCAACAAAATTTACTGATGCACGCCATATTTCTAACGGTATCGAAAATTGTTGCCTTTCAACGAAGCTTCTTTACCTAACGTTATTTTAGGAGGCTCAATATATCTCCAAGGATCAATATATATATCGGGTGTAATCCATTAAATTTATCAGTTTAGGGCTGTAGGCGTTCTCGGCAACGGCACGCGTAGGACGCATGGCTTTTCGATCAGGTTAATGCGAGTCTGGATGCACAGGTTCATTCATCTTGCGGTTCGCTTAGAATATTCGCGTGATGTATGCTTCCATTTATCTGACTGACGCAGGCTAACTTGAGAGGCACTTGTTACGGTATTGTTTAAAATTATTTACAGTCTTTGGTGTGTTGTAGAAGAGGGTTTTGTTCATCTCGTATGTTAAATAAGCATGGCCATTATACAGATTTTAATTATTATAAATGTTTTCAGCTAATCAGGAAGTTTATTTAATCATCTGTCATTAGCGAAAATAATTTAAGGATCGGTTCCATTTCTCGACTGTATTATGTCACTGTTCATTACAATGTTTCAACTCGTGCTGTTTAAATCTAATGGAAATTTTATGTTTCGAATTCTTCTATTTTTTTATTCATGTTTTACTTTTTTTTGTTCATGAAAGAAAATGTCTACAGTCTTTAAACGCATAGACTTGAATATTGTTTATTTTACAATGATTGACCGTTGAAAATAATTTTTTATATGGAAAATGTGTTGATACGTATAAGATATTTTATTGACGAGACGAACTTTTTGTTGTTTTAAATGCGATCGAATTTCGTCAGACGCTACACGAAAACGGATTTTGTAGAATAGCCGCAAAGAAAAATTGCAATTGTTTCGCATTTCCTGTTGAAGTGTGGCGCATGCTATAACTTTTATTGATTTTCGAAATATATATTTATTTTTTTGCAAATATTTTGTTGTACTTCCTTTCATCCCGATGAGCTCTATTATTTCTTCAATATATATATATATATATTTAAAAAATTAATGGTAAGTAATGATCAAAAAGTAATGATAAAGCCTGAATACTAAATCATTCCACATCATCAGTTTAATTATCAAATCAGAAAAATTACGAAGGAGTTCTCAGATAATTTATAAATAGTATGTATTAATTTGCAAACATTTTCAGCCGAACATATGCCAACATTTTCATTAATCGAAATGGCAGATAGGTGGAAATTCATGGTGACATCGACATTATTTCAGTTATTTCATATCATCTAATTTCATCGGAACACTGTCCTTTCTATACAATTTATACTTCAAATCAAACTGCCTTCATAGTTAAAATGTGCGAATCTTATTATATATTTTTAGAGGAAAATTCGTGCATTTTATCGATAAATGGAATTTCCAGAAAAAAACAGCCAAGCTTATCTCACCTTGGTCGACTCTATAAACTTTTCGCCTGAACTTTACATTACGCTAATGAAAATGGCTTGCATTCTTGACGCCAAAATGAATAATATAGATAATTCTAGAGGATTAAATCTCCGACTCTGTTCAAAATCAATCAATATATGCAGAATAAATAGCATATTACAGTTAATAGAGACCCTCATCTGCCAGTGGAGGTAGATTCGTTGTGATGTTATCATTAGAACTGTAATATGAGAGTGTCAGCATGGAACAAACTCCGGGAAATGAGACTGGGGGAAAGATGCACGCAGGATGGGGGAGAGATGCACGCAGGATGGGGGAGAGATGCACGCAGGTCAGGCTGGGGGAGAGATGCACGCAGGCTGGGGGAGAGATGGACGCAGGCTGGGGGAGAGATGCACGCAGGATGGGGGAGAGATGCACGCAGGCTGGGGGAGAGATGCGCGCAGGCTGGGGGAGAGATGCACGCAGGCTGGGGGAGAGATGCACGCAGGATGGGGGAGAGATGCACGCAGGATGGGGGAGAGATGCACGCAGGATGGGGGAGAGATGCACGCAGGGAATGTCGCAACAAGGGTGGCGCTTCCTCGAGATGTGGTCGACTAAAATGATGAGCAGCAGCAGCTGTTAAATCATCAATCGTAAAAATGAAAGTTGTTAGGCTAAAAATCACATGATAGAGTTGTTGTTTGTTGGCCGAAATATGGTCAATGATTGAATCGTTTTAACAGCTGCCAATTATATAGAGTTTTTATTCAATTTGTAACAGCTGTAAATTATATACAGTTGTTATCATATAGCTATGATATCCTATGTATACAGTTTTATCCAGTATCTGCGGACCGACAACTGTAGCTGCAGCTGTAGCTAGGTTTCAAACTGCATACAGAGCTGCAATAGAAAAGTCATATACAAAGTTGTACTGAATAAAATTGTGCATTGCTGCAAAATCGTAATAGTTTTTAACAGCTTTTCATGCACTGCAGCAGAGGGAAGAATTGCATAGTAAAAATTGCATACAGGCAATAAAGCTTCTGCACGTTCAAATACACGGAATGGATTCGCAAAATAAATATATTCTTGCTGTAGTTTTTTTTGCAGAGATGTAAATAGAAACTGGGACGAGCTCCTGCACTGAGTTTATGAACAAGAAAAAAAACAGGAACAACAGCTTGCAGTTGCTGTTGCGCTGCGAACAGTTGAGCAACGGTCCATTGTTCGCGAACATCCGACTTCTGCTTGAAGCTCATCGTCCAGTTTTCGCTTCATGTGTCGGTCTAACGATTGAAGGTCTTCGTACATTTCACGTAACTATAAAACTACAATATCATGGAATTTCCAGAACAATAGTCGATAAGAAATGGAGCACACTAATAGGTAAATGTTAGGTTGAACGATTTTCACATATTTTGAATCTTATAAATATTGATCTAAATTTTCGAGGCGCTGCTTTTCCCGTGAGTGATAACCAGTTTGTTAACTTCAGACTACAAGTCAACATTAGTAGCAGAATTACCCGAGGTAATGTTTCAATAGTTTTGCTCGAAATTTCCTAATATATGACATACAACCGAATTAATGGTTTGAAAGAGCGATATTGTTCAGCGACATCGTTTTTCCAAAGTCCCTTTCAAATTGGATGCATCAACATCATGATTAACTTAACCAGGCAGAACAGGTTATGCAGATTAACAGGTATATCCTAACTGGCTCGAAAGTTGATTATTTTTCACGTTGTTATCTCGAAGATCCTGCAATGAAATGCAAATTTTGATAACGTTTCAAATTTGGACTTTTCGTCGGTATAGAGCCTGCTAAATTTCTATAACTAAACGTACATCAATCTAGTATCGTTCACATGTATAAAAAATTAGTTTGGCAACGCCTCAATTCAATGTAAGTTGAGGATGTGCTATCGATTAATATCCTTGTTTTTGACGTAATTGTGGCGAATATTCTCCATTTTTAAATTAAAAATTATAACTCAGTACTCACTGCAGTGAGTGACAGAGAGCGCATTTTCTCGTCGACGAAAACGTGAAGTCACGGACGGACAGACGGACGGACGGACATGGCGAGCACAATAAAGCATTTTTTTCCATAAATGAGAAAATGCGCTATAAATTGATTAATATTCGATTTATTTTTTTGGATGATAACAATTTTCTCAGAGTGTAATTAGATAAATTTATTAATTTAGGCAATTAATGGAAAAATTTTAAGATCGTCATTACAGTGATTCTGATGGAGTATCGTAAGTACATTAGCATTATACCTAGCTACAGATCAGGCTTCCGTGTTATTTTTCATAGCTTATTTTTAGGGCAGCTAGAAGATATTTTGTGCAAATTTTAATTCCAGAGCTCAAATATCTATTTTTTCATTTAGTGAAAAAGTAATATACTTCGGTACTGTTATAAATAAATTGTATTATGAATACTTTGACAAGCATTCAAATGCAGAAATCAAAACAATAGGTAGGTAGTTCCAATTAAAATAATCGAATTGAATCAAACATGCTCATGGCATCGTCAATATTAGTAAAATGCTTGTATCTGGTGGTCATTCTATAAAAAAACAATGAAAATTTTATATATAACACAATATATTTCTAAGTTGTCTTTTTAAATATAATAAATATTTTATATTGGTTTGTACATTCCTCTACGAATAAATTGCATTTTTTTCACCAAACATCTAATCCACTTCAACATTTGTATCGTGAATATCATAAAAACCATATCATATTTTAAAATAATTTTTTCCTTAATTTTCGTTGACAATTTTAGGGAAGTTAAATGTTCTGCGCTACCAAAGTTGTGTTGGGGAAAGCATAAGGTTAAAAGGAATGGACTTTAAAATCAGAGTTTCCCGAAAAGTTGAGAGCAACTTTTGAAAAAGTGGTTCCGAGTGATAACTTTATGGTGATTTCGTGGAAAATTCTTGTGTGGGACATTTTTACGACATTTTTTCAGATATCCATCATAGTTCGAGAGTAACTGTGGTTCAAGAAAAAATTGATCATTATGTCCCATTGAAAATGGAGACCCTTGAAAATGGAGACATGAAATCTCTAGCAACAAAATAGGGATTTAAATTTCTAAACGCAATTCGTTTCTCGAATTGCGAGTTTGGGTGAACGATATATCATTGATATTTGCAAATGTGTTTTTTTATGAACAGAAGAAAACGAAGTAAATATTTTAGATGCGGGAGCGGCAACTGAAGCTTAATAATATTGTTTCACATTTTAATGTTTGTAATTCTAGAGTCACTGTAGCTATCCCAGCTGGATTAATCTGACGGCAATTTATATTAATTAATTATTAATATAAATTGCTATGGTACGAGAAAAATGCATAAATTATACACAATTAACATTTGTAGGCTTCGAAATGAGGTACTTGGTAAAAAAATGTTAATATCTTTTGAAATCTTGATTACTAATGAGCCTCTTCATTAATTTAGGTATTGTATAACATGTGCATACCATGGATATTGTATATTACTTTAGAGATAAAATATATATAAAGATAAGCCTGAACTACCTATTTTACGATACATCGATAATATGTCAATGACCCAAGGAAAGTCTGTTCTATAAAGAAGGAATTGAGATAGTAAGCAAATAATTTCTCTATGATTTCCTAACTACAGGGTGCGGCGCGGGAACTTACTTATTTGAATTGCGCGCCACGTGGCGGCCATTAGTCCTAGGAAGGTGGCGCCATGCGCAATATGGTGCGCGGGCTATGAAGTTTTTCGTCCACTCAGTTCAGTTGCGACCATGCAGTTCAAGATGTAATATTCAAGAATTAAACTTGTAAGTAAACCCAACGAAACTTTAAATGTAGCTCTTTGTAAAAAAGAAAGAATTAAAACGCTATCTTTAATACTTTTTACTTTGTGATTTTTTTAAAAGAGTAAGTTCCCACGCCGCACCCTGTATAATAGTTGATCTCCAAATGGTAAAATCAGAAAAATTTATATTATTTTGCAACAGGTGTATCATTATTAATAACGATGAATTTAATAATGAGAATTTTAAGCTTGGCAATTTCATTACTTTGCGCAACTATGTGGCTGAATCTGTGCCTTTATTTTTTTCCATATGCTACACATGTCAAATCGGATAGCTGCTTCTCTTCAAATCAGCACCTTTAAAAATGTAATTAGATAATCCAATTTCATTCAATTTGAATTTTTGACAGGTATAAAATATACGATCTTTGTAAAAATAAGTTAGACTAACTTTGAGTACAGCCTGAACCTTTACCAGATCACTAAAGTTCAATAGAGACCGCCACATGTGGACAAGTCTGAGAAACTCGGGTGTCGAACGTACGTAAGTGTGTCAAACAATTGACGTAAATGCTTGCCTAACACAGGAACGTTACAAACTCTCTTGCGGATTTTGTATTTTTCGGATTTTTTTCTCCTCTTGCGTCTGCTTTGAAACATTGAGGAAGAATTCTGTTGGTGTAACTAGAGTTCACCCACATGGAGGCGGAGCTTCAAGCACGGCTATATAAGGTCAGCGCTCGCTAAAGTTTGCATCAGTTGCGAGCTGGTGCTTGCCAAGGAGAGGAGTACCAGAGCAAACATGGCTTCTAGAAAAGTAAGTCAAGATTTTATGAAACGCTCGTTATTACAATTTGTTTTGAGCTATAGTTACTTTATGTATTATGTTATTTCTAGGCATAATTTTTGATGTTTCAATTATTGGGAGGGTAATGTCCAGATGATAATCTAAATGCATTCGAATCTCAAGTGCTATCGAATCTCTCAACGAATTACAAAGTATGACTTTTACAAATGTGTTAAATCCCTGATAAATTTTAGTGCTGAATTTGTCAAGCATTCCCGGGTGAGTATTTTGTTACTGGCGATTTTTTTCGTAATGAGATCAAACTACGTCGTAAATTTAACGTTTGAAAACGGAGCAAACTTCACCTTTGTCATCAGCCGCTCATACTTGCGCAGGTGTGGTTGGCAGTATGGGCTGCAGCTGTATTGTTTACAGCTGTAGCAGCTTCATCAGCTCGTCGTCATCAGACTGACGAGGACAACACGTCAGTAGTCCTGACGAGCGCTGACAATGCCGCTGACTTTTCAGACCCGCTGAGCTCCAGCGCCTCTGTCCAGCACTCGAAAGTCGTGACCATCCCGCTCATGGCGGCGGCCGGAGGTACAAAAATTATTCCCCTCCTAACTAACCTTTTGTTCCCTTTAACTAGCATTGGTCACCTCATTAATATCCTCTAAACTAACCTTGGTTCATTTTTAACCATCCATACCGTGTGAAAATTTACAGACGCAGCAGCTTCTGATTTATATTACCAGAAACTAGGGCTACTCTAAATTTTGTTAGGGTAATTACCTCTTAACTACCTCTTTGTTCACTCTAAACCACCCTAAGGTCCCTCTTAACCACCATTACTTCTCCCTCAACTACACTTAGTTCCCGCTGAATTACATATACGGTACCTTGAGTACGAATTAATAAGTCGTCCAATTTGTACTTCTAGTACGTGCTTCGTGAAAATATTCTATGCGAACTTTTCATGCAGGTGGGCGTCTCATATATCATAAATAGCAGCATTTCATTTCATTGAAAAACGTGAATTTTTCAAATTCAAGTAATAAAATTAATAATTAGTATGTTTATCTTGCATCTGAAATATCAAGTCCACGGAATTTTAAATTTAACTATAAACGCCAAATAATGCATGAAATGCATTCAAAATCAAATAAATTCATGGTCAGTAGCATCAGTCGTGTGAATTTTACTTGTAACTACATCAGGTCATCACAGCCATCACGGCCATCATCACAAAGGCTTCCATAAAAAGCACGGCCATAAAGGCCATAAAGGCCACCACGCCATACACGGCCACAAGAAACATCACAAAGGACATTTCGGCAAAGGCCACAAAAAGGTGAGCTCACATGTGGGGAAAATTTACTGGAATATATGTTTGCATTATTGAACTTTATTTTTCTGTAAGGGTACCCAACCCAAATTGAATATCAAATTACTGAAAATGAAGTAGCCATCAAGGGCTTATTTTAATAAGTTTCATGGGGATAGTTACGTCATATATTTAATCCATTACTTAAAATAATTATAAATCTAGTTGTTGTTAAAAGTATTTGAATAATGGCAGTGATCTGAACACTACCAACGATTTTAATAACCATTGAATAGATGTGATTTTATTAAGCATTGAATAAACGGGATTTTATCAATCATTGAATAAATGTGATTTTATTAATCATTGAAAAAATGTGATTTTATTAACCGTTGAATAAACCGGATTTTATCAATCATTGAATAAATGTGATTTTATTATCCATTGAATAAATGTGATTTTATTAACCGTTAAATAAACCGGATTTTATCAATCATTGAATAAATGTGATTTTATTAACCATTGAATAAATTTGATTTTATTAACCGTTGAATAAATGTGACTTTATTAACCGTTGAATAAACCGGATTTTATCAATCATTGAATAAATATGATTTTATTAAGTATTGAATAAATTTGATTTTATTAATCATTGAATAAATTGAAGCCTTTATGTCACCCAGGGCTTCTTCGACAAAGGCGCTAAGCACCATGGAGGTCACCACCACGCCAAGCACTACAAAGGCCATCACAAACACAGCAAACACGGCAAGAAAGGCCACAAGAAAGGCTCCAAAGGCCATCACCACAAAGGACACAAGAAGAAGGTAGGATAATGCGCTACATTAATTCAACGTTATTCATCATTCAACTTTGGTTATTCCTGAATAATTGGTTTGCTCTTTATCATTGAATATCATAATATCATTTTTTAAGTAATACATATTCTTAGAAGAATATAAATTTTCTGCAGGAGCGAGAAGGCTATCGGCGAGGAAACTATCAATGCATCAACAAATAATCCATTATCATAAAGATTTCTCTTGGATAACGTAATTCATTGTCATTAATTTTCGCTTCGGTCAACATTTACTGTAGCATGAAACATGCGCAGCAGATGATGAAGCTGACATTAATTATATGAGACCTATATTAATTATATAATTAGTCCATATAGCTCAGTTCTCGCTAAATTAAACTGCGATGCATTGACATTCTGCTCTATTAATTTCAGATTATCATTATTCGCGGCCTTTATTTTTCGCTTTTAATGTTTCTTATTATTCATGTTGACCAGCCCTCAATTCGTGTTATTAATTAACATTACAGTCAGCTGCATTAGATGTCGATTTCTCTTATATAATTAAAAAACTTCATTGTCCGTGATTACATTCATATATAAATTGATAACAGATGGAGTATCTATATCTATATATATGTATATATAATATATAAATAAATATATAAATTTAAACCTATGGACTAAAAAGCTATTTTTCATGATGTTTTAGGGCTTCCACAACCTGTACCACAAGAAGGAGTTTGGCCACAAGAAGAAATACCACGACGAGGGCAACAAAGTGAAGCATTTCAAGGACCACAAGAGCTTCGATAAACACTTCAAGAAACACCACGGAGGGCATCACAAGAGTGGGAAATTCAAGGTGTTTATAGCATGGTTAATTAAGACTTGAAGAGTAATTCAAAGTTATTCTTAGATTTCGCATAGAAGAATTTGTTATAAGATGAATATATGTCGGCTGCTCGTAGTATTGGTGGTAATTTTCACTGTTATTGGGATATGTCGAAAAATTTTATGTCTAATTTATACTGAGGGTTTCAAACGTCATCACTAAATTACAGGGCGGCAAGCACCATAAGAAGCACGGCAAGTCAGGTCACCAGAAGAAGGGCCATCACCATCACCACGACAAAGGCCACAAGAAACACTACGGCCATAAAGGCCACCACGGCCACCACAAACATTATGGCCACAAGAAAGGCCATCACGATCATCACCACGGGCATCACTGATCTCAGCTGCTATTATAATAATATTCCGATCATTTTCAACAGGATATTCAGTCCAGCGTCAGAAATTCAATGTTTGCTGGTGTTTTTCCTGACATTTGATGCAAAATCGATATTTTTACTGAAAAAATTTTCGACTTTCAATAATTTAGATAATCGTTAATAATTCAGTGCTGCCTTAGTGAACTTTTCAGCCTCAATTTCTAACGTCAAGATTTATTTTCAACTATTTATTTTGAACAAATAAACTCCCTCGCATGGACAAATTACGCTTTATTTTAAATGTTATGACTTAATAATTAATTAAATTAATTAATGAAATTAAATTAATTAATTAATTAACTTAATTATGATTAATTAACGAAGCAAAGTAACAGCTCCTGAGGCCCGCGAGATTCCCTCCATGTATCGTGACTGAACGAACGAACAAGATCGAAATGACGCATTCTTTTAGAATTTTGTGATGTATTTTGATAATTTTCGTATTTTACATTTCGTGATAATAAACATATTTTACAGTAGATTTTCAACGGATTGCTGAGAAACGGCAAAACAATCCGAAACCGATTTTTAAATATTTCCTTTTTCATAGTATAATTTGTCCATAAATTTATATTACCGTACTGGTACGAACGAAAAGAATGAAATTTCTTCAATTTTGATGTTGAAATTGTGATTTACTCGCGAGCAAAATGTTATTCATTTCCAAGCCGTAAATAGGAATTAAAGTTAACTTCTACACACAAATTATTGTCACTATCTTCTTCTTTCTGATTTTTATTTTCACCATGTTCTTAAATTATTTTTATGATATATTGTTCATTGTTAATCACTTTTAAGATCAATTCAAGTATATAAAAAATGAAGTTGATTTATGAATTTCTGTTACCTTCAATAAAAAAAAGTATCGGTCAGAATTAAACCATTTTTTAGCTAGAAAAAAGGTGGTTGCACTCATTATTTATTTATAATCGAAATTCACAGTGTCGTTTAGTTTCAAGTTTTTTAATACTACAGGCATTTATTTGCATATTCATTTGTATAGAATATTGCCTAAGATTTTGTCATAAATATCATAAATCAGATGTTAATTTAAAGTACATAAATTATACCTAACGAGCTAGCAATCGATGCAATAACTGTTCGTTATCTCACTGACAACAAATAAATCAACACGAACAATCAACACAAACAAACCAACACAAAGAAATCAACACAAACAAACCAACACAATCAAACCAACACAAACAAACCAACACAAACAAACCAAAACAAACAAACCTACACAAACAAACCAACACAAATAAACCAAAACAAAGAAACCAACACAAAGAAACCAACAGAAACAAACCAACACAAAGAAACCAACACAAAGAAACCAACACAAAGAAACCTACACAAACAAACCAACACAAACAAACCAACACAAACAAACCAACACAAAGAAACCAACACAAAGACACCAGTACAAATAAACCAACACAAACAAACCAACACAAACAAACCAACACAAAGAAACCAACACAAACAACCCAACACAAACAAACCAACACAAACAAACCAACACGAACAATTGTTTGCGGATAAACGTCATTAATTCCGTATTTCTTTATTCCATATATTTCAAATATTTGCATACCTAAATTAGGTTATAATTTGATATGCAAATTAATTAGTTTGTAGACAACATTACAAGATTTAATTCCTATTACAGCTTCCATAAATGTTTGAAATGACAATAGAGAGGGAAATGTTGAACTAGACCTGATTTTGCATTCAAAAATTGCTTTAATTGAGGTACTAATTTGGACCAACGAATTGAATGCGTAAATCAGTGGAAGCTTTTCGAGCAATATGGTTACGTATATACTTATTAAACATAATGTCTATTGGAATGAGCACCTTAATTGCCAATCAGCGAGAAAAAAGTCAATGCCAGAAATTGAAATTATTTTCATATGCATAAAAGTGTCGCTTAACATGTAGTGACCAGTGGCTTCAAATGAAACATTAGAAGACAGTCTGCTATATTGGCAGACCTCTCACAGTTAATCTATTTAAAAGTCTTCATTCTCAATGAATCTCCTTCTTTGGCCACAACAAGGCCTAATTAAACAAACATATAATTAATTCATAAAATTCATTGTTTTTCCTTGTAGGTATATTATGAGACACTATTTTGAGACACATATATTTTATTACCCATACTCCTTCAATGGTAGGACTCTCTTAGGACTCAAGGCGAGGCTGTATCTACCAGCAATTCCCTAATTTTAACTTTGCATAAGCCTCATCGGTCCAGCGACAACGTATATTCTTTTACTAGAAAATGAGAGATTTACAGTGTTACAGCCCCTTATTTGTTACAACATCCGTATCTGGTACAACATCCGTACATCCTTATATGGTACAACATCCGTACATCCTTATCTGGTACAACATCCGTACATCCGTATATGGTACAACAGCCGTACATCCGTATTTGGTACAACAGCCGTACATCCGTATCTGGTACAACATCCGTACATCCGTATTTGGTACAACAGCCGTACATCCGTATCTGGTACAACATCCGTACATCCGTATTTGGTACAACAGCCGTACATCCGTATCTGGTACAACATCCGTACATCCGTATTTGGTACAACATCCGAACATCCGTATCTGGTACAACATCCGAACATCCGTATTTGGTACAACATCCGTACATCCGTATTTGGTACAACATCCGTACATCCGCATTTGGTACAACATCCGTACATCCGCATTTGCTACAACATCCGTACATCCGCATTTGCTACAACATCCGTACATCCCTATTTGCTACAACATCCGTACATCCCTATTTGCTACAACATCCGTACATCCGCATTTGCTACAACATCCGTACATCCGCATTTGGTACAACATCATTTTTAAACTTAACATACACGTGACAAACGCATGGTTCGGGACCCACACCAGCAGGAATAATCAATCACTTCATCGCCGATGATCATCAAGAACCTTCTCCGTTTGTTGATAATTGGAGATCCAATCACTATAATGTGTTGATACGATTTTAATATTGCTTCAAAACCAAACAGGTTAAGCTTGCATTCAACATTAATTTGAATATAAATGAACTGAACCACAGTGTACAGGAGTCCAAATAACAAAGGCTCCTGAAAAGACAGATGTTCCAGTTGTTTTGCTTTGAACTTGAAAGCTGGAGCGAATCTTCGCTGGCTTGTGTTTACAGAGGAAAGAGAAACAGTTTTCCCTTTATGTCCTGTTTCTTTTCTTTTCACTAACTCTACGAGATAAAGGAATTTCAAAACGACCATTTGCATACATTGTATAGCCAATTTGTGGTGGTCTCTCTGGATGGCTGGCTATGTAGGAGATCTATCAGCGCTTTGGTCTTATTTCCTTTGTATTTTAATTAGTCTTTTTTTGCGTTATCCATGCGTATTTCATGTTGAATGACAGTCATATGGAAAATATTGCTATTTATGACAGTAAATTATTGACTGATTGTGATAAAATTCTAATTTTCTCTTGAAGAGAGAGTTTGATAAGTGACGATATATTATTAATAAAAAAAGTTTGCATTTATCTATGAACTATGAGGGGGCGTTTAAATTTTGTGAGATGACCGAAATCTTTGAAAATTAATTAATGCTCAATTTGAGCGTAGTTTCTCAAACTTTGGTTTTGTCTAAATAATCCGTTTCTTTTCATTTCGAAAATTTAGGAAAACTTATATTTTGAAACTGTAGACACGGTCGTCAAGTTGATTATTACTCTCAAATTCTAGCAAAATTTGAGATCGAAGGCCTCAGAAACCGATAGCAGGTAAGAGCTGCGCTTTGGTTACCGAATTATTTTCTAATTTATTAATTTTTTCCGAACTTTCTATGCAAAAATATAATAGAACATATTAACCAGGCTCGAAATGTGCGATATAAGATGAATGGAATTTAGTTAATATCATCTCACGGTGCAAATTTTAAATTTTTTTCTAAGAAATTTAACATCTTATTTTAATTTATTATTTATATATAGACAAAGCTCTTTCATCAGATTTTGATTCAAATATTCGTCGATACCGTAATCCTGCCTCAATTAATAAGCGTATCGTCTCCGCAAAAATATATATTTATTGATAGCAAACAATAAATTCAAGCACGAGAAGACTTAGATGATTTAAATATTTTTGAGAAATTTAAGATGACTTAAAAATAAAACAGGAATACGGTAAGAACAATAAATTATTTACTCTAAGTAAAACTTCTTGATGTCATATGAAATTAACTTTTCATTTATTTTTCGATGCCTAAGTCCAAAAGTGAACTAACAATAAAATTAGATATGCGAGTGCAAACTAAAAACTTATCATTCATTATCCAAACCGATGGTTTTCAGTTAGAAACTATTTCATTTATTCGTACAAATTTTCAGGATGAATGGTTTGTCAATATTACTTTTTAAATTCACTAATAGAGCATTTTTTTACCAGGACATTATTGAGCATGGTTTTAATAAATTGGTTTTCATGGGGTAATTAATTCGTTCCGCTCGCTACTTTAAATAAGTTGAATACGTTGAGTTTTTTAATTAAAATTGCAGTCACTTAGGTGAGATATATCTCAAGTTTTGTTGTATGATATGCTCACAGAACATTGACAAAATATTTTCACTGCAACTTTTGCTTAGTATTGCTAAGGTAATTTTTACATTCACGGGGCACGCATATTTTAAATATAGTTACTTTTAAAATTAATGTAATTGCACCACGGACATCTGTGTTAATTCCGTGCAATTCGAGTACATTTTACATAAATAAATCCAAAAAATCCACTTGCTCGCTAAAAATATTTCTTCTGACTCAAATGTAATCTGTAAATCTTGTATCAAATCAAATGCAATCCAAATTAGTCCTCCTTATCTTAGGTTGCATTTCAACGAACAGTTATTCCAAGATTGATAGAGTCAAACAGATTAGCTGCAACGAGATATTCATTGGCATTCTTTATTTTATTTTTTTAATGAGTTTCCGAGACCTGCACTGACGTTTGAGATGTACTAGTGTTTCTGACACATGTGGTAATCCTTCAACAATCGCGAGGGTTACGTTCCAGACCTCGGCCGCTTTAGGGAATTGATTGACTGATAGAACTTATTTAAATATTCATATTGTGATTGTTTGGAAAGTTTTTATCGTTTTAATTGTTCAAAAATCCTTCCCACATTCCTACTGCCGATTGAGCTCCGCGGACTGTTTAAATCTGCCGGTCGACTTCCTAGAAACCAACGAACCGGGTAACATCCGAGAAAGCTTCCCCTTATTTATATTTCATGAATTATTTGCTTCATTATTTAATTGTTCTTCCCATAAACATTTCGTATAAACCCGCCATGAATGAAACCGCGGTAGATGCAGCGCGATATTGAGAGGGATTACTGGACTTATACGGTCGATCGTAAGCTGCAACATTGGATCCTATGAAGCCTGAATTATAAATCCAAGGATGTCTTCTTACCGGACCTGGAATAAATATAGAGTTTATTGTACCCTCAGTAAGATTTTCATACGTGGCATTTTTCATACAACTTCGTGGATGGAAGTTATTCAAACGTATTAACATTTGTTTTAATTTTAACTTATGTGTCTTATGCATGAATATTTTACCGAATATTAAAATAACTACAATGTTTCACATGAGGTTTTTTGTAGCGTTAACTGCAGCAAGACTAAAAGCTGAGCGCTACCGTCATTGAAAGCTTCCTGTTACTCAATATATAATATTATTCATGAATAAGGATTTCATTTCTAATAGCGATTAATTTTTATGTCAGTTGTTCATGATGCGAAAATTCTTCGACGTATAATTTTAGAATTACTCAGAAGTAGAATTTTTGCTCTATTTAATTTGAACTAAAAAAGTATTGATATAAAGTTTTGTGTTTTGAAACAGAATGTTTTTGGAAGATTGAATTTCACGTGTTATAAATTTATAAAAAATTGTCTGAAAAAATTTACTATCACGCTCACTTATCACTCATACTAGTATATACAGAACGAAAAAATTCTAGTTGTTTTTAACTCGGATAATATTTGATGTGTGCTGAATCAGTATGAATACATAGAAGGAAAACTTTACTTTATGTTCGCAATAACTCGGAAAAACGAAGAAATTTGAGTGTAAAATTGATAAAATAAATATTCCTTACTTGTTTGTTAATGTGATGGGTCATTACTTGTTAAGTGCTAATAGTCTATTAATGGGTTCTAGATGTCAGTGTAACGATATGCAAAAAATTATTACTTCACTTGAAGTGTTGTATAAAATATCGTTTTCATCACAAAATGTTCATAGAATCAAACGCTGAATGTTTTGTCGTCAAATCTTTTCAAGCACCAACGATCACGACTCAAGCGCGGAACTGATCCTATTAAAGAGATCGACGCTTCCATGAGCTGTCTGTGTGTACAGACACAGTATACAGCCAGCAGCACAAGCACAGCACAGCCAGCAGCACAAACACAGTACAGCCAGCAGCACAAGCACAGCACAGCCAGCAGCACAAACACAGTACAGCCAGCAGCATAATCACAGTACAGCCAGCAGCACAAACACATCACAGCCAGCAGCACAAACACAGCACAGCCAGCAGCACAAACACAGTACAGCCAGCAGCACAAACACAGCACAGCCAGCAGCACAAACACAGCACTGCCGGCAGCATAAACCAAGAACAGCCAGAAGCACAAATACTTGATTTCAAAGGGAGTTCTAGTTTTCAAACTGGAAGACAAAGCAAACTGTTCTGTTGATATTTACTCCTGAGAACTACAGGATTCACGGCTTTTGCTAGAAAAAATCAGGGCAAACAACTTCCGAATTATTTTCTTTCACGATTCCATACAACATTATGACTAACTTGACGCTCTTATAGCATGGGCATAAACGATAACTTACGATAACTTAACATCCAATTTGTGAATTAAAACGCATCTTATTCAACGCACTAACTGTACAGTCTTCTAAAGTGAGTGGCAAAATTTTAAACTTGCGTTAAAATTTCATCTAACGACGAGCCCTAAAATGATTCGCTACCCAACAAACGAATTTTGAATGAAAATAATGAAGCTAAGTTTAATTCACTTCCTGGAATTGTGAAAGTTACAGGAATATGAAATACACAGAGAAGATTTTTGCGGTTGGTCTTTAAATAATTGAATTTTGAAACTCAAAGTCACGATCTATAGCGAACGTGATCTCAAGTTCGCAATTGGTGGCGTGATATTCAGAGATGTGCATAACGTGCAGTCAGTATAAGTGAAATTATTGCGGTTGTAGCGGTTATATGATGACATTAATTATTGAATTTTTATTGTATTGCTAAGTATTCTTGCGAGTGCAGCTATAAATTACACATTCTTTTTTATGTATATTTTTGGTCTCATCACAGCATTTCAAGCTCCCGATTTTTTCTTGAGTAAGAGGCAGGAAATTTTCGAATGCTCGTTTCGTGTCTTCCTCCAAAAAAATAACGATCTCTTTCCGAGTGTAAACAAGCTTAAGGTAAATAATAACTTGGATTCTTGGATGCAGGAAGACGTTCGCGTGTATATAAAGAAGCGATGTTGCCGCAATCCTTCAGTTGATTGGTGGTAAACACACTAGCAACACCTCCCTTAGGAGACGTCACCATGACAAGCAGCTTATATGTAAGTAGCAGAAATAGTTTATGGGAAATACATATGGGGATTTTTATTACATAATCAAAAAGCTCATATGAAAATTTCGAGCTGCCTAAACTTCTTATAAATTAAGTGTAAAAATTTAGTGGATATTTTACTAATAAACTCGATTAGCTTAAGCAATATTAGATAACTTTCAAAAGACCACTTTATAAGTATAAATCAAATTAAGCAATCAAGTTATCTTATTCCATTATGTTTTCATAGATTAGTTTTCCGCACAGTTCCGGAAATATTATTTGAATGTTAGAATAAAAATTATTGGAGGCCAATTCAACAATTTATATTGTCCTAGATAATAATTGAAGAAACAAACAAGCAAAGAATTATTACCAAAATTCCAATAAAATAATTGTACTACCAAACCGGAACTTTTCGAACCGAGTTTGCAGGATTAAAAATGTTAAATACTGATATCTCACGATATCATTTTCAAATTGATTGAAAGATGTACCTTCTGAAAATTTGTTTTCAATTTTTTAATTTTGTCAGGCAATAAGAATTCAATCGATCTGAAATATTAATTTGCAAAATTTCGAGTTCCGAAATTTTGAAGTTTTGATTCAATCATGAAGGATACAATATTAAATTCACATTATTTATATGAAATCTTTTGTACTCCTTGTATCCTATTCAGAATAATACTAAATTGAATTCGGGCTTTGCAACAATATTCTTTCTAGAAACATATACCCGAGATACTTGTAATAAAAATTAAAATTGTTAGTGATTTATTATTGACCTCACTGCATCCACCAGATTAAAGTTACAGAACTTGGTAAACCATAGAGCTTCCCACGAGAAAAACTCCGTTTTTTTAACTTAGCGATACACACAGACGAAAGTTTGTCTTCACCATCCATTCGTTGCGTCACGTAAGCTGCTCGCTCAGTGCGCACGTATCTGCCTAGCTGCGCTCGACAGAACGTTTGATTTGCCAGCAGTCGCTTCCTGTTGTTGCACGGCCTGCTTTGTCTTTATTTGAGTGGAACGTTTTCTTTGCCTGGAGCTGCTTCCTGTTGTTGCACGGTCTGCTTTGTCTTTATTTGAGTGGAACGTTTTCTTTGCCAGCAGTCGCTTCCTGTTGTTGCACGGTCTGCTTTGTCTTTATTTGAGTGGAACGTTTTCTTTGCCAGCAGTCGCTTCCTGTTGTTGTACGGTCTGCTTTGTCTTTATTTGAGTGGAACGTTTTCTTTGCCAGCAGTCGCTTCCTGTTGTTGCACGGCCTGCTTTGTCTTTATTCATTTGAAAAGTTTTCTTTGCACGGAGCCGCTTCCTGTTGTTGTACGGTCTCTTTTGCCTTTATTTAAGGGGAACGTTTTGTTTGCCTGCAGTCGCTTGCTTTTTTGCATGGCCTGCTTTATCTTCATTTGTGGTGGAACGTTTTATATGCCTGCAGTCGCTTGCTGTTGTTGCACAGCCTGCTTTATTTCTATTTAAGTGGAACGTTTACTTTGCCTGCAGTCGCTTCCTGTTGTTGCACGGTCTGCTTTGTCCTTATTTAAGTGGAACGTTTTCTATGCCTTGAGTAGTTTCCTGTTGTTGCACAGCCTGATTTATTTCTATTTGAATGGAATGCTTTATTTGTCTGCAGTCGCTTCGTGCTGTTGCACGGCCTGCGTTATCTTTATTTGACTAAAAAATTGTTTAGTTGACGAAAATTTTATTGATTGAAATGACTACTTCCTCTTTGGAAGTAGATTAATTGTTTTAGACATTATTGACATTCCTAAATCAAATGACATAAAAAGTTTCTTAAATGTAGACTAATATTTTGAGGACTACGCTCTCCACTTCGTGACAGTTGTATCATAATACGAAAACTCTTTATTATTTGCTGTCTACATGTATGACTATTTTGAAGAATATAACGATTGGTATGTAGACATAATTAGTTATAACACTTATATGTTTATAATACAATAGAAGAATTATTGTAATTATTATTATTAATACGTTGGAATATTGAAATGACTTAGCGTAAAATAAATCTCCTTGATAATAAAATCAATGTTTTGTTGTTAATTTGCTAATTTATCATGTAAATATTCAATAATGATTATTTATGATAAAAAATGGCGGTAAATCTTGATTAATACATACCCACAGAAATTCTCTATAATTTAAAAATAAATTTTCTCGAGTCATTCGACACCGCATTGGAAAAATTAACAACCGATTTGGGAATACATGGGCACTGAAAATATTTAATATTATGAAAAAGCCAGAATAATTTTTTAAAGAATAATATGTGCACATTTCGGATCCATTCATTATAATATTTGTTGCAAAATTATATATCGCAAAAAATAACAGTAAATATGGTAAAGAATATCCTATGATATATTGCATCCGCCATGTTTTACTGGTATATTCGAGCAACCGTTATTTTTCTGTTGAAAGACTAACTATAGTAATTGTTTCTATTTAAGGAAAGATATACTCTGTGAATTCTTTCGTAAAAAATTGTTTTACTTAAGGAAATATTTACTATATGAATAATTGTTACATAAAGATTGTTTTTTAAATAATGAAAAATTTACTAATTGAATTTTGAACCGACAGAGAGTGCTGCTACTGCTGACAGCTTGGTCAGCATGCGTCAGCCAGGTAGTGAGTCAGGAGACTTCTGGAGTAGTCCTGACGGCCGACGAACTGATGACGCCTATCAGTAATTATGATTTGAGAAAATCAGCCTTTGAGTGGCCTGTTCCTGACATGGCTGTCAGCCACAGCCAGCAAGTGTCAGTTATCGTTGATGAGCCATTGCTGGTTGCTGCAGGTAATTATAAATTTGATTTTATGTCTTCTATGTGTAAACTGTATATTTTATATCTGTTTAGAAATTCATTTATTCGAAGAATAATTGCATGGTCATTTAAGCCTTAAAATTTAATTTAACTAAACTAACAAAATTTAAATTTAAATTTGACTAAAAAAATATTATATCAATTAAAAAAATAATACATTAATGAAGATTCGTGTTTTTTATCATAATATATAGACCATGCCTGAATGACACATGTGAATAGATAGTTAAATGTTGACCGCAAATACCGTAGACTTTTTCGAATTGTTGCAATATTCCACGATAGCTCCGGGAAAGTTTATGGAATATTTCACCCATTAAATTCTCGTCACATTAATTCGTATTTGCGTTTGAATCTTCTCAAATATTTTGAATTACAAGAAAATTTACTTAAAATAATAAATGATTCAATTTTTTTGCACCCATCTTCATCTTTAAAAAAATTCACAATATTAAATAAAGTTATTATAGAAGAATTCCAAAATGAGACTTTAGTTCATTAATCATGATTAATGCATATCATTACATACAGGAGAACATGGCCATAAGAGTCACCACCATAAAAGCCATAAAAAGAGTCACGGGGAGAAAGGCCATAAGGGTCACCATGATAAGAAAGGGCATCACAAGCACCACAAAGGGGACTTTGAAAAGGCCCATAAAAAGGTTAGTAAACTGTAGAATATGTTGCTATATCTTTGATAAAACCCATAAAAAGGTTAATAAACTGTAGAATATGTTGCTATATCTTTGGGAAGGCTCACAAAAAGGTTCCTATACGATAACACATGTAGTTATCCTGTCAACATGAACCTCTTTCAGTTATATGACGTTCAATATGGTTATTTTCATATTTTTCGGTAACCTAAATATGAAATGCTTTTTCTTGATATTTGGATGAGTACTTGACTAAATTTATTATTGCAAAATCTTTTATCGTAGCGTTACAAATTGCCTAACGCGTGTTCAATAATGTTCAATAGTGTTCAATAGCCACTATATTGAACACTAATGAACACTATTGAACACTATTTGAAAGTGTTTAATAGCGTTCAATAGTAGCTATTGAACACTACTGAAGCAGAAATAAGCAGAAATAGTGAATTGGAAATTCTTAAAAATGTTTAGATATTATCAAAGGGTTTTCCTCTTTCGATTGGCTGGTTCAAATACGCATCGAATTTAAATTTCAATTTCTGATGTGGCTCAATGTACATCTAAATGAAGAAATTATTTTTGTTTCCAAAGGGTTTTTTCGACAAAGGCGCCAAGCACCACAAAGGAGATCATCACAAAAAACACTACGGGGGCCATTTTAAAAAGGGCAAAAAATGCCAAACGGGACATAAAAAAGGCAAAAAATGGCACGAGCACCACGGACACAAAAATAAAGTAAGGCTTGTTTCATGGTGAAAAATAGGTGCAATGTATCACTGAAAAATTTAAATTTGATGTGAATTTGCAAAAAATATGATAACATGCTATGGTTGAACTTTTTTTGGACAAATTATGTATGGTATTTGGGAGTCAATTTCCATTAAAAAAGAAACATTGTTTATCCGCAAGATTATCGTTGATTGTTATCTCCTGTACTTCTTCCTCTGCTTGTTTTTCTAACTTAGTTTCACCACGAGAGCCATAATATATCCATAGTCTTCAATCGAATAATATTTTTCCCCATTAAAATATCTAGTCGTTAATAACCTACGTTTATTGAACTGGATTGTTTGGCATACTCTGCATATACCAACGTTAAATTTTGTGTTCGAGGACTGATTGATAAATTTTTTGTTCCTAAATTTAAATTTATGTACCAATATTTTTATAGTATTCCATATTTGAAATTTTCAATATTCAATTTTATATATATTGTATATATTGATTATATTCATTCCAGCTTTGAAATTTTATCTTTTGTAGTATTTTTCGCGTCAAATGGCAGCCGTCAAAATATGAGAAACTGAATATAAAAATATTGTATATGAAAATGCCTTTCAAAATAGAACGAGAATTCGTTTATAACAGTTTTTGATTTTTAGGGCTTCAAGAACGCGCACGGCAAGAAGGAGTTTGGCCACAAGAAAAAATTCCACGACGAAGATGGGATTAAAAAACACTTCAAGAAGCACGACGGTCATCATAAACATCACAAGCACCACAAAGCGGGACACTTCAAGAAGGCAAGCAAAAAGGTCGGGGAATTCCCACTTATATAAATTAAATATTATTATACATATATATATATTCTTGCAATTATTTATTAGGAATTAATATATATTATATATTTGAACTATAAAACCAAACTATAAAACTTTAGCTTAAAAACTACTTAAATTTCATGTGGATTTTTGTAAATTTGTGAAATTCGTTCAGACACAATTTTTTAGGGCTCGCGACCAAAATTTATTTTTAATTAATTGGATGCTCTCATGTCTAACTCAGATAATTCAGGTACCAATCAGGTACTGTAGCCAAACTCTATTACCAAAAACTTTAAGCTGAAAAAAGTTATCTCTCACCAATCGCGGATATAACGTTACAGGCAATAGGTTAAATCGGCGATTGGAAATTGATTGACTGATAATACTTATATAAGTATTTATTTTGTAATTTTTCGGTAAGTTTTGATTGTTTTAAGTGTTTAAAAACATTTCCTACACTGTTTCTGCCGATCGAATTCCATTTGAACCCGTTAACCGGCGAAGATCCACAAATTATTTCCATAATAATATTTGTTAAAAAACATAATTACTAAATATTAAATGACTTTATTAGTAGTATCTTCAACTTTTTATTCCAGTTTTTATAAGAATATTTCAATCATTAATATTTCTTGAACTTATCTGAGCAGGGACACAAGCATCACGACAAGCACGGCAAGAAAGGCCATCACAAGAAGGGCCACCATCACCACCACGACAAAGGCCATCACCACAAACATGGCCATAAAGGCCACCATGAACACCACAAGGCGCATGGACATAAGGAAGGACACCATGACAATCACGAAGGACATTCAGGCCACGATGACCATCACTGGAAACATGATGACCATCATGGACATGATGACCATCATTGGAAACATGATGACGACCACCATGGACATGATGGCCATCATTGGAAGCATGATGACCATCACGGACATGACGACCATCATTGGAAGCATGATGACCATCACGGACATGATGACCATCATGGACATGATGACCATCATTGGAAGCATGATGACCATCATGGACATGATGACCATCATTGGAAACATGATGACCATCATTGGAAGCATGATGACCATCATGGACATGATGACCATCATTGGAAACATGATGACCAGCATGGACATGATGACCATCATGGACATGATGACCATCATTGGAAGCATGATGACCATCTTGGACATGATGACCATCATTGGAAGCATGATGACCATCATGGACATGATGACCATCATTGGAAACATGATGACCATCACGGACATGACGACCATCATTGGAAACATGATGACCATAAAGGCCATGGCGACCATCATGGACATGATGGACATCATTAAACATGACCACCACCACGCTTAGCCTTAACCGAAAAAACTTGTACATAATTAAAACTTCAGTGCCTTGAAACGTGATGAAATATGTCGTCAGTCCTTTAATTTAATAAAAATCTAAACAAATTAATTTTTTTCAACCTAAGAGCGATTTTTCATGTTTCCAAAAAATCACAAATAAAATTGTAGAAAAAAATAATTGTAAACCCCGGTGGAAAATTATTCGCTCAACTGAAACATGAAACACGAAACAATTTTCGTTATGGACCGCTGGGGTAATTTCGTCGCAATAATCAATTCATCTTAATAAATTTTGAAAGAAAAATTGCATCCACCTGTTAATGTTTCAAATATCCTTGCAGTACTTCGAATAATTTTCAAAAAAAATCAGGCAAGGAATCTACATTTTGAGTTATTATTTTTAAGAATAATAAACAGCAATTAGTGACAAAATGGATAAAATTCATTTTTATAATATGGAATTATACATGGATATGGAGATCAATATAATAATTGATCTCCCTAAGCCGAATCATCTTTCTCTGTTAAAATAAATTTTTATATCAATAAAATATGATTATAATCTCCGCTTGAAGAGACGTTGATCATCTTTAGCAGAGGTAAAAAAATATTACAGGTTACACTAGAAAAATTGTGTGAGTCTTTGCCCAAATTATGATGCCTTCCTGCTTCTGCCATACATAATGGCCCAGTTAGGCTTGACATCAGAGCTACGAGCAGAACGCGTCACTATCTGAACAACATGACTCACTCATTTTCTGAGTGTACTAATCACTTCGTGGTTTGCTATATTATTTGAAAGCAGGAATATGAAATTTTGATGATTTTTTTACGTAATGTCAATAAATATGCACGAGTTTGGCTAAATTTGCAGGATTATGCTAAATCATACAAATTCTATACTTAATTTTCAAATATCTCACAGTAAATGCTCGTTCTAAGGTAATTTATTTATGTATTTGTACCTTCAAATTAACATTTATGCAGCATCTTCTTTCTTATATTTCTTCTTCATTTTTTCTTTCTTTTCTACAAGATGGTCTCTAATATAACTCAGGAAGATATTACTCATGGTCGCTCTTGGAAGCACTTATCGTCTCTAATAATACATTTATTACACGTCCAACAAGTGAGTGCGACAAGACTGCATCTTTTGCTGCCACCTAACAGGATTAGGCGAGCCAGAACTATAATACGCAGAATTTTTACTGCCTTGCAGGATTCTGTGAGCCAGAACTATAATACGCAGAATTTTTACTGCCTTGCAGGATTCTATGAGCCAGAACTATAATACGCAGAATTTTTACTGCCTTGCAGGATTCTGTGAGCCAGAACTATAAGAGACAGAATTTTTACTGCCTTGCAGGATTCTGTGAGCCAGAACTATAAGACGCAGAATTTTCGAAGCTGATTTATATGAAATTAAAATATACGAGACTTACTTTAAAGAAAGTAAATAATTCGAGCCCGATTACACAAAACTGAAGTTTACGAAATAAATTCTACGAGGCTGAAATTTACGAAACTAAATAATTCAAGGCTGAATTTTACAAAACTGAAGTTGACGAACTAAATTCTACGAGACTGAATTTTGCTAAACTGAAGTTAAGGAAACTAAATTCCACGAGGCTAAATTTGATGAGACTGAAATTCACGAAACAATATAACACGAGGCTGAATTTTACGAAACTAAATTCTACGAGGCTTAATTTTACGAAACTGAATTATACAAGGCTGAATTTTATGAAACTGGTGTTCACGAAAATGATGCTTAAGAAACTGAATAACATGAGGCTGTATTCTACGAAGCTGAAGTTTCGTAAAAATTATTTGTGTCTGAATTATAACCAACTAAAGTATACGTGGCTGAATTTTACGAAACTAAATTGTACATTGCTGAATTTTACATAACTGAATTTTACGAAACTAAATTATGCGAGTTGGAACTATGCGATGAACATGAATATAAGGCAAGATAAGTGAGAGGGGGGGGGGAGCGTGCAGACAGTGTGTCGCTTTTGATCAATATAACCGAATCATTCTTTCAGAGAACGGGGATGGAGGCTTGGAATTTTTTCATGTTACATCGTCCAGTTCACAGGAACTTTGAGATCGTAAGGAGGAATTTTTGCTGATCATTATCCTATCGATATTTAGTAGTCTTAGCAAAAAGGAGTTAATTAATTTCAAAATTTTTGAAGCACTTTTAGTTATGCAAAACCCCAGGACAAAATTTTCAGTATAACTCGCCTTCATTAAAGTTTTGCAAGATAATTGAGACGATGATCACGTGAATGATTACAAAATAACTTGACGATATTCCATTCGAAAAATGAAGAATTTACTGAAGGCAAACACTTCTTGAATGTTGATTTCGCTGCTCTTTTTAGTTTTTCGATTTCATTTCAGCAGCTATGGTGGAAAGATATTATTTTTCATAGATGAGTTTGTAATCTTTTCATTCGACTTGACTGAAAATGCAAACGCATTAAAATTAATGGAATAACCATTTAGATCTAATTAAAATTAGCATATGAGGTAGTGATTAAACAACAATACGTTGATTGAACAGTAATTGTATGTATCAAAATTACTAATTTCGATCCCAACAAAATTATATTAATTGTAATAATTTAAAAATATGAAACGTTTTATTATATATTTATATGGAATTCGTAATATTTAACACTTGATAATCATCTCTGTAATGAACGATAATTGATAAAGTGTGGAAATGTTCCTAAATTTTTCAATTTCAATCAATAGATTTTTATTTGATCAGTGTTTATCTACACGGATTCGATTCATTTCCAGACTATTTCGTATTTATTTCTTGATTAATTTCACAAATTTTCAGTTTCTTTCAACCGAAAGACGAGCTCGTCCAGTCGAACTGAAAGTAAAAGCGCGCCGATGCGCAAAAAAATGCATTTTTCGTCCACTTGAACGTGACTCGAAGCCACCGTCACGTACGACAAGGCGGGAGGGGAAGGTGCGAGGGTGGAATGGAGGATTACAGAAGGTGGATTAGAGAAGAGAGAGAGAGAGAGAGTTGGTGGATTAGAGGAGAGAGAGTGAGAGTAGGGGGAATGGAGGAGAGAGAGTGAGAGTAGGTGGATTAGAGGAGAGAGAGAGAGTGAGAGAAGGTATATTAGAGGAGAGAGAGTGAGAGTTGGTGGATTAGAGGAGAGAGAGTGAAAATAGGCGGATTAGAGAAGAGAGAGTGAGTGAAATAGTGAACGAGAACAGGTGGATAAGAGGATGCGAGCAGGTGACGAAAAGGAATGTTGTGTAATTTATGATAAGGATCCGTTAAAATACTTGCCTTCTTCCGCTTAAATCCTAGTTGCATCCCCGCAGGCAATAACACGTTAAATCAACGTTGAAATAACGTATTTCACAACGTTGAAATAACGTTGAATATTAGTCCAGAATGAAAAGTGAACAAACGTCGTTTTTTCAACGTCGTATATACATTTCGACGTTGCTTCAACGTCGAAATCGCGTGAATACTGTGACATTCATGATAGAACATGTTGACCTGATAAGACCTTCTACAAATTGCTTTGTTACGTCAGAATTCAACACAATTTCCACGTTGAAGTAGCGTCGAAATGTACGACGTTGAAGAATTAGAGTGGAGCTGCAAATTAGTGTGGAGCTACGAATTAGTGTGGAGCTGCGAATATATATGAAGCTACGAATTTGTGTGGAGCGGCGAATTAGTGTGGAGCTACGAATTAGATGGGAGCTACGAATTAGTGTGGAGCTGTGAATTAGTGTGGAGCTACGAATTAGATGGGAGCTACGAATTAGTGTGGAGCTGCGAATTAGTGTGGAGCTACGAATTAGATGGGAGCTATGATTTAGTGTGGAGCTACGAATTAGATGGGAGCTATGATTTAGTGTGGAGCTACGAATCAGTCTGAAGCTACGAATCAGTGTGGTGCTACGAAGAAATGTGTTGTTACTCATAAGCTTGAGAGTGCGAATCATAGTAGTGCTACGAATCAGTGTGAAATTACGAATAATTGCGTTGCATTCGTCATCGGAAATAATCGACGTAAAGTTTCGAGACCGGCTGTACCAGGAAGAAGCTTGCTGATATGACCGCAGGTTGCGTCGATCAGTTTTTTAGAAGCGATGAGCATCGCAACAGAAAACGTGTTGCGTAAGTTCTTGCATTACAAAGAGGTTGTTCGATCTCCAGCTTTGTGTAAGAAACTGATTGAACTGAAACTTAGAAACTAAACAATGAATACGTTTTGTCTGGATTCAGATTTTGACAGCGTTGTTATTTAAATTTTGTAAGTTCTTGTTAAATGCTGTGTTACTATAATATTTAATTACACAAATATCTTGTACGAAACCAAACTATCCAATAATTCAAGTTCGTAACTCATTCGTAATAAAAGTTGTTTTGCAGGAGAGTGAGTCTTCACTATATACATTTATAAAATTAAAGTAAAAAATATAAAATAATGAAACAAAATAAACGATCTTAGTTACTGAAAAATAAAAAAATTATATTTCAAGAAAAGATGATTTGGTAAAATATGATCATTCACTGAAATTGATGAGTATATGAAATACAGGTTTGTTTAGTAATGAAATTCTAAGGAAAAGACATTGATTCTCGTCGATGTTGAACGTTAGAAAATTTTAATTTATCGTTCCTGGACGCTGGAGCATACAACCTGCATGCATGAACATTGGGCAAGCAGCCATACAGTGGCTAACATAAATGACAGCCACCATCTAGTGGCCAGCACAATTACCAGGAACCATCTAGTGGCTAACACAATTGGCAGAAACTATCTACGTGTCAAGCATAAATGACTATCACCATCTAGTGAACACAATTGGCAGAAACCATCTTGAAGCAAACACAAATGACAGTCACCATCTAATGACAAACACAAATGACAATCACCATCTAGTGGCAAACATAGTTAGCAGAAACCATCTAGTGGCAAACACAAATGACAGTAACATTCTAGTGGCAAACACAAACGAAAGTCGCAATCTAGTGGCAAACACAATTGACAGAAACCATCTAGTGGCTAACGCAAATGACTGCTATGCACCATCTACTGTTTAACAAAATTTTTCATGCAACTTAGTAACAATGACGCTCGCATTTCCCAAAAATTGTTTGAATGTTACTCACAATGATTGAATGCTGTTCCTGGATGGAGATTTCAAATCTCGGACGGAAAATGGCTTCACCTATGATTATATAATAAACCGATGTCATATTAGGAATCGATATCCGAATTATGACGAAAGTTTACGACGTGCAGGCATTACTCTGAAGTTATCCTGATTTAATTGATAAAGGGTTCAACTGTGGCAGCATGAAAAATGGTTTAATGGAGCTAGTAAAAATATCAATAAGTTTATCTTAGAATTTTAATTCCTCTTGCGAGGAACAACTTCTGTGTTACTAACTTGGAAGTTTGTTCGGCATCGTGCGTGCGTGACGAACGAACGAAGAACTGACCCGCGTGGCCGGCTATAAAAAGCGCCGTTGAGTGAGAGTCATCAGTCTTGCGGCTGCTCTCAGCCCGACAACATCATCGCCTTCGCAGCATGAGGGCCATTATGAGGGTAGGTAAAAAGCAAAAACAGCTTCAGCTTGAATCAAGTTGATTCTTACAAAAAACTCTCTCTAGTCATATATCTTTTAATTCATAGAGTTTCAATTCCATTTTAGCCCATACATTTTATTCTTCTTAATTTTTCCTTGCCTGCAGGCAAGATTTTCAAAACATTTGTTATCATTCACGTAAGCAATTTTTGAAGTGGCAAACGATTATCATGGGAATTTTCCTTTTGGTATTAAGATGTGTGTATTCTAGAAATGCACAAAGTATTAAATATATAAAATGTATCCTAAATATTCTCTCTCGTTTTCGTTACTATCAGACAAGCCAACGAATACCTTTAATCAAACGAATTAAAAAAAGTTTATTGTACTATAGACAAAATTATGGCAGCAATCAAATAATATTGTCCCCAATTGCAGACGGCAGTGTTGGTAGCGCTGGCAGCGGCTCTGGTGAGCCAGAGCACGGCCGGCACGGCAGGCAAGGAGGCCGACGAGGAGCTCCGAGCCTACAGCCCACGCCTGGCCGGCGCTGATCTGCTCCCAGCCGGCGCTGATCTGCTCCCAGCCGGCGCCCAGCAGGTGTCCCATGTGGCAACCTACCCGCTACTTACCGCAGCGGGTAAGTCCTATCTTCCGCCAGGCTCATAATTTGAACTTGATGCACATTATGTGCCTCCAAATCGTGATTTAATAAATGCTAAATTAGCTGGTTTATGTGGTTCAGAATGCTTTAATTACATTCTACAGGGTTGAACATTTTAGTTTCAACACTTTTGCCCTGGCAGCTTTAATTATATTTACGCTTATTATCTGAATTTCAAATACGATATTTTCCGTCTGAGTTATGGAATTATATAATTATTGCACGGTACCAGGTAGCAGGGTTCTAGAATTGTAATATTAAAATTTTGTTTTAAATATTTGTCGTTATGGTTCCGTAAAATCAATCGGTTTTAAAACAAATTTTGTAAATATGCGCGAAATTATCAGGGGGTCACCATCACGGTCACCACGGCCATCATCACAAAAGCCACCATAAAAAGCACGGCCACAAAGGCCATAAAGGCCACCACGCCAAACACGGCCACAAGAAACACCATAAAGGAGACTTCAGCAAAAGTCACAAGAAGGTGGGTGAAGAACCATCTCCAGTTTGCCTAGATTTCATCCATAAATTATAAATTCATTTTTCCTTGAATGCAAGAATTATGTTTACTTCGATTCGCTGTATTTCAAATTAATCATATCATTCAATTACAAATCAAACATTTAAATCTAAATTTGCTATGAGGCTTTATATTTTTCACATATGACTTATGAAACATTCAAGATTCAACAATATCAAAATTTCAGGAAGAGACCGATAACTTGAAACGAATTCCTAGAGTTTACAACATAGCAGTACAGTAACACCTAGCAATATCGCGCTTCACCTAGCGAGGCTCCACTTCATTACCTGCTTTTTAGTAATAATAATTTTATTATTGTTCTATCACTATATTACTATTTAATATTACTCAAGTAATGCTAATGAGAAAATTCATTCTCTGATCTTCGCTGGTCTGCGGTTTATGATAACTTAAAAAAACATTCTAACTTAAATATTAAAATAAGAACTGTCAGTAGCTACCTTCTGTAGAAAAAAAACACGTTAGATGAGGAATCGCTGTATCTCGAATTGGATCAGTATCTTGATCTTACTCCCTGTATCACTACATATAAAACATAATTTCTCAATTAGGACAATTTTTTGTTTGAGAAGGCGTTCGTCACTTTAGGTCTTATTCATGATTAAAAATAACTAAACCAATCCATATTTTGCTGCTCAGGTAATTGTGAAACGAGAATCTGTATTTAAAGTCTTCAATTTATAATTTAGCATTTATTGAATCATCCAGCAATATTCACATTAGAAATTTCACCTAAAATCTAAGCTCGGAAACCTGACGACATGTCAAAGGAGTGCATTCCAGTGAAATTGTTGAAAAACTAGTTATCTTAGTTTCGAATTATTTCAATTTAAATTCTGATGATACGTTTGTTAACAGGGCCACTTCGACAAAGGTGGTAAGCACCACAAAGGCCATCACCACGAAAAACATCATCACGGCCATCACAAACATGGCAAGAAAGGCAAGAAAGGACATAATCATGGCAAGAAAGGTCATCATAAGAAGGGACACAAGCATAAGGTGAGCATAAAATCATAAACAGCGTTCAAATTAATAAATATCTTGATAGATCACGGAATTGTATTAATATTTGAATAAATATCCATGCTCTCGGTGAATCAAATGATTAATGCTGCAAAGGATGGCGCGAAATTCGGCGCTTTTATTCTCTACAGTTCAAATTAAAATCTATGCGCAAGATGAAAAAATTATGGGCCCCCAAAAACCGTGGCTCTTAAATGATGCGAATTTTCTAATATAAAATATAAGTTACATAGTCGTTATGAAAGCATACGAATAATAAACCCGAAAGCCCTCAATCTCAGAATTGAGACTATATCAATCCCGAATGAAATTTAATTCTGGAATGAAGATACCGTGATGGAAGTTTGCTCTGATGAATGCTTGCCCTAATGCTTTTTACCAGTGATAAACTCTAAATTTTCTGTTATATATGTTATTTGTTATAATTCTAAATGTTCTTACGTATTGCCCCAGGGCTTCAAGAACGTGTACCACAAGGAGGAACACGGCCACAAGAAGAAGTTCTGGGACGACAGCGACTTTAAGAAGCACCACAAGGACTACGACCAACACCACAAGCACCACAAGTCCCACAAAGAAGGCCATCACAAAGGCGGAAAGCATCATGTAAGTAATTTATGTTATTTTTAACTTAGCAGTATTTTCATCATGATGATTTTCATGTTGAAATTATACATCTGGAATTAATTAAAAAATAATGAGCTTGTGAGCTCTACTTTATCTAGAGTAAATGCGGAAAAATAAGTGGCGATTCTATTTGAAAATCAAAGCGTATCCGAAGTACGTCTGTGAAGTCAGCACACAAGAAATTAAGTTATTATATTGTGTGAAATCCCCCCCAAATATTTTATCATCAATATTCTCATCCTAAATTAGAACTAATAATATAGAGGTATTGAAACATTTCTTATAATACCAAACTAAATTCAAGTATTTTCATCAAGTAACCAAACTAAAGTCAAATATTTTTGCACAGTCTCACAAGCATCACGACAAGCACGGCAAGAAAGGCCACCACAAGAAGGGTCACCATCATCACCACGACAAGGGGCACAAGAAGCACTATGGTGATGAGGGTCACCACAAACATCACAAGGCCTACGGTCACAAGAAGGGTGATCACGATCACCACGAAAGCCATCACGGTCATCATTAACATGACGATTTGGGCTATTTATCCACACAAACGTTTCAAATTTATTGTCGCTTTATTTATGGGTCATCATTTTCTTCTATACACTAAATACACTCCACGTAAAATTATTTGCAAATTCAAATAAATATAAATTTGAATCAAATTCTAGCCAAGATATCATTTTTGCATGAATCCAAAAATTATTTTGTTGTTCGTGAACGAACATTAGGTCCTAGTATGAGTGTCGCTCTGAATAAAAGAATTTGATGTCATTTTGGGACCATATACATAACTTGACTCATAGCATGACTCATAACATATAGCTTGTTCGTTTGGCAAGGTCAAAGCAAAAATATTTACTATATACATTGTTATATTTATTAGAACATTTATGATTGTTTCTTTTGTTGCAGCTAAATGCGTTTGTGCAAACATCGATAAGATGTTCTTGTTTATGGTTGAATTACGTTAAATGTATCAAAAATCAGAAAATACAAAAACTATGGTGGAATGCTTTTTGTTTTATTGAATTTGGCTATGTTTCGTGCTCAATGCAAGAAACTTCAAACTCAGGATAACGATAGATTGATTGTGAAATTTTGAATTTATGTATTCGCTCCAGTTATCTCATTGTAAACAAGTGGTCTCAATTATTTTTCAGCAGCATATTAGTAATTTATGACAGTGTCTAATGATGAAAATTTTTAAATGAAAAATCTTAGGGTTCAAGTTGCGAATTTTAAAACAATGAGTTCCTGAAATTCAACAAAATTATTTTAGTCAATACAATCGTCACAGCCAGCAAAGCGTAAAGGAACTATTCGTTGAATTGATTAATGCTTCTGATAAAAGCAAATTCTGATCGGTTAATTCAGTTAATTAATGATAATCATTACATACAAATCTTCATGGAGTTTCAATACATTATTTGTCTGCAAGAAAGAATCGGAATGGGAATCGGAAGATTCAGAAAGAATCGGAATGGGAAAATGAATTTAGATTTATCGTTTATTAAATTCACTTTAGTTTAAAATAATATAAATTCTCCGTTTTACGAAGCCCAAAGTATGCACTACTCAAAAGTATACAATAACAAAAAAATTATAACTCAGTACTCACTGCAGTGAGTGACAGAGAGTGCATTTTCTCGTCGACGAAAATTTGAGGTCACGGACGGACGGACGGACAGACGGACGGACAAACAGACAGACAGACGGACGGACATGACGAGCACAATAGTGCATTTTTTTCCATAAATGAGAAAACGCGCCAAAAAGAGCCGTAAAATTTCTCCAAAGCTCAAGTGCTATGCCAAAACCCCTTTCCAGAAATTCATCAACCAGTGGACAATCGTAACGGAAGGAGAAATTTCAGATGTTCCGGTAAATATACGCGTATTTATAAAGTCATGCACAACGATGATGCAAATATTGGGTGAAAAATTGAGAATTTCTTTTCTTTACTTTGATTCGCATATATTGAAAACTAATTTGACAATTAGTTATTCCTTGAATTAATGTACCAGAAAAGTTTAAAGTAGCACAAAAAGCCAAGTTTACCAGGGTGCAGTAGGGAAGATTTTGGATAATCACAAACTAAATTGATTTAAAATAAGAGTATATGTGAATTTGAATAAATTGAAATGGAAGTATTAAATGCAGGCTTAAACCGTTTAGATACCAAGGTGTTGGGGTTGAGATTTTTGTGGTTATCATTGAGTTTGTAAACGAAAGGTGTTGTTCAAAGCCTTTTGATTACATCACTATTACCTAGCTTCTCCGTAGTTAATTAGAAATAAAAAAATACATGTTTTACTGCTTGAAGTCCTGAAATTCAAACCTATTAGTTCTCCTTTACTATTTTCAGTTCATAACGTATTGATTAATATTTTCTCCAAGTTGAATCCATTACATTAATGTTGAAACCACTCAGTGACTCCTCATGGTTCCTCATCCGCAATTTAACATGCATAAATCCGCAATTAAAATATGATTTTCAAAAATCAATAAAATAATCATATCCACCTCTTTTTACAACACTTCTCTTTAACTTCACTTCTTGTTGTTTATTTGTCTTCTACAAATCTTGTAATCGAAATTTGATACACTTCTACTTATCCTATCAATCTGAAATTTTGCACACTTGTGTAAAGTTAGAGACAATGCATGAATCAAATGTCAAAATAAATGATTTTATAAATAAACAAAAATTTTTTTCGATTTAAAAAAATTGAAAAAATAATTTTGTCCGCTACAAATCTTCTAACTGATATTTGACACACTTCTACCTGTCAAATTGATCTGAAATTTTGCACACTTGTGTGAAGTCAGAGGCAATGCATGAATCAATTGACATAATAGATAACTTTGAAAAAAATTTCTATATTAAAAAAATTGAAAAATTACTTTTTTTAATATTCGAAAATTAAATGAGAAATTCATTGTACATCTGTGTTGTCTTTAAAAATAATTTTTAAACGTATATTATTTCAACTAATAATATATCAGGCACCGGAGAAGTCAATTTTAATACTCGATGTGAAGTAATAGATCTGTAAATAAAGTTCAAGAGTCTCACAAAATTTCCCTCCAAGTAGAAATTAAATTGTTTTTAAAAGTAAAATTTGATCAAATTTATCAAGTTAAACTGAATTCTCGTTAAAATTTTTATCGAACTAGCAATTTCCGAAATGTAAGTTTGCACAGTCATACTTCCAAATTTACATTATCTCCATGCCCCGTGCTTGAACTTCGTCAGTATTAAAATAATTATAATATTTCTGTATTCCTGGTTAGCGCATTTTCTCATTTATGGTAAAAATGCACTATTGTGCTCGCCATGTCCGTCTGTCTGTCCGTCTGTCCGTCCGTCTGTCCGTCCGTCTGTCCGTGACCTCAAGTTTTCGTCGACGAGAAAATGCGCTCTCTATCATTCACTGCAGTGAGTACTGAGTTATATTTTTTTATTACTTACTTCTCCCATTAACCAAATGCATTGAAGCTTCAAATTGAAAGCCTATCAACTTTGACTCATAAACGTGTTGCTTCTTGACATTTTTGGCTAAAATAACAAAAAATAAATAAAATAATAATAATATACACCCTAACTCTGAAGTTGGAAAATGCCTATTGTGTCTAAATAAAAGATAATAACTATTCTGCAGTAGCAGAAACACCTGCCGTTTGATTGTTATTCGTAAAATTTCATCCATGATCTAAGTGGAGTAAATATGATGTAAATTTAAAAATTGATTTAAATTGACTTAAAATTTACCTATTGATTAATTTAATTACTCTGTTTCTTTTACCTCTATTGTATTTACAATTAGTTTAATTTTTATTAAATACCTAAATATTTCTGGAGCATTTTCTCATTACGTTTTCAATAAAAAATAAACCACGTGCTCTATATTGATAAATATTAGATTGTATACACAACTAATAAAATTCCAAATGCATTCTGCGCGTTTATATCCAGGATAATTAGATTAGGCTTTTTATTTAATTATCTGCTCAAAAGTTCTGCTTATATCATTAAATCACTATTTTAGTTTCATTCACAAACACCAGAATTTTTTTTTTGTTTTTTTTTCTGGTAATCCAAGTGAAGGAATTCACCCATTAAATGCCTGCCAGTTTCTTCAATTTCTTGTCTTACACTTTGCATGATTGCGCTGCGAATCCATTGTAAAGAATCATTAACAGAAACTCCCTGACAATAGCCCTTAAAAAAAGAGGACGGTTGCTCAAGAGCTTTGTTGAGGAAGGAATTGGGTGAGGGTTTTTAGGATGGAACTATGCTTCAGAAAATATAATTTATTTATTAATATGAATACGTAACCGGAAGTGTATAATCACACAAATAAATACTGAGAACTTGTCCGAATATGCGTGAATTTTTTGCCCTAGGGTAGGTCAAGCTGCCCCAGTTCTGGAACGACAAAGGGGCGTATCAGTGATACGTCCGGTATCTGTTTGTATGTTGTTGTAAATAAAGATTTGACCAGCATGACGCATGCATATGTCTCAGTGGAAGAAATATATAAAACTTTAATCATGCAGATAAATGTAAAAATGATCAGTTTATTAGTTACGATAAGAGGGGCAAATTGAAGGATTGTGATTGATTAGATTGTGTATTATAACTCGACTCGTGGGTTGCCAGCTGCTATATAAGCGGGCTCCCCTCTTCCCTCGCGCTCAGTCTGAAGCCGCATCAGTTCGGACGAGGGTGCCTGCGACGGCTGGGAGGAAATGGCGGTGAGTGAAGGGAGGCGTAAAAGGCAGGAAGATTCTATCTTTTTGAAAAAAATGAATTGTCATATTGACCCACTAGCGACACACTTTATGCATGTAGCACTGATGCGCTTTTTCCGGGTAAAACTGGGTCAAGATGACCCAAAAAATGACAAAAGTTGAATCGCTACATGGGCAATGTATCCTCATCTCTCTGAGTATGTAAAGTGTATAGGGTTTAAAATTAAATTAAATTAATTTAATTTCAAATTTAATCAAGCAAAATTTCAAATTAAATTGCTGTGATAGAAATTTTATTGAAATGCACCAAATCAGTGATATACATGGCGTTATAAACTTATATCACTGGCGATATACATTTTTTTGATTCAAGGAACCTCTGAGAAAACTTTATAATATACTATAACATTTATTTGTGTGTATGAAATTTATTGCATTACTTATGATCACTTTCAAATGTGGATCATGAATATTATTTGCACGTATTTGTTAAGCCGTTGTGAATTCATTAATCTTTATAACACTTAGAATATTTCACTTCAATTTACCTGCATTATCCCTACTCCAGACAGAGATTATAATATAACCTATATCCTCAGGATCGAGTTCTGTTGCCGGTCCTGATGACTTGGGCAGCGGTAGCGACTTGCCAATTTTCATCCCAAAATATTACGGGTAAAAATCTATCAAAATTTCCATCAAGCTTGACCGCTGAGCACAAGCTGTTCGCTGCCAGCGATATACAGCATTTCGTTCAACAACTTCCAATGGCTAATTCAGATCAACAATATAAGCACTACCCAAATAAAAATATTGAGATCTTAAGAAACGATTCTCACAACACGGATAATATCAAGTCGCGTCCGGAATACGAGGTCGACAACAGAAAATCCGGATATGCGAACGGAAAACCGGTTATTGAGTTGCCGGATGCGCAACAGCCGCCTCCGTTTTCAACTATGCATCATTCAGTATCAGAGTCAGGAATACCAGGAATTAGTTCAGATAATAAAATTTCTAACCGGATTCCAAGAAGAAAAAATAAACGCTCGCGACTCCTAGGCGTAGAATTGAATGGCGACGAAAATTTGTTGGGTAACGAAGATCCCCATGCGTTACAAGTCCAAAAAAAACCGGCGAGTTTGTTAAAAAATGGTACAAGTCTTCGGCCAAAATCCAAAGTTGCGAAAAACATTGAAGGGCATTTGACGAATCCGGCTCGTAATAAAAGTAACGTTATTGTTTACAAACGTTCAAATGATGAAGATCATGTGAGATTTTCTGCATCTTTCATCAACGCACCAAATAATCGGCAGAAAGTAAAGTCCGACCAAAATCAAGATCTCGATGTCGTGAATACATCGAATCATAGGAATAAGGGACCAAAAATTGTTCAAAATCTCATTGAAAATATTTCTTATAACAAAGACAGCAAAGAAATTGATAAAGAAGCGGATAAACGCAACGAAACTCAGGAGCAAATAGAATTAATTCCTGTTACTGTCCCCGATTTAAATTCCAAATTGAGCTATTTGGAAGCTATTCAACAGAGTCAACTTTTACGGGCACAATCTCGCATGGGAGTCAAGCAATCATCTGTAATAACCCTGAAGCCTGAAAATTCTGAAGATTTGATAACAAATTTTGTCGCTCCCTCACTCGAGCTTCTGCCTCCTAAACCGAGAATTTCCCCACAATCTGAAAAATTTGCATATCGAAAGTCTGTCGAAATATCATCGTCAGGCGAGAGTAAAATCTCGTTACCAACAGACAGGAAAAATTCAGATTTTGATAGCAAGAACGAAAGTCCGCTTTCCAAAGCTATACACAGTGAGGAGGCAAATCGGCCGAATATCCTGCACGAGTCCCAGAGTTCTTTAAAGATGAAGCAGCTTCCATTTAAAACTCAGCCGCCTGTTCTGCATGACTCCCAAAATTCTTTAATAACGAAGCATTCACCATTAAAATCTCAGCCAAATGTCTTACACGAGTCCCAGAATTCTTTAAAGATGAAGGAGACCCCATTAAAGACTCAGCCGCATGTCCTGCACGAGTCCCAGAGTTCTTTAACGATGAAGCAGCCACCTTTAAAGACTCAGCCGCATGTCCTGCACAAGTCCCAGAATTCTTTAAAGATGAAGCAGCCACCTTTAAAGACTCGACCGCATGTCCTGCACGAGTCCCAGAGTTCTATAAAGATGAATCAGCCGCCATTAAAGACTCGACCGCATGTCCTGCACGAGTCCAAGAATTCTTTAAAGATGAATCAGCCGCCATTAAAGACTCGACCGCATGTCCTGCACGAGTCCAAGAATTCTTTAAAGATGAATCAGCCGCCATTAAAGACTCGACTGCGTGTCTTGCACGAGTCCCAGAATTCTTTAAAGAAGCTTCATCGACCACCTATGATGCAACAACCTGATCTCGCATCACCGCAAATACCTGCAAAGCTCTCGACGGTCCATCAATTCCCTGCGATATCGGACACTGGCGGGCAAAAAGCTCAAGGTTCTCAACAGGCTGTGAGTAATGGTCAACAAATCAACAAGGTGTCTAAGAAGCCTCTCGAGGTCTCAGCTACGACGAAGAGGAAGAAGAAAGGCAAAGGTAAAAGTAAATATAACTGTTTTTCTCCAAAGTATCTATTGACATTTGTACTTCAATTTCAATAAACGCAAATTTATGTAATACGCAGTAATTAAGGAAAATGCCAAATAATTTACATTGTACTTTTGCATGGAATTTTTTTAAATGAATCATAATTTTTAACGAAAGGACTAAACGACACAATAAAATCCCATATGTATCTTACTCCGGTGTTCCAGAATTTTTCCTAGACAACTAGCCGAGTATTCTAAAAGTTAAAAATAATAACACCGATGTTTATATAATTATCATATATGTAAGCAACATTTAAATTTCCTGCCATCAACTGTGTGAACCAATGACCATCGCAACCAAGATGCAGAATATCCTCGAAGAGTGGAATTTAAATTTGGCCGTTAACCATCCTATTGCTCCTCGCTGATGAAGATAATCTACTCTAACATTATTGAATATATACGAAAAAATTGTTCAATGCTTCGTTCGCTTTGTTCCGTTGGGTTGCAATTTAATTATATTAACTTTATCTCATTGCAGGTAAAAGCTCAAAAAAATCCCATAAATCCTCGCACAAAGATAAGAAAGGACACAAACTCCGCGAGGGACACAAAAAAGGGAACGAACATAAAGAAATTGAGGAAGGACATCACAGAAAGAAACACAAGCAGGTGAGTATGCTCAAGAATTCTTTAACGCATTCGAACACCAAGAATTAAATTAGCAACGTAAACAAAAGATAAATTAAGATATGTTCTTGTAACTAAATACTGATAGGACATTTTTTCCGTTAAGAAATTCTGTTTCTGAGAAAGCTTGTCTGGGATATAAATAAGAGTTCTTCTTGATTAAGAAATTTTTTAATCATTCAATCCAAAAGTGATATTTATTATTAATCAATTTAATGAATTAATTCAAATTAAAATACTCTTAAGCACACTACATCTTCCCTTATCATTGGATGAAACCAGGAACTTTATAGTATAACTTTTAAAATGAAAAATATCAAATATATTTCATTCCAGGATCATCACAGCAAAGGGGGTGAGAACGAAGATTCGAAACACAATGAGGAACATCACGACGGACATCACAAAAAGGGCAAATTGGGCAAAAAAGGACATGAAAAAGGGTCACAAAGCCATCATCACAAAGGACATAAGGACAACGTAAGCCATATTCATATCCATATATAAGTCCAGAACTGGACTCAAATAAAGATTTATAATATAAAACTTAAAAATATTCTTGAAAGAAACTGTGCCAGATAAAATAAATATTTGAAATCCAAAAGAAAGTGTCTCATAAAATTAAATGTTAAATACATAGTGCATTATTTTAGTAATTCTGTGGAAAAATCATAAAGAAGAAACTCGTGACATGCAGTAAACTTTGGACAGATTCATATTGAAAACTTTAGATGAATATAAATCTCCATTAATTTTGATTTGATTTTGAAATCATCTGCTTTCGGATTTAGTTTTGCTTTCCTTCCTGAGTTAGATTAAAACCCGTACTATGGAGAGAAATTTTTTGCCTTCAGACAGAATAAAAACTTTTAAAATGTTGCCTTAATTTTTTCGATAGTGAATTTTTTAATTCCGGCTTTAATTTCTGTATGATTCCCAATTGAGTGCCTAAATATTCATTTTCGAACAATTTTTATCTAATTCAAAATCGAAAATTCAGGGCTTCAAGGCTGTGCATCACAAAAAAGAATTTATGATCCACAAGAAACACTATAAGGACGTTGACGATAAGGAGTATCACGGGGACCACGATCACTTCGACAAATTCTTCGAGAAATTCAAAAAAGGCATTTTTGAAGGAGGAGCCTTCGAGGTGCAGTATAAATTGTGAATAAGCAGGTTTTGCTTCGGGAAGTATTTTTTCCTATAAATTTATTTTAGTATAAAATTTGGGACACGTATCATCATATTCAATATCGCGATTTTTAGTTAAAATTTTTTTGGTTAAAAAATAAATAAATATAAAATTATGAAAAACTGATTAACAGTAAAATTCCGATCCTGAATTTTTATGAAGCTGTCAAATCTCGGATGAAGGTAAAGTGCATTTTTTTTGAGGCGTTTAACTTATTTAATATCAACAGGCAAAATAAAGATATTCGATACTCAGGAAAAAATGGTTTGCCATTGAAGAAGCAATCCGATCATATTTAGTCCATAAATATTTAGTTAAGAAAAAGTTCAAAAACATTCGGTTCAGGTCAGTTCAATATTCAATTAGTAATTCGATAAAATTTTGAGAAACAAAATATTTACGTGAGATGTTAAGCCAAATAATACAAATTCGTCGTAAAATTTTGCCTAAGATGATCTTTAATTATTATCTAATTAATCAATTACTATCTCGCTCTCCAGGGCGACAAACATCACAAGAAAAATCAAAAGGAAGGTCACCATAAGAAAGGGCGCCACCAGCATCACAATATCGGTCTTGATAAGGACAAGATTGATGAGGGTGAACACGTTCATCACAGCGAATATGAGCACGATGAGGGTGAACACGAGACTCATCACTCTGATGATGAAGGTCACTAGCTGGGCCCAGTTGCCTTTCTGTGGGCCATAGAAAAGGTTACTACCTTGGCCCAGTTGCCGGTCTTTGGGCCATAAAAAAGGTTACTACCTTGGCCCAGTTGCCGTTCTTTGGGCCATAAAAAAGGTCACTAGCTGGGCCCAGTTACCTTTCTTTGGGCCCATAAAAAAGTCACTTGCTGGGCCCAGTTACATTTCTGTAGGCCATAAAAAAGGTTGCTACCTTGGCCCAGTTGCCGGTCTTTAGGCCATAAAAAAGGTCACTAGCTGGGCCCAGTTGCCGGTCTTTGGGCCATAAAAAAGTTACTAGCTTGGCCCAGATGCCTTAATTCGGGCCCATTTGAACCGATGCGCTGTTAGGACCCAGCACGAGCCTTCGCTAGTTTATTTATCCACACTAATTAGCAGAATTGGTTCACAAGAATAAAATATGAAACAATGTTATACAATATAATAATTTTACTGTTTTTTTCATTGATGAGTATTTACTTTACTAAAAAATATCTGCTTAATAATTATATAAATGTTAAATAAAAGTGCGCGAGTGAATCTTAACAATATCGGGTAAATAGTAGTATTCGGTAGGTAACCATGAAAGACTTGTATATGCAACGTGCCAATTCGTATTATCATTTTGTTTAAATAAATTTAATATTTTTTGTTTTCTACGACACTTGAGCAGCTTAATTAATTGCATTGATAACAACTTTGTTTCGGACATGCATTATATATTCATTAAACGTTACAGACATTAAACGTTACAGATGGTAAAATTGAAAAAAATTGAAATTTAAAATTGAAAATTCTTGTTGATAAAAATTATGGGTTAGTTTCAATAAAAAATTTTTTTGTATGTAAGGTCTGATCATATTCTCCGATCTTGGAAAAAAATATTCTACCTAATTTCAGAAAAATACTGACCGTGGATAAAATGTTAAATTGAACAATTTATTTCGTTTTTAATTTGACTCAGAAAATTGTATGGTCATATTCATTTACCTATTTTAAAAATTGAAGTGCGTCAATTGTGGAGTAAAATATTAAATAAATTGATGTAATAATTTTTCGCGGCATTTATACCAATTAACTGAAACTGATGCATTAGCAGGCCTTGAAACAAAACTGGTTAATGTAAAATTTTAAATATCATTGTAGACAATGACAGTTCAAAGCCAACAGTTAAAAAATAGATCAGTATTCACTGCAGTAAGTGACAGAGAGCGCATTTTCTCTGTCACGCGAAGTCACGGATGGACGGACATGACGAGCACAATAGCGCCTTTTTCTTCCATAAATGAGAAAATGCGCTAAAAATGGAATGAGTGATTATCTCAACAATGATACTTATTCATACATACAGCACAAGCAGGGAACACACGTATCTTTCACTATGACTTCTCTCTGCTCTTTATCGGGCCAAACTGAGTCAGGGTGACACACCCAAGAGCAGAAAAAGCCTCGCTATTTGAACAAGTTTTCACTTTTCCCACGAATGAGGTCCTTCAACCTGAGAGCAAAATCGTTGAGTTTTGAACAGAAAAATGGCGCAGTTTTGAAGGATCGATTTTCAGTCAATTTTCACGTGAATTTTAGATAACTACAAAAAAAGCACACAACCTTGATTGAAATTCAGAGTCAGTCAAAGAACTTATAAATGGCTCCCTCAGTCAAACAGCTCATTACCAGCCCGGTGTGGCGTATGTCAGGTGATGAATGACGATTAGTATTGCAATGAGTGAACATTTTTTTTATTCAAGACAATAATTTAGGAACGTTTACATGACGCAGCTGTGGCTGATTCACTGTTTTTAGCGCATTTTCTCAATTATGGGGGAAAAGGCGCTATTGTGCTCGTCATGTCCGTCCGTGACGTACTGAGTAATATTTTTTTCCTTGGTCTTTTTTTTTTGTTTTGGGACACTCCTCTTCTCGTTCCGCTGTCCGGTTCATTTTGAGTAAACTATTTCGAACCGTAAGTGTCCGTTCGACGGGTGTCGAATAACCGAGAATTAACGACAATGAAGAAAATGGCCACTCCTCAACTAAATAAATCAACCTCTGAGCCCATCAATTAACGGAATGTATTGGGAATTTTACACTGTAACTTTGAGAAACATCGAAAACGCCTATTTTCTTCCATCTGGTCTAAAATTATTATAAATACACTAAAATATTTCTGCTGATGACTTAATTTAAATTTTACGTATCAAAGGAAAAGCAAATTTCGAAGACGCCATTGAAAGTTGTATTGATATCACGAATCTGACGACGTGATAATGTACATACACGTTGAATTGATGGTTATACAGGCAGTCGGTCACTGCACATGAAAAACTTTCCGCTATAAAATTACAACGGTTGAACAATACAGTCGGTCGCTGCAATTCAACAACCGCAACAACCGTACAACGGTTGAACATGAAGTCGGTCGCTGTATTCAAACAACCACTACAACCGTACAACGGTTGAACATGAAGTCGGTCGCTGTATTCAAACAACCACTACAACCGTACAACGGTTGAATATACAGTCGGTCGCTGCAATTCAACAACCACTACAACCATACAGTCGGTCGCTGCAATTCAACAACCACTACAACCGTACAACGGTTGAACATACAGTCGGTCGCTGTATTCAAGCAACCGCCACAACCGTACAGCGGTTGAACATGCAGTCAGTCGCTGCATTTAAACAACTGTTACAACCGTGCAACGGTTGTAGAAGTAGTCAGAATAGCAAAATCATGAGATAATTTTTAAACGAGTAGGTATGAAAGCGATTTATCTTAATAATTTCTCGCTACGGGGGGATCGAGTTTTCAACGATCCATGCTTGAAGTCAAAAGCTTTTGCCGATAATAGGCATATATAATTATTTAAAGATTAAATAGAAATTTTCAACTAATTTTAATTAATTTGCAACCTGACCTACCTGGACAGCAGGAAAACTATTTGAATTCGAGATGAAGTAATAAACTTTTTATCGAAAACCGGGCTATCATTACTGTCGCATTTATATTGTAAATGAATAATCATCGCGTTTGTTAGAAACTTCTTACATTGTTATGAAAAGTTCGCCGTCGATAGGAATAATTTCGCACAAATCGTCTCGTAAACGCTATAACTTCTGTCCACAAACAAAAACTACTTTTAATTACAATTGGCAGTTTGTGAAAGCTTCGCACACAAGAAAAATAGATTAAAATTAGCGAATACTTCTGAATGAAAGTCATACAAGAAGCCGGCTGTAATATATGTTCTTATCTTTCAAATGACACTGCTGAGTTTACTAAAGAAAATAACAAAGATGCATTTAAATTTAAGTCATGTAAATTCGATTTTGTCTCTTTAACACTTCTAAATACTGCTAAAATACATCGATTACACATCAATCGCTCCTCGATTACTCGTTTTCACTTCTTGATCACACCTCGATCACTCCCCTATCACTTCTAGATCACCCATCGGCCACAACTCAATAATTAATTACTCGATAGCTCTAATATTACTCATTTTCGCTTCTTGATCACACCTCGGTCACTCCTTCATTTCGTCGCGATCACTTTTCGACCAATCCTCGATCATACACCAACCACTCTCCGATCACTCTTCAATCACACCTCGATCACTCCTCGATCATTCCTCGTTCACTCTTCGATCACACTTTGATCATTCCTCGTTCACTCTTCGATCACACCTCGATCGCACCTCGATCACGCCTCGATCTCACCTCGATCACACTTCGATCACGCCTCGATAAATACCTCGATCACACCTCGATCACGCCTCGATCACTCCTCGATCATTCCTCGTTCACACCTCGATCACACCTTGATCACACCTCGATCACACCTCGATCTCACCTCGTTCACTCCTCGTTCACTCTTCGATCACACTTCGATCGATGTGGCTAGTAGCGCAAGCTCGGTTTAGATTACAAATCAGTCTCGCAACTCTGCCTCGATCGCAGCCCTGAGGACGCTTGGGAAATATCGCTTTTGTCTCGTAATTGCTGGAGTGAACGACACAAAACACCAGCGAAGATAAAAACAAATGAAATTCCAGCGCAATGCTCAAAGTTCCAGACCAATAAGTGCATCTCTTGTGCGTTGCGCCAAAGAACCGACGCATTGCTGGCTTCATTCCTTTAATTTTTTTGAAGCGTCCAAGATTTCTGATCGCCAATTTAGAAATTTCAATGAACTTAAAAATTTGATTAGATTTCAAACTATTTCATTACTGCAAATTGAATTATCTCATGGATTTGAAGTGACAGGAAAATTTTCAATTCTGAAGCCAACGTTTCCAAAACTCGAACAAATTAGCGAACATTTTCGGAACAGTAAGATTTGTAAAATGAATAATGTAATGACTTCTCAAACATCATCTAAAAGTTTTTTTAAATGTGTCATATGGGGGCATGAAAACATAAATGCAAATTTCGTTTTCTATGTAAGGAAAATAAGATCACAAAAAATAAATAAAAACTGACATCAGTTAAATCTTTTAAAAGATTTCTAAAATATTGTGATTTTTATTCCAGAGCTCCCTAATAAACAATGATAGGCAATTCCTGATGATGATTCAAGATTCTCGTTGATCGTTCTTTGGTGTTTTTTAGTTTTGTTTTTCTTTTACCTTTGTTCATTTTGTCATTTCGTCTATCACAATATTTCTGTCTCTGGAAACAAAGAAGAATGCGAATTTTTATGTTTTTAACACTTGAAATTTTTTGGAGCTCTATGCTGTCATTGTCTAAAGAAAAACATTTTTTAATTAAAAGATATCGATTTTTAATTTAGAATGTTCAATTAAAACTCAACGTTCAAATATCAAGGTGTCATCTAGCTAGGCTTTAACCAAACAATCAATCATACCATCATATTTTTTCAAGTAATTCACTACAAAACAGATTAGTTAATCTAAGCATGGTCATTGTTAATTGATAAATGAGCAAAGTCATTTATTCACAAAATATTCATTAGTTTTTAAATTATTCACAATCATTCGATTGACGCGAAAGAGTTCGAGTACATTTTAAAGACACGCGATTTCCAAGGCTGGTTAAAAATGGTCTTAAAATAAGAAATGGATTGACCTGATTGGAGGATCAATTTGTGGTTTCAGTGTTACAAAAACATGTGGCGTGTCACCGTTGCTTCAACAATCGTTATGCGAGTAACATTCCTCTTCTTTCAAGAAGAATAAGCTCTACCATCACCATCACCAACGTTACCACCACCGCCAATCAATTACATCATAGCAATGACATCGATATATTTTAATAATATCGCTTAACACCATCATAATCTATCAAAAATAAAAAGTTCAGCGTCGGCATAGATGCTTCGAAAATGCAATTTACTTTCCAGAGCTATGCCATGGCCATGGGCCATGGGAAACAGGCCATGAAGCCTATTTGAAGAAACAGGCCATGGGCCTATTTCTTCAACGCCGACACTTCTATTCTATTCTATTCTATATACATTCTGCCCATACGACATAATAGGATAAAAATGACAGTTACATTGGTTTCTACCGATAAGAAAAACTCGAAAACTATAACTTAAATCTTTGGAGCGTTAATAGAATAATATTGACTGATTATTATTAATGTATAATATCAATACAAATGACACGAGTAGCATCGGCGGCAGGCGGTTGTTCCGCGCCAGGGACCTCAAGGCAGTGAAGTGCAACGAGGCGCCTTTTAAAAGCAGCGGCTGAGCGTGCCGCTGTATGCAGTCCTTCAGTGTCGCTCACACCTCCAGCACTACTGACATCTTCTTCCCATCTTTCCACTAACGCACTTACGAACTACTTAACTTGAAAACGAATTAATATCGCTACGAACGAATAAAATTTTAGGGTTGGTAATTGATATATCTGAAAATCGGGGGTTTGTTGATAATCTCTTATCGAAATAACTGATAGGATCAATAACTTATTTATTGTCGGCTGCCGACGAATATAAGCTCGGACGAAAGAATAATTATATTCTGATCTGTGATCTTCATCGGTTTTTGTTCAAACCGGGAAGCTGTCACTATGCGGTTGATTTTGAACAAGGTGAGTAAACTGGAATGAAAGAAAACATTGTCTATATGATATTCTATAAATTCAATTTGGAAAAAATTTGTCTGACTAAAATATTTCCAAGCAGAAGAATAAATGGTATATGTATGCGGCTTTCAAAAATTCAATATAATATCCAATGAAGAGATAGAAAATATAGCGCAGTTAATATAGTTAACTTACTGATGAAAGTTTTTTCAAAACCCTTTTAACCCATTCAATAACGGCCTAAATTTGGCCTATTTTTACGATATTAATTAGTGCAAATATTATTGTTTATTTTAGATTGAATGATTTTCAATTGAAATTTTATTTTTAATTGAACCAAATTTTCTTGTAAATAATTCTTATTGGCCTCTGATACTTCACTAATCACATAAGAAATAAATACTTGCCAGAACAGAAATTTTGGCAGGCATAGTAAGGAAAAAATATTTACAAAATAAATATCAATATCGTTGATTAAAATTTTATTCCAGCGGAAAACGGTGGCACTTTTGCTGCTGTTGGTGGCACTGGCTACAGCAGTTCCACAACAACCAACAGCAACCAAACAAGACTCTGCTAATAAACAGGCACCAGTCAAGAAACAGACCCCAGCAACAATAAAACAGGCAGCAACAGACCTAAAACAAGAAGCACCAACAGTAAAACAAGCAGCAGCGGCATCAAACAAACAGCAAAACGCTAAGAAAGCAACCGTTGCTCCAGCACCGACAGCGCAAGAAAAGGTGCTGATTAAAACAGGGGTTAAGGTCAACAATGTCAACAACGCTACTGCAACTTTGCTACCGAAATCCGGAAACCAACCCGCAGCTTTTACCGCTGAAAACAACAAAAACAAAAAAGTTGCTCTCGAAGCTAGTGAAAGTCAAATTGTCACCAAGCTTCTCACTTTGAGAAACACGGCCTCCACACCAAAACCAAACCAAAAGAAAGAAGAGACGAAAACCGCCGAGGCCAAATCTAGCAATGCGAACGTCACCAGTACATTAACAGCAAATAACGCAACTGATTCTAAAACACCAGCACCTGTTGCTGCAGCAAATAATGTTAATCAGAAAACAAAACCTGCAGTGAATCTTGCTACTGCAAAAGACTTGAAGCCAGCGGGGAGTCAGCAGTTTGTGACAGTTGTTGAACACGATCTTCAAGCTGCTGCTGGAGGTGAGATTTTTTCTATTAATTTATTTAGATATTAAGCAGTTTTTTGTATCAATATAATTATCATTATTAATTTAGCCAACTGCCACGTTTGTGACAGTCGGGGAGCATGATCTTCAAGCTGCTGCTGGAGGTAAGATTTATTCAAATAAATTATTTAAATACAGATTAATATCATGTATTATAATTATTATCATTATTAATTTGGCCATCTGTTACGTTTGTGACAGTCGTGGAGCTTGATCTTCAAGCTGCTGCTGGGGGTGAGGTTTTAATCAAATATTCCATGTTTCGCACTCATTTCACATTTAATGTTGTATTTAGAAAATTCTTTTAATGTTTACCATTTGTATGTTGTGAAGAAATTTGATAAGATTTTATTTAAAAATTTCATCAACAAAATTTGTCTAATTTTCCAATAACGCAAGCAATTAATGAGGCATTTGATACATGTTGAACATATTCATTGTATCTTACGCAATAATTTTTTGGCTAGTGATAATTAAATGCCACTCAAGATAAATTTTGAAAGAGGTATCAAGGCCAAGAAAAACTTTATTCAAACTTTGATTTCCACGAAAATAATTTTGCTAAAGAAAATGGTTGTCCTTTAATTTCTAAGGACACGGCCACAAGAGCAGCCATAAGAGCGGGTTCGACAAGTCTTCAGGGCACAAGAGTGGCAAGGGCTTCAAGAGCGACAAAGGACACAAGTCTGGCCACAAAAGCGGTTTTGGCAAAGGCGGCAAGAAGGTAATTTCCTAATAAGATATATCAGTATCATTAATGTGGACAATTTAAGAAGAATAATTTAAAAAAATAATAATTCCCTTTTTTCATTCTCATTTGAACACAATGCTATTTGCTCGAAGTGGGAGAAGGCATCTTATAACGCGCTAATTGAAAGTTTACTTATTTCTGTTTTGCAAAAAAGGGCTTTAATTGCAATTCATTAATAACCAACACTTAGGTAACAATTTCTGTTTATCGATTACATTCGACCAGCCTTTACTCTTCCCAGATTATATTTTGAGTTATTCGTAGCTCAAGTTTGTTTTTAATTGCTGGTTTATCAATTTTAATTGTTTCATGTTTTTTTCAGGGTTTCTTCGACAAAGGCGGGAAAAGCGCCAAAGGCGACCACCACAAGAGCAACAAGCACGGCCACCACAAAAGCGGCAAGCACGGAGGCAAGAGTCACAAGAGCGGCAAGAGCAGCTTCCATGACAGCGGATTTGGCAAAAAGGTTAAAATTTTTTATAAAAATTTATCTTAAGGTCCCTATAAATAACTCTGCAGAGATTTAATGAAATAATACGCGCAGTTTGAATGGAACTATAAGTTCGTTGAAGCTACATAATATATAATATATAATGAAATTTCACGATTTTGAGTAAATGTTTTCTTCATAAAATTTGGAGTCATTCAACAACTGAGGCGATATAGGGTGAATTGGCTTCTTGAGGTTTTATTTTCTCAGGGCTTTATAATCTTAAATACTAATATTACTAATATTAGTATTTCAGAATAATAATCTGAAATACTAATAATCTGAAAGTAATAATCTAATGGTTTTTCTTGCGCAAAATGTTGCCATTGAAAATATAGTGTAATGACACGATGCGCCAAATATCGCCATCAAAAATATTGTGTAATGACAAGATGCATTAAATATCGCCATCAAAAATTTCAAGCAGGGGTTTCAGGGTTTTCTTGAAATTTCAGGGTTTCAAGAAGGCGCACCATAAGGCCGAGGACGGTCTCAGCAAGAAGCACTGGGATCACGCCGACAAGAAAGGCCATCACAAGGACTGGGATCACTTCGACTCTCACTTCGAGAAACACAAGGGCGGCGGATTTGAGGGAAAATCTCACAAGGTAATTTTTATGCTTTTAATTTTCATGCCTTTTGAAATAATCAGCGTGGTGTGAGTTCTTGAAGAATATTTTACATCATAATTTAATGAATTATACTTATAATTAATGAATCTAATTTAATAAACTCAAAATAATGAATTAAAATTTCAAGATGTTTACTGAAGGCTAAATTCGATTATTAAGGAGATGTCACCAAAGCAAAACTTGGTTCCGGGAATGAATTGATTCAGAAGCAGGGGGTGAAGGAAAATTTTTTTCATGCTTTGATTAGCTCCTTCTTAACCATTCGCAGTTGACCTTGATCATATAACTGGAAAACTTGTTCAATGAGAGAATTCTAAATTTTAACCATTACTACTTTTAATTTAAGCTTAACCGAAATATTGCACACGAGAAATAAACAGTATAGCATCGTTAGTAGACTCCTGCGTTTGGTTTTTCTTTTTTAAGAGTTCAAAATAATAATATTAGGAAGATAATAATTTGAATGATTGCACCAAATATCTTAAATCGCTGTATATTTTTTGTTTACAAAATCTACAGGGTCACAAGAAACACGACAAACACGGCAAGAAAGGCTTCTTCAAGAAAGGCGGCCATCACTCCGACAAAAAAGGACACCACGGCAAATTTGGCAAACATTCTGACCACGGACACAAATCCGGCTTCGGCAAGAGCAGTGGACACAAAAGCTCCCACAAGTCCAAACATTAAGTCATTTCCATGCTGTGAAGAACCTCGACGCATGAGAGATAATTTTTGCTCTGATTTACGAAGTTTCAACAGAAGTCATCTAATTTTACATGTGGGAGAGGCGTATTCGTAAGTCCAAATTTCACCTCATATGATATTTTGTTATCCGAGCAATATGAAAATTTTAAGATCACCTTTCGTGAACATGTGCAGTTCACAACAGCAAAGATGCTCGAAATTCATTAGTAAATTAATTGAGCAAAATTCCCGGTTTCTCGTTGAAGAAAATAACTTACATTCCGCACGAATTTGATATCGCTACAAATTTTGTTCTTTATATCTCGTAATCTTCGCTTTCTTTGATGCCTAAATACTTGCTTCTACTATCCCCCACTTGATGCAGCCATAAAATATGTTCGAAAAATATTTTCACATTTGATACCAAAGAAACTCTTTCCACTCCTCACAACGAAGCCCATTTTGTGGTTTTCGTACAAAATTTTTTGGCTCTTCACATACGTTAAAAAACTAAATCTTAAAAAACAAAGCAAATTTCACACATTTACATATTTTATTCATTCCAAGGAACAGATTATGCCTCTATGCATAAACAAACCATGAATAATTCACCACTCATTTCATTTCAATGTGAAATTTAATCTCACGGTTTATCTACGGTAAAGCAGTATAATGAGACATATTTGGCTAAAATTCTCGATTTTCGTAAATCAGTAAAGTTCAGTTCAAATTTTGGGAAGTATTTCCCCAGATAACTCTTCAACCATATATTCCTTCTTCTGTTTCGTCTTCTGGCTATTATTTCATACATACATAATTAATAATATTCAGTTCAATTCATGTCAAAATTAGTTCATTTTAGATATCTGCTACGGGAATCGACTCAATCTGCGTATATTTTGATTTTTGGATTCAAAATTGCTTCGAATCACTCACAGTTTAGAACGTAAGAAGGGGCAAATTTAACAGAGCCACGATTCTTCTTTCCAATGCATCTATTACCTTCAGTATTATATTTTATTATACTGCTCTATTCTCCCATGAAAGATTCTCACAATTCATATTTTTAGTGAAAATATCAGCACATTCTAATAAACTATATACGATATAATGACAGTAAAAGTTTAGTTCACTTATATTCTAGTAAAAAATCATCCGAAATCACTTCTTCGGCATTCTTATTATTTAAATTTTAGGTTTTTTTTTGTAATCAACCTTATTTAACCATAACTTTACTCCAACAATTATTTAGAAGTGAGACACAAGCTCTTCATAATTTATTTACATGCACTATATACTAGGTTTTAAGATTCCTTCCTATATTTATCTGATGTCTAAAATGTCTGTTTTTTAACTCTCTGTTCTCATATGTGTGTTCTCGAATTTTTTCGACGCTGGAGGATCTGTAAATATAGTTAGCCACTTCACGAGAACGAAAATAGATTTAAGGATCGAATTTAAATCTGAATGTACCCACATTCTCATCTTCGAATAAACGAGCATTCACCGAATTCTTGTGTTTCCATGGACGCTGACTGCAAAAAGTTTAGTCTTCATGATAATAAAAAAATGTTGTAAACTAAACCACGAACATAGATAAAAATTAATTTTTAACTAACCAAGAGTTCAACCCATGTTTATTTCATGACAATTTACTACTATGATTTTAAGAAGGAGCTCAACGAAACCGCATTCAATGTAGATTGAATGAACGTTGAGTAATTGGCAATGATAGTTAAAATAACTTTACTGTTAAGGCTTGGCACAATCGAATTCATTTGATCAATTTTGTGCATTACCAATATATTCGTTCAATACCAAAATATTTAATAATTTGAACGTAGAATAATTTTCAAGATTTTGATACAAATTTAAACATATGAAAATTTAAAAGCCAGAGAACAAGTTTTGAACAATGGTACAAAAAGCAATTAGAAATCCACAAAAAATAGCACGGCAGCAATAACTAAAAAACCCACGCCACCGAATTAATTAGAGAATTTTAAACATTCTGTTGAAAAAAACATTTTAAAAACTGTTCAGAGAGACCAAGCAATGCGCAATTAAAAATCAGGCCGGAAAAAATCAATCTTGAGAGTTGATCGTGACCAGAATATTAAATTCTATTAATTAAATTCTGAAGACAAATCGAATTTTTACCCTGTAGGAATATCCATTTGCACGAGAGAATAAAAAAGGTAGAACTTTAATAACAAGTTTCTTGAGAAATGAAAAATTAAGATACTCACAACTGAATACCGGAAGTTTAGAATAAGCTTTAAACGTAAAAATTAAGACGCTCTCATATGATTATAGAAGTGTAGAATAATCTTTGAAATATAAAAATTAAGATAATCTCAATTGATTATTGAAAGTGTATAATAATCTTCACAGAGCACACATATACTCCTCACTCAATAGTAATAATAAAAGAATAGCGTTTTCTTCTTTAAACAAAACAAATCCGTGACATCTGCGTGTAATGGCACCGTTGAGATCGCAACGAAGGTTCAATTATCGTATTTCAGTCTAAATACTGAAGCTTGCATTTGTGCTAATGTGAACGTTATGTGATGCAAACACAGCCCAAGCATTTCATGTATAATGATGATTAAAAAAATAATTAAAAAATTCCTGCGCAACAGTTAAAATCTCCTAACCCAAATTTTTGAATCGTTAAAACATGAATCTCAGGTTAATGCTAGCATCAGTTTTCTGGGATATCTTCAAAAGCAAACGTCATTAAGTGAAATCGAACGGAGTTTTCGAGGACTGGCAGCTAATTAATTTGACTTATAGGCCTAAAAATCTCCTCCACACGTACTAGGAAATTCATTCAATTTTTACTCGTTAACAAAATTTTTGAAGTCAACGACTAAACGATGCAACGTTATTGCGGGAGATCGTAAAATATCTCAACTATATTTCAATCAAATGCAAAATTACATTGAATGTATAAAATTTTTTAGTTGCTCATGAATTTAGATCATATATTGTATTTTTTGTTGACGCAATTACCAGTGCTGGAAAAAAGTAAATTTAACTAGGCCTCCTCCACCTTCAACGTATTTTACAACAAATTACTTGCAACGTTTGAGGGATTGACAACTCAAAATTAAAAACAAAAGCGAATGAAAAAAAAATTGTTTACAATGTACATTGATAGCTTGCACTTCTTCTTCGCAACATGGAACTGCTCAAAAATATATAGCTAACATTTTCATTTTCGAAAAGTTCAACTTTCAAAAATATAATTGGTACTAAAGTCTGGTACTGCAGTGTACTGTATATTATGTAAATTATACTGTATGACGGGATGCTTATTTCGTGGTATATATTTTTTTATTTCTAGTAAGTATTGGTTCTACTGTACGCTCTATTAATCTTATGCTTAGATTAGAGACTAGTCAATTGTTGGTAACATTTATTTTATGACTTCAATATGGAATCTCATTTAATTGTGATATTATTTTGTTAACTCAAGGGTTTAATTTATGTATGACTAAGCGATGCGTAAACAAATATTTATTTCATGACTGCAATATGGAATCTCGTCTAGCTGTGATATTTGTAGGATTTAGTTGTTAGTGTCTCGGGAAGAGACTGAATGTGTAGCTCCAACGTGATTGGTTGAGCTGCTCCTGGCCTGGTGACGGTGCGCGCTAGATAGTCATGAACGATGGAAAGTTTGGTCACTTCGGAATTAGTTTAGGATTATTCGACTTTTAACTGTGATTAGTTTGCCAAATGATTAAAAATATGATGACTTTGTTGTATTGTATTTTATTATCTACTTTTTTGCACTTAGAAAGTGTTTACGGTCTGTTTTGTACATTGTAAACGAGATGTTGAGGTAAGCTCATTTTGGCTGAGTTACCCATCGCGGAGAAGTTGTGTGTGCTCAGTGTTACTGGGTTGGGGTGACACGGTGGGGTGACAAATGACACGGTGGCACGGTGGGGTGAGAAATAGGCAGAGCCGAATTCGGGCTTAAAAGAATAAACTCCACCGTAGTTCTGGACATAACTTTTAATGAGTTCCACTAACGGACTAATAACGGAATTGGTGGAGTTCTTGGATAGTTCCGGATTTTGGCTGCGTTGGGCGGTTAACAGCCGTTCCATTCGCACCCTCGTGTCGTAGAGGCTAAAAAGCTCTGCGCTCGAGTAAATTGTCAGCGGCTTATTGAAGGCCTCGTACCCTTCAATAGTCGTGCTTTTGATGCGTAACCGGTTCTGTGTTTTTGGCAGTGCATTAGGGCTCGAACACCTGATCATTGCGTTGGTTGTCGGCATTGTGGAGCACGCTCGTACTCGTATCCTTGCTGTCCACTCCTGTAAGGTTGTCAGTTTTGTGGTGCGGCTCGTACCCGTACCCTTGCTGTCCACTCCTGTAAGGTTGTCAGTTTTGTGGTGCGGCTCGTACCCGTACCCTTGCTGTCCACCCCTGTAAGGTCGTCAGTTTTGTGATACGGCTCGTACCCGTATCCTTGCTGTCCACTCCTGTAAGGTTGTCAGTTTTGTGGTGCGGCTCGTACCCGTACCCTTGTAGGTTGTCAGTTTTGTGGTGCGACTCGTACCCGTATCCTTGCTGTCCACTCCTGTAAGGTTGTCAGTTTTGTGGTGCGGCTCGTACCCGTATCCTTGCCGTCCGCTTTTGTGGTCCTCAGTAGTTGATTAGGATTCCTCGACGTTGTATCCCTGAGGCTGAGACCCTGTTTCCCGGAGCTTTTGGACCTAATAAAATGTGTGTCTTGTACAGTGGAATTGTGTATCGCCCGAAGATCAACAATAAAAACGAAAAGTTCCTCGTGTTCATTCCTCCTCTCTCCAACGCAAGGGAATTTAGAGCGACTCTTTAGCCCTTGTGTTCAAACCAATACTCAAGTCACCGTCAAGTCGACACGCTACCCATAATCATTTCGACTTCGCGGTGGTGTTTCCTGGTACTGCAGTCAGGGGAAGATATTATTTATTATGCAGTATATATAATCAATAATCATATTTATACAGTAATTATACAGTATTTCTTACCGTAATTAGTTATTATACAGTATTACAAATAATAGCGTCGAGCTAGAAACACCAAACGATTTTTACCACAGATTGACAGTTAATGTGCGTTATTACAGCCAATCGTAAGGTGAGATTACTAAAATTAATTAAATAAGTAATTAATTAATAAAATGGTGTAAGTCACTTTATCGCTGAATATCTATATTATCCATGATCATTCAACATTTATTTCGTTAAAACATGTTATTTATGTGAACTAAATCCAGTTAGGAGAACATTGTATTTGCGATATGCTAGTTTTTTTTTATAGGTGCATTACCATTATCTTATATTATTGAGGTAACCGAAACTGACTTTTCAATCCACGAAACTAACCAATTAATCCCCTAAACTACTTTTATTTTATTCACATTTGTTATAATACACATATTAAAATTATACTGAAAATCAATGGAGTCACTCGCTTTCTTTAGTTATTTACGAAAGTTTTTGGCTGTAATTGTTACACAACACAAATTTTCCTTCACGGTAAATAGTTTATCTCGCAAGTAAGAAATAAATAGGAATTAAAAGAGTTCAGTTTAGATTACGAAATTTACGATAATCCTATCTAATCCTGAAATTAACGTCAACCGATGATCGAGGAAAACTCTTTTGAAACGATATTTTTAATAATAATAATTTTAATAATTTCGTACGTTTTTAATGCATTTGGCCAGTTTCGATTAAAAGTTTGAATAAAATTTACTAGATAAAATATATATTAACAATTTAAAATCTTTTTGCGACTTCGAGAAGAGCGCATGCATTTCGTTTTCAACTCTAAATATTATTTTGAAATTATTATGATTTCGGACGGGAATAATTATAATAATTTTTTAAATGACAGCACTATGAAATTAAAAATTGTGATTGCTGAAATGCTATACAAATTACGTATTGCATTTTTTGATGCACTGCAAAAATTTTTTTTTAATTTAGTGAATAATATATCCAAAATCTGAAGCAATAAAATCGGTGACAATTTCCCGAAAATTAATTACCTGCCAAAAACTTTGTCCGAATTGTGTGAGGCACTGCAGTTTAATTATTTTGATCTAATATTTATCAAATAAATAATGAACATACTAAATAAAATTTATTAATAAAATATGACTGAATGTGAGTGAATCATTCGTATGTATTCTCGATTTTTAGGATCAGTTCGAATGTGGGGCAAAAAAATTACATTGAGTTTCAAGGTGTGAGAAACAGTTAGAAATTCTGAGACAATTTCAGCTCCTGAAAAAGTTCACCACCGGTTAAGTAATTCTGATGCTATTCTCATTGTCTTCAAAGCGATTTTCATCATCGCGAAAAGCCATGCCGAGATTTCGATATCGGTGGCTACGCTGCCGATTGCCTTGTTCTTTGTCTGCGGGTTTTACACAAGCCTTGGGTTAGACTACAGCGAATACGACAGTTTATAAACTGGTCTTGTTGTTCGACAGTCACAGTCTCGATCTCGACCCACTGCAGAGTGGAGGTACGATCACAACACACGAAGGAAAACTTGTTCATCTTTACGAATACCAAAACTTTTCTGCCAACGGAGGGTCTCCCTGAGACATCGTAGCTGCGAAATGAGATTGTGTTTGCTGGTGAGAATTGACTTCGTTTCCTTCTTCAAAATTTGAAAAATTGCTTAATATTTCCCCAAAAATCAAGTATCATGACTTTTTTGAGGCAATTCCATCAATCATTCGTCATTTATCACTCGCACTAAATCAAGACTCGAGATTATCGAGTGTTTAAATTAGTTAAATTATATCTTAAACTAACTGTCTGGGAACTTAATGCATTAAAGGGCATTAATAAAATTCACAGGATTGTCTTTGAGTTTTATTTGCTATGAAATTGCAGATGAATTAATCAAGTTTGGGTTAACAGTGCTCTTCATTATATGGCTATCGAATCATTATTCTCGCGCAATGCAATTTGTTTTTTGATCGAACTTTGCTCTTTATTCCTTTTCTCTTCCTCAAACAACTAAAATACTAATAAATCCGTTTCCTAATAAGTAGCAATGAAAAGTAGAATATTAACGAAAAATCCCTGAAAAAAAAAACATTAAATAAATTGATAATCAGAAAAATATAAAATACTTATAAAATATAAAAATATAAAATTTTCCTCATGATGATGAAAACCATTCGTTACAGTCAATATGCACGGTGTTGTGCGTGGCGGTGGCTGTCGCTCGGGAGACGAGCTTCACGTCCCGTCGAGCGGCCGCGTCCACGGCTGTGGCCGGCAGCGACGCGGCGGTGATCACCGCAGAGGCAGAGGACGACGATCTGGTGGCTGCCGAAAGTCAGCAGTTCAGCGCCGTCGCCACGCATGATCTCGTTGCCGCAGCTGGAGGTGAGGCGGAGCTGAACACCTTATCATTTCAGGAAGTTTACCAACAACTGAACAACTTACCTCTCCGGAAGTAATCAAAATTTTGCACAAAATATGTTGAGGATAAGCATACAGACTATGGGATAATTCTCTTAATGTTATATTTCTATTTATATGAATATTGGATCACAGCATGATATTCATAGAAAAGTTATTATCTTCTGCCTACCATGATAATCAAGGTTAATGCTTATTTTAGTTAAAGCATTGAGCATAGTTGACGTAGTGATAGTAAGGAAAGGTAATATTCAATTTTGTGAAAAAAAACTTTCTTTAAGATCTAAAATGAACTTATTTCCATTCTCTTCAATTCGAAATCGAGAAAATTTTTCTTTAAGGGCACGGGCACAAGAGCAGTCACAAGAGCGGACACAAAAAGGCCGATGGACACAAGAGCGGCAAAGGCTTCAAGAGCAGTAAAGGCTTCAAAGGCGGAAAGAAGGGTTCATTCGGCAAACACGGGAAAAAGGTTAAAAACATGTTTTACTGCACGAACAAATTTTTTGAAGAAAAAAACTTCATAAGAAATAGTAGTTATATATGATTTCTGAACATGATTCACTAAAGTTAATATAAGACTTCTAACTCATATGACTTATATTATTGACTAATACTTCTTCCATGATTTTATTTTTAGTATACGTCGCAGAAGCGAATGTTGTTTATCGTCATTCTATATCATTAAGTGCTGCAACTGACGCTTAAATCTTCCAGGGCTTCTTTGACAAAGGCGGCAAAAGCTCCAAAGGAGACCACCACAAGAGTCACAAACACGGCAGCTTCAAGAAAGGCGAGAAAGGAGGCAAGGGACACAAGAAAGGCTCCAAAGGCTCCTTTGGCAAAGGCCACTCTAAGAAGGTAGATTGATAACTGCGATTAATACTGGAAAATATGAAGTTTTAAAATCCTTTTTTATAAATTTCTTCCATTAGAAGGGCCTGAATGCTGCTTTCATCTCTGTTTATCCACTGAGTGAAGATTGTTTTCAATTAATATTCACTAATATATTCGAAAGTTCTACTGTTTGTTTGGCTGTCTACGAATACTTTTGCTGACTTACCTGTGAAGTCCTTGTAAATATGAAACTTTAGATGTTTACTACAAAATTACATTTTAATAGAAAAGTTAGACATCCTGCATCAAGGTATAAATCCGACCATACTATATTTCCCCGTGATTGCCAGGGCTTCAAACACAAGCATAGCATCAAGGAGTCTGGCTTCAAGAAACACTTCCATGACAAAGGCGGCAAGAAAGGCCACCACAGCGACCACAAGCACTTCGACAAACACTTCAAGAGCGGCAAAGGCGGCGACTTCAAAGGAGGCAAATTCGGAGTACGTACTTTACTTAATTCCCTCAAAATCAATAGAAATAATAATTTATAGGTTAACTGATTGCTCGTCTTGATTTGAGAACGCGAAATTACGAAGATTTCGCCTTTATCATTAGAGTGTGTTTGAACTTTGAAAACACATTGGTAAACTTTGGGCGATTCATTTGACTTAAATTTTAACGTACAACTTAAAATTTAAGAAAATGAAATTAAAGATTTCCAAATATCAAAGACCAGCTTAACACATTGGCAAATCTTTGTCAATTACTTGCTTCTTAATTGATATATACTGGCCAATTACGTGACCAATTCCTCACCAATTACTTGCAAATTACTTGCCAATTACATGTCAATTACTTGCCAATTGTCAAGACAAATGCAATAACATGACAATTAATTATTTCTCCTTGTCTCCCAGGGCCACAAGAAGCACGACAAGCACGGCAAGAAAGGCTTCTTCGACAAAGGCCACAAGAAAGGCCACAAGAGTGGACACCACAGCGATCATGGACACAAAGGCCACCATGGACACAAAAGTTCCCATGGCAAGTCGAGCGGGCACAAGTCCAGCCACAAAGATCATCATTAAGAATTTATCATTTACCGAATTTGATTTACGAAGCTTGTTGCTCCTTCTGTTGTTACTTGAAAATCCATTCCAATCATACCTTCAAAAATCCATACAAAACATACGACGATCGAAACGAACCAATAAAAGTCAACCATTTTACTTTAATTTCTATTTATACCTTACGTTCAAGTGTTAATCTACACGTGTAAATTAAAGAACCAGGTGAAGTGATTAAATTTACTTCAAGTTACTACAATTTTTAAAAGTGCTTAAGAATTATTTAAAAGCGGTGAGTTTCTTCCAGTCAAAAGATTAAATGTGGCGCATTTTTTCCAGCGAACAAACGATACGTGCTCGCTGATATTTTTTGAATCTTTTTCATAACAGTTTTAAATTTCTATCGGTAACATATAGCGTACGATATTTATAATAAATGGCTAAAATTGATTTATAAAAAATGAGACCGAAATATTTTCCATTAGTGTACATGTTCTGTCTTTTTTTAAGATAGAAAAGTTGTACAATTGAAAGAAAATAAATGTTGTAAATGAAAAAAAACATTGAGCCAAATTACATTAATGTTGGCCTTTTGAAATCAAAATAAGATTTGCCTATTGATTTTGTAAAAATTTTGTTTTTAATTTTTTTTTTCATTTAATATCTAGTATTTCAGATCCAATAATGATTTATTAGTGTTAACAAAATTTTTCTGCAGTTTTAGCCTTCAGTGTCATTTTAGGACATATTTGCCCACCTTGAGGCTCACGGAGTTATGTTCAACAGTCCATGATAACTGGAAATCATAATACTGTAGCAAATTGGTTTAGATAAATTGCACTTCGTATAATTTTGAGTTTGGATTTTTCACTCACATGAAATTCCATACAACAAAAATCTTGAGAGTGCTGTACGCACGACTCCCTGTATTAACGGAGTAACAAACGTTTCGTTATTTGCTAATAAAACATCGAAACGAGACTTGGCGAGTCGGAAGAATTTTTCATACTTTTCCTGCAAGGGGACCATTCCTTCATAATTTAATACTGAAATATCATGCCCGCTTGCCGTGTTGATCAAAAGATCATATTGCAATGCATTTAATAATTATTTGAACGAGTTAACACGAGGTCTATAGAAACAGAAGGCGTAAAGTATAAGTTATTCAGCTGGCAAGAAACGAATGTCTAGTGATCTTTGCTGCGAGATAGACAAATATTAATTGTCGAGGTTTATTATTATTTACTATTGTAACTAATTACCACCAACAGTATTGAATTATAATTATTTTTTTGTAACAACCATTTCTATAAACCCTGTCTCAAAAGAGTTTTCAAGCTTGGCGCTGTAGGCTCTCTTAAGGATTGAACTTTCAATGCCTGCTTTTTTCTCAGTATTACTTTAAGAAAATTTAATTTCGGTGAGACAAATGGATTGACTTCGATGATTTAAACTCGCCCTACATTCAAAATGCATTTTATTTTTATTAAGTTGACTTGTAATTAAATTTTAAAAACATTTCCAAAAAGCTTAGACGTTTAAAATCCTCAAATATTCCTTCTGAAAATTAAAATATTTGAATTTACTAGTTCGATAGCTAAATTAATTTTACTTCTACTGTATAATTGATAGTAATATTTGTTTTACCTTGAATGGGATTTGCTGAAGTATAAAAAGCGAAATATTGCTGACCAAATGATAAAAAGCCACGAACAACGTCTTCCAGATTAGATTTTATTGACTTCTGTTATATTTGGGGCACTAAAAACGTGATTTAAAATATTTGTAATTTTAGGCATGTATGTAAATTATTGGCGTTATCTGTAATTACAACAATTCCCTCTAACTTCACTTCTTGTTGTCTGCCTGCTACAAATCTTATAATCGATATTTAACACACTTTTACCTCTCCAATCGATCTGAAATTTGGCACACTTGAGTGAAGTTTTAGACAATGCATGATTCAATTGACAGAATAAATAATTTTGAAAGTAATTTTTTATTATTAAAAATTTTGAAAAAAAAATAATTTTGTCTACTACATATCTTACAATGGCTATTTAACACTTTTCTACCAGTCCAATTGATCTGAAATCCTGCACACTTGCGTAAAGTCGGAGACAATGCATGATTCGATTGACGGAATAAATAATTTTAGAAAATTTGACTTTTTTAAATTTTAAAAATAAAATTTAGAAACTACTTTTTTTAATATTTGATACTAAATTTAAATTTGTAACATCGCAGTCACTGAATTCTTTAGGAGTGTTGTCTTTAAAAAATAATTTTTAAACGCATATTATTTTTAGCTTACGTATATTATTTCCACAGGCGATTATGATATGTTTTTATTGCGCGATGTGATGCGTATCACCCAAACATGCGATGCTCGAGAGGACCGAGCATTGGACTTCGCCAACATGAAGCATTTCATTCAATACGAGAGAATTGTTCAGTCACCAATAAACTTATTTTGTGTATTTTCATATTCAAAATTTCATAACGAAATTAATTTTTACAACACTTCTCTTTAACTTCACTTCTTGTTTGTTTGTTTGTTTGTTTGTCTTTCTGCTACAAATCTTATAATCGATATTTGACACACTTCTACCTGTCCAATCGATATAAAATTTTGCACACTTGCGTAAACTTGGAGACAGTGCATGAAACAATTGACAGAATTAACAATTAAAAATTAAATTTTTTTAATCCGAAAAAATTGAAAAAATAATTTTGTCTGCTACATATCTCATGATCGATATTTAACACACTTCTACCTATCCAATTGATTATGAATAATTACATACAATCGTGCCTTAAAGATAATGATCAAATTTCAAAGGTTCAAAAATTTTATTGAGACTAGCAGTGAATGAATGAAGCTGGATTTGCAATCTTGATAGATATTTAATGCGTAACTTTATTTATTATATAATGCGTACCTCCCCTGCAACACTACCAGTGGCGAGAAGCAAGCAACAGCATCGTGCATCAGGTGGCCCAAATGAGGGCGGATGAACGATAATCAGAGGCGGCGATCCATCGTGGCCTGGGACTGCTACGTCCCAATCAAATACTAAGGATACTAAGGATACTAAGGTATTCTTGGAGTCGGGACTGAGTAAATGCACCGGCAGAGCAGAATAAGTCTGTAACCGCGTCAATGTACAGCGGCAGCAGGTAATTTGAAGGGTCAGCGTCGCCACCAGCTACGTACCAGGTTTTTCATACTGCAAAAAATGAATAAATTGCATAAATGGACTATAGAAATAACAGTAAATGCGGTAAATCAGAGTTATAAATCCAATTGAGGTAAAGTAAATAAATAATATTCACCCGAGATTTAATTGCCTCAGTGTTCTATAACGCACTTTCAGGAAGAATTGAATTTGAAGAAAAAGAAATCAGTTGAAGATGGACGCTTCAGACGGAAGTAAAGTAGGAATAGTTGAAGAATTGATTCGTTTGAAGTAAGGTCAAAGTTTGAGGGATTTGGCGTGAACTCTTAAATAGAGCATTAGTTAGAGCCACATCCACTTAAATTTGAATAGTTGAGGTTTACATTTAGAACAAATGAATTGAAGTCTGAAGCGTCGCGCACGATAATTAAGCATAGATTTGAGCGAATTTAACAAAACGATAGAAAATCGGGCACTCAAACCAAGGAATAGATAAATCGCAGAACTTGCGAAGAAATTTAGACTTAGGGTTTGAATGTTGGTGCCGTAGCGGCGGCGAACATCAGGTTGGCTGGAGATCACAAATTCATGCCTTTCGAGTGCGGTGTATCAGTGCGAACTCTCTGATTCCGGAGACCCGGTTCTGACTTAATCTACCCTAATATTAAACTTACCCTAGATTGAACTAAAACTAACTCTTATTCTAGCGAAACAACGTAAGTATAATGCACAAAATTGAGCAACGGTGGGAAATTTCCCACACGATATGAAATTTTGCACACTTGCGTAAAATTGGAGACAAATCAGACAATGCATGATTCAATTGACAGAATAAATAATTTTGAAAATTTTTTCTTTAATTTTATAAATAAAATTTAATTTTTTTTAATATCATAATAAAATTAGAAATTCATTACACATGTATAACATCAGTGACACTGGATTTTTTAGAAGTGTTGTCTTTAAAAAGTAATTTTTAAACGCATATTATTCAATCATGAGCTAACGTTTCTCTGGTCGTTGTCCAACCAGCTGCCAAAAAAATTAATAAATGGCGAATTGCCCCATAGGCAGAGAAGCAGATATAATACACTATTATTTTTATTCATCATAGAAATTACCAAAGAACTAAGTGTATCTAATTTTAATGAATTGCCTCTCTAGTCCTTAAAATTCGTTCAATCTGAATATGATTCTGTAAACATTGAGAGCGCATCATGGATAACCTTTAACAATCTCTCGAGCATACGTTCAAAAATGTATATTGATTTATTATATTCTAAAAAGCTGAAATTTCACTGTTTTTAAACCAGCATTTGATATCAACAGTTAATTAACAAGTTAGCATATTAATTGGTTACATTCTTCTGAAATTGAATTTTTAATACCGATATACCAAAAGCTAACAGTATCAACCTTTGACATTTTCGAGTTACCCCAAAGTTCCTTTGAGTACTTAAAAGTCCATTTGCGTGCAAAACTGTGCCAGGACCCAAGCGGTGGCGAAAAAGACCATTGCTGTTTCGACAGGCCCATGCAATTCTTTGAAAACGAATTTAGATGATGCTGACCAAAATTAATAATATATTGATTTCTTAAACAGTTCGTGCCTATAAAGGGCTCTCGATAACTCATTAATGTTTCAACAACCACAGACCTAATATTTTCATTCAAAGCCTTAAGTTAGGATACCTACGCTGTTGAACAAATGAAGGAAGCACTGCATAACTGGCAATGAAAAGATTGCAATGCTATTCGGAGACTCAGAAGATTAAGAATTATTAATTTAAAACGAAAATGGACGAAAAGAAGTATGTAGTTCTAGCTGTAGAAGTATTGAGGAGCTTATCAAGGTCATAATTTTCTTTTTTTAAACATTCAAAATTTACATGCCAAAACGAATTAATTCTTAGGTCTCATCTCATTAGCTGGAGCATTATATAACAATAAACAAAGTAGCAAGCATCATTTACTTCATAATGAATATTTTTTCAGTACAACCGAAGTTTAAATTGCATTAGATTATCGGTCGTTATAGCAATTTAACTTTATTGATAATGTTATGAGTGGAGAATCAAATTTAGGCACTCCAAATTCTTTTTATTATTAATCCATTTCTTAAACAGTTCGTGCTTTTCAAGCATGCCATAATTGGATATTTGACTAATGTCTTTTTAGGATCACTTTCTATTTTCAGCAGGATAACAATTTCAATACTGGCCACAAAGAAAACATATTACCAGGCATATGGTTTCGCTTCACTTATTCATCCTTAATTTATTTTTACCGCACAATAAAAATTAAAATCTACGAGCAAATATTTCTCTCTGTAAGACTTTAGTGCTGGGAACTGCAACGCCACACAAGTAGTGATCCCGTCGGTTCCGTGCGTAGACTACATTTTAATGAAGTTCAGCAGACTGTATGCATTCAATCAATATTTAAATGCAAATTTAGTTCTCTAGGTTCTTTGAATGAACTTAAATATCATCTTATGTGATTAAGATCGTTTAAGTGCGATTAAGGAAGAGAAATGTAAAAAGCATTTATTACCTAAAAAATTAAAATTTAAAGCTATGGAATACGTAAATAGGAGAATGCGTCAATTAAAAATTGGATAGGTATGCGGAGGGTATGAATAGAAAAAGGACGAGTAGGTACATAAATACAGGAAGTTTCAATTAAACATGTGCGCTAGAGACAATATCAAAATGATTTGATTGATTTTTATGCGATGCAATTAGCTTTTGAGCTTTTGATGAAGATTGCGAACTTATAAGAATTCAGACGTCATTTGATTGGCAATTGAAATATTAGAAGCTCATTCGTTTATTCATAGATTTAGAGTTGAACATCGAATAGGCTGCATTCACTAACTTGAACAATTATAGAAGCTACTACTAAAATACTGTTTTGAATAATAATTATCAATAATTCTAGATTAAAATTGAAATCTATATTTCTCCTGTTTAAATCGGGCCTGCAACTTTTGAACTTGAACATTCTCCAATTCAAATCCAAATCAACAATATTCGTTGGAATGAAAGTCAGTGGTGTAATCGTTCTCGAATAAAAACAGCAAAATGAAAAAATGTTAAACAAAACTAGCGCATTAAATAGGCAATAGTGGTTCCCTAATGATTGGAATCTGTAGCGTAAATTTCAACGAATTCAATTAATATTTCAAGGTTGGGAACTTTGTGTTTATTCTTTTTAATTTATTATTCATTCATTTATAATAATTATTAATATAAATTATTAATTGTTAATGTCATATTTTTGTTTTCAGTCTTTCTGTAATATATATTGATATATGCTAGAACTTTCACTTGGTGAACTTACTGTTACAACACTTAGCGTTATAAGTGATTGTCGTTGGTTTTCAACATCGGTGTTCCAAAAATTAAATTATTTCGACACGATTGATGATATTAGGTAGAACAACGTATCCGTATGAACAAGATTCATTGAAAAATTTACCGATTATTTCATATATACCAAGATATTATTCAAGTTAAAATGGACAAATATAACATGTCAGAACAGGATATAAAAATGTATTACCTAAATATTGCGAGCGCATTACCTAAATATAACGATGCTAAGTGTCGAAAAGGTTCGTACATTTCAAAAGTGCGGGAGAAATAATTAAAAATTTTATTGGAATCGAAGTTCAAGAAGTATTATCACATTTTCACTTACAAATTTATTGCTTTAATCTTGGTTAATCACTTTGTTAAGCCCTAGTGGCTTAGGCGAAATTTCGACACTCAGGTTTCAAGAAGTTTTATTTTGGTAATCTTGAAAACATAGTTTCTGCAAGTATGACAAGAAATATTAGCTATCTAATATACAAGATAAACAAATATAAGCAAAATTAAATCCAAGTGAACAAAAAAAATATATCAGAATCATTAATGCAGAACTAATAAATTGCAGGACTAAACTCACCAAAGTGTTTCGCCACTAAAGAGGTTTGAACTACGAATGACAATTTATCTACAGGTAAACTTCGGTCGGATGACTGAAGGTCTAAACAGAAAGATTACGTGAAGCGTACATGTGAAAAATTGCGATTACACACTTTATATGTCACATGACATTTAAAGTGTCATAAGATATATAGTGTCACATGAATTTATATGTCATTTCATAATTTTAGTGCTACTTTCTTTCTTGCATAATACTCTTGCATTCTATGTTTCTAATATTCCCTCAATATTTTATGTATGTAAAAAGCCATAAATGCAAAATCGTTTAAAACTATTTATTATACTGAAAATATTCATTGAAAATTCAGCGCCATCTAGTGAGTGGCGAACTTCCAAAATATGCGAACCCTTCGTATGCCACAGCAACTCACTTGTGATTCATTTCCAAACGTATTTCTTCAACGACTACCATTGAATTTCCAGACAGTAAAAATCAGATTTTTTGGAACTGATTTAGCAGAGAAGTGCAAGAGCATCAGGTATTGTAGTGGTCGCCAGAGTGACAGGTTTGCGGTTACAAGCACCAAACGGTCTCGTATAAAAGCATTGGTTTAGCCTGTGCTTAACCAGACAGTGCGGAGTAGTTGGGAATTGTAGACACTTCCCACTCTAGGAATTATTCGACTAAGCTTAATCTAGATTAATCTTAATAGTTAATAAGTTAAATCGATCGACTTTCAACATCAACGAACCACTACCAAAAAAAATGAAGGTGGCAATTTTCAATTTGGTGAGTTTATTATTGAATTCGTAAACAGGTTAAGATTCAATTTTTATGTCATTTGCATTTTTATCCCATTTTTTAACGGACATTAACTCGGTTCAATTTTGATCGATATCAACCTACAGATGTTCTTTCAGTTGAACAGAGATCTTATTACTGAATCCACGACACGTCACTTTATGGCAAACCCTGCTCTGCAAACCCGCCATCATTTTCTTCTCGTACACTTTGAAATTTTGAAAATTTGTCATTCAGAACTGAATATTTGTAACTCATCATTCCACGAACTGACGTTGTAGATGCAATTTTTGTTATCTATACACTTATCATTTTTCAAAAAATGCAATCTTATTTGTCTTCTAGGCCGTATAATTGTTGGATTTTACTTTTTAGCCTCATTTATGGAAAAAATGCACTATCGTGCTCGCCAAGTCCGTCTGTCTGTGTCTGTCTGTCTGTCTGTCTGTCTGTCTGTCTGTCTGTCAGTCTGTCAGTCTGTCAGTCTGTCTGTCTGTCTGTCCGTCTGTCCGTCCGTCCGTGACCTCAAGTTTTCGTTGACGAGAAAATGCGCTGTCTGTCACTCACTGCAGTGAGTACTGAGTTATTTTTTTTATTGTGTTTTACAGGTGCTAGCGGCTGTCTTGCTCGGTCTTCTCTCAGGCGTTCACGGACGCCAAACTCCGACGAGAGTCGCCAGGTCTTCTGGCGACACTGGTGATGCCGGTGTGGTGAGGCACGAGAGGAGTGTGATGGGGGATGATGGTGGTGATGAAGACCTTGCAGCATCACCCAGCCAGCAGTTCTCTGTCATCACCTCGGCTGATCTACAGACGGCTGCTGGAGGTAAGTTTACATAAACTTTTCAAAAAAAGGCAAAAAAATTGGACGATAATTTCAATATGAGATTTGTCATCTAGCCAGAAAATGGTACGATGAACGTAATTACTGTGAAGAAATGGCTTAATATCGTTAACAGCAGAATCATGAGGATCTTGAACATTAACTAATAATAATAGGAAAGTTATAATATTCGCTCGCTGGTATTATAAAGTACGCAGACATCAGTAGAATAATTGTCGCGATTCTTATTATAAAATATACTGACATCGCTGAAATAATGGTTGTAATATTTATAACAAAATACAAAGAAATTGCTCAAATATTGGTTATGATTCTTATAACAAAATACATATTAACCGCTAAAATAATTGTTGTGATTCTCATAATAAAATACAAAGAAATTATTAAAATAATGGTTTTGATTCTTATAACAAAATGCAAATAAATTACTAAAATAATTATTTTGATTCTCATAATAAAATATAAAGAAATCGCTAAAATATTGGTAGCGATTCTTATAATGAAATGAACAAAAGGCGCTGGGAATAATGGTTGGGATTGTACTTATAAACTCGCAGGCCACGGCAAAGGCCACAAGAGCAGCCATAGCAGCGGGTCAAAGAAGGCATCAGGACACAAGAGCGGCAAAGGCTTCAAGAGCGAGAAAGGCTTCGACGGCGGCGAGAAGGGCAGCTTTGGCAAGAGTGGCAAAGCCGTGAGTGATACTCGAGTATTGTGCATTGTGCAATGAAAACATTTTATCAATGTACATGCACACATATTGTACATAAAAAGTACATGCGCTTGTTGGGCAAAACCATTAGTTCTGTGTAAGGGCACCTTCTTCCGGCAGTGAGATCGAAAATAACTTAAACACATTGGAAAAATAAATTCTCTTTTCCATTTCTGTTCAAAAATTAACTAATTAACTAACTTACAAGTTGAAATAACATAAGATAATGTTTTAATCCTTTTTTTAATGTAATCTTTTGCTTTGAATATTCTCAGGGCTTCTTTGACAAAGGCGGCAAGAGCTCCAAAGGAGACCACCACAAGAGTAGCAAACACGGCAGCTTCAAGAAAGGCGAGAAAGGAGGCAAGGGACACAAGAAAGGTTCCAAAGGCTCCTTTGGCAAGGGTCACTCTAAGAAGGTAAGGCGAGAATCAATGATTAATATAATGACGATTTAAAGTTTAAATAGCAACATAGCAATCAAAATTTCTAAAACTATTATTAATCTTGTTCGAATTGATATACGATATGATGCAAGGAAACCAGACGAATATAACTGAACAGTCTACGATATAATCGTGCATTATTGGATTTACTTAGAACGTATTTAGTTCATTCATTATATTTCCGCCGTGCTTCTTTAATAAATAACTAAAATAAGTTAATGAATTTCCATCCTGATGGTAATGACAATAATATTGTTGACAATGTGATGTACAGGGATGTTGACAATGTATGTTCACTTTTTCCGTACAGGGCTTTAAGAACGCTCACAGCAAGTCAGAAAAAGGCTTCTCTTCGAACTTCCACGACAAAGGCGGCAAGTCTGGACACGACAGCGACCACAAGTCCTTCGACTCGCACTTCAAGAGCGGCAAAGGCGGCAGCTTTGAAGGCGGAAAATTCGGGGTAAAAAGTTTTGAATATAAGACATATTCATATTTTTTGGTCTTGTTTGCGAAATCTTATTGCTAAATTAATTTTTCAGAGCGATTTGACAAAACTAAAATTTCAGTGCTCAAGCAAAAATTTTATTTTTCAATATTTTTCCAATCTCGATATATTCTCATGCCGCCGAATCATTTACATTTGCTATAAATTTTGATTATCTCATAGGGAAGCAAGAAGCACAGCGGCAAGGGCAGCAAAGGATTCTTCGACGAAGGCAGCAGCAAAGGCAGCAAGAGTGGACACAGTGGCAAGTTTGGCTCCAAAGGCAGCCACGGACACAAAAGCTCTCATGGCAAGAGCGGTGGACACAAGAGCAGCAAGAGCAGCAAACATTAACAGCCGCAATAACAGCGACGGCATCGCGTTTAATCCCGACATGGCGACCCTACATAGAGAAAACAATTCAAATTATTTATTTTCTTGTAATCTTTACTCAAACTATAAATATGGGCTAAATTATATTGGACCTGGAGACCTTACACGGACAGAACAAACCAGAGCAAGTATTTTCTAGCAATTTTTTCTCAAACTTCATACATGGATAAAATTTTATTTAGATCGTAATTGATATCACGCCAAATTCCAGCCATTGCATACTTTCACATTTTAAAAAATATCACTAAATTAATAAATTTAAATAAATTCAACCTTAATATGCGATAATGATTTGGGAGTGAAAAAAAATTCAGATGCTTGATGTAAAATTTCTAAATGATCAATAGACACACGTGAAACTTCTACTAATGATATAACTTCTTAAATTTCACTATTATTGACTTCCAGTAGTCAGTCAGTTCCCGCTCTCCAAACTGTCATTTAGTAAATTAATGACAACGACTTTATTTAATGATAATGATAACGATTTTATCCGAACTTTTTAAAATTATTCCATGCGAACGACCGAGATATAAACATTCTCGCTGATGACTTTCTTTTTTATACCTTATAATCGTATTAGGAATTCAAGATTCCATTATTCTAAAAATCCTAGATTTTAGAATTTTTTCCAGAATTAGAAGTTGGAAAATTTTTGTATCATTATTCATATCTTCGGAATTATTAGCATAAATATTAGCCTGTTTGTAATTGATAAACTGAAATCAAACAAAAATGACAACTATGATCCTTTGATCATGAAAATTTGAAAATAAATATTGAGACTTTCTCTAGACAAAAGCAAAGCAAATAAACAAACTAACGCAAGGTCTTGAATCGAGGTTGTTAGTTAATTCAGCGTGCTACGGTCAAGAATCTTTAGGAATCATTTCCAGGATCTCAATCACATGGCTTTTTATACAATCCATTTATAGAGCGTTTGACTAAATGTGAAATAAATACTCGTATTAAATGGCAATCCCAGGTATAACTGAGATATCAACTACGAAACTTTTGGGCCAATTTTGAAACAAAAATTATTTCTGTATACAAAAGAGATAATAATAAATAATAGAAATAATAGAAAGAATAAAGTGATCAAGTGGATAAATTATATTTTATTACTTTATTACACTTGCCCAGTAATCCCACATCTAGCTTTCAACCTGTATACTATTTTTAGTTCACATTTGTAAAAAGGCTTGAAGAAGGAGAAAACATCACAGTTTTGGAAAATTATTTATACATTTATACACTATGTATATTTTACAATGCGATCAAAGTTCTCATTTTATGCCACTGAATTGTTCTTGCAGTTTACGATACTGGCAGAGATAGCGATTAAAAGTTGAAATGATGTATCGTGAGAATTTGCGCAATAAATAAAATATATTGGACATTATAATATAAAATATTGGCTTTAATATAATTAAAAATATAAAGCAACATAATTTTTGGTGACAATTTTGCATGGAAGTAAGAACTTAGAATAAATCGAATCCTAATTAGAATTCTTAAGAGAAATTAAAACTCGAAAAACATGAAAGAGATGTTTGGTACTCGTTACCGATCGTAAGTGTGAACGGCTTGTAAATCGTTTTACGGTCGCGACAAGAAGTTTTAACAAGAAAAAACAACTAAAAAGAAGACTTCACCGTCCATTGAGCTTGATGATGAAGTTAGTCACTCGTTAGACCTCATGGCGAAACTGGAGGATGAATAGAGCTTCATTGTTTAGTTTCGAAATCTTCATGTTTCAAGCATGGTGCTGCCAAGAGGTTGAACAATGCAATTGCAATACACTTTAAGGCTTCTTACTGAAACTAACGCTTGCTAACTTATATATAACCCAGTAGAATTTTACGTAATTATAACAGTTTGTAACTTTTACAATAATGAGCAATTGAATTTTTGAACTAGAAATGAGCTCAATCTAACGAAAAAATCTTTACAAAATGTCTTCTATGATTTAGAAAGAAAAAATAGACAGGATTAAGAAAACATTATAAGATAAATTATGAACAAACGAATGGTGAATGTTTGTTGGAATGCGTTTCTCTGTTGGAATTCTCTCAAATAAAGAATTTCTAAGTTTAGGAGAATGGTTTTCTAGATAACATACCATGATTGTGGGGTGAACACTACAATACTTACATTTAGAAAATAAAATAAAATACAGTAATTACATTAAATAAGAAATAATAGAAACAATTGTTTATGCTAGCCATAACGCACATACGCTATAAATAAATGCTTATTGTAATGCACGGAACTTTGAATTTTTATTAATATTAAATAGATATTTTCTTCTTGCATGCATATACATTTTTCGTGGATTGACGTTGCAGGATCTATTTCAGCTTGAGCGTTCATTTCTTTTCATGGGTTTGACCGTTTATGAAAAAGGGTTTGACCGTTTTGTAAGAAATATATTAGAACGGAATTTTCTGCAATTTTATGTAATTTAAATTAATACCCCAATTCATAATCAGATTGAAGATGAGTGGGTAAATGGTTATTAACGTTTGATTGACTGATTTTGGTGCCGATTTTCAGCGATAATTATTCTTCTGGCATTGCCAGAAGAATATATAAATTAATTAAAATAATTAAATTAACCATTGGTTAATTTAATTTCCATATTTATGCACACGGTTGTAATTTTGCTTCAAAAGCATTAACAGATACAATTAGATGAGAAATATTTCGGAATTTGTGTGAATAAATTTACACCAACGTTATTTTTTAACCCCATTTCTAGAGATTTTACAGCCAGCTAAGACAACCTCCTTTGCAGAGGATATTTGAAGTCAGCTGTGCTGCAAGAATCGAAAAATAATGAAAATTACATACAAATAAATAGATAAATAAACAAGTAAAAATTCCTCAAAAATATGCAAGACATTAAAATATAGAAATTAGAAAAATATTAATGTTTAATCTCAAATGCAGAAAAAGATTCTTCCAATTCAACATAATGCAATGATCAAACTATACATTAACTTGAAAAATAAATGGCAAATCGTCCAATTTGACTTGATAAGAGTAGGTAAATTAGAGGTTTTAATAAATATATAAATTACTCAATCTTTATTAAAATATATTAGTAAAATAATGTATTCATTTGTGCTGGTAATCTTATTTATTTTTACAGGAATATGAAGCTCAATTGAAATCAGTTGACTTGAATTTCTTGGGACAAGATTAAAAATTTCAGTCTAATAAATTTATATAGAAGGTAGTTGATGCGAAATTATCTTCTTATGGCAAATAATAGCAGAATCTCATGTGACCTGAAAACGCAGATGAAAGGCATTGAATAGAATTTTTTTGTTACCAAAGTTCGAGTAAAACATGCCTTGTTTCTTGAATGGCCAGCAAAAAATGCATGATTGGACAGAGCAAACAAAGCGGCGATATAAGAGCAGCCAAAATCTCGTTAGAAGTCACACTGGGTTCCTCTTGGATTGAGGCAGGTGTCTTCTGTCAGACTCTTCCGACGTTTACAATTGACAAACATGAGAGGCTGGAGTGTGAAACTGGTAAGTGTTGGACAGAAACATGAGAGTCGGGGGTGTCAAGCTGGTGAGTGTTGGACAGAAACATGGTAGTCTGGAGTGTCAAACTGGTGAGTTTGGGGGTTTTAAACTGGTGAGTGTTGGTCAGAAACATGGGAGTCTGGAGTGTCAAACTGGTAAGTGTTGGACAGAAAAATGGGAGTTGGGGGTTTTAAACTGGTGAGTGTTGGACAGAAACATGAGAGTCGGGGGTGTCAAACTGGTGAGTGTTGGACGCAAACAAGGGAGTCTGGAGTGTCAAGCTGGTAAGTTTTGGATACAGACATGGGAGTTGGGGGTGTCAAACTGGTGAGTGTTGAACAGAAACATGGGAGTCTGGTGTGTCAAACGGATGAATTTTGGACGGAAACATGGAAGTCGGCGGTGTCAACTGGTGAGTGTTAGACAGACACATGGGAGTCCGGAGGTGTTAAACTGGTGAGTGTTGGATAAAAACATGGGAGTCAGGGGTGTCGAATTTAATCACAATCAGGTGGTTAACTTTGTGAGTATCGCATATATTTAATGAAAAAAGCTTTAGAACAGTTTGAACTAAAAATGAATCACGATTGACAAAACGTTAAACTGGTGTGTGTGTCTTTAGGGTCCCTTAAGAAATATTCATTTACCACTTGGATACTGACGGTTAGGAAAAGTTGTCATAACGATTGTAAATTGTGCATTTCATAGACAGTTAGTGGTTTAAGATCAAATCGGCATATGTGTGAGATCTCTTGTGATTTTGATTCACAAGAGATGATGTTTACGTTTTGTTAAAATATGTTTAAGATGTTAGGATAAGATAAAGATGTTAAGATAAGAAAATATGTTTAAGAACTCGGCTCTTTCAGTATACACGCCTACCAAAATCATCATAAAATTTATTTCCTGCTTTAAAAAAGTAAACATTCATCCAGTAATTGTAAGGATTTGTTAGACGGTAACCATTTATTTTTATTGAGCTACACCCCCCTTCCCTCCCTCAGTTAAAGATTTGTATTCGAATTTCTGGGAGGATTTTTCATTGAAGTGAACTCAAACGATACAAATTATAGATGCATAAAAATAGTCCCGAATCCCGATCTGTTTTTGACATACTTTTCTGCGAGCGAATATTGCCCTAGAATATCTGTCTACCGTTCGCAAGGCGTGGTTTCTAAAGCAAAATCTCTTCTAAAATTATTCTCAATTATAACTTTTCTCTTTCCAGACGATCGTATTAGTTGCGATCGTGATTGGGACCTCACAAGCACGACAGTCACGACTTGACGACGAAGAAAACCGTCTAAGTAATTCCAATGATGACGTGCAAAGACGCATCGACTTTCCCGACAAGTCAATTCTCAACCGCGTAATTCGAGCCGCTCTTGAAACGAGCGGTCGCGGCAGACGAGGAGATCTGATACCTGAGGCTAGCCAGCAGATCAGCCACGTGGCTGATCATGAATTACAAGTGGCTGCTGGTGGTGAGAAATAATATAAGTATTGTTTAAAATAACGATTTAAGTAGATTAATTTATATTTAAATTACAAATTATTACTAAAATAACCCTATATTAGGGTCGTTTAATTACTCATATTACTTATTAAAAATAGATTAAAAATATCCCAATAATGCCATGAAAAATGAGAAGCCTTCCTAATGAGAATACTTTTGGAGACTCAAATTGATCGCGAAAATCACAAAAGCCGTATGCTTTATTTTCTTACCTGCAATGCACACTTCATGCAATTCCAGTAATTTGTTAAATTTGTTCTTGAAAAGAAAGAAAAAACAAACATATTAGTTGTTATACGATTTTTACTTACGTCAAATAATACAGCGAGTATTTAATATTTCTAAATAACACCACCGTGCTGTGTAGAAATATTCAATCAATAACCTACTATTATATTGTGATAATTTTCGTTGCTTAACGTGATAGATAGAAGTACTTGAGTCAACGACGGGGGAAATAATGTTTTCTTGATGGTTAACGCCGTAAATAAAAATAATACAGATCCCAAATTTAACCTATAAATAACCTGTTACAATAATAATCTAACCTAATAATATAACATGGATATAAATTGGATACAGCATAATAACCGGATTACAATTCTAATAATAATCTATTTACCGCTTGTTATAATTTTGAGTAAAATCAGGCAATCACTCTGAAAATTTTCTACTAAAGGTCACGGAAAAGGCGATGGAGGTAAGGGTGGAAAAGGCAAAGGCGGAGGAGGAAAAGGCGGCGGAGGAAAAGGTGGTGGGGGAAAAGGATTTTCCAAGAGTCACAAATCCGGACACGACAAGTCAGCTGGACACAAGAGCGGCAAAGGCTTCAAAAGCGACAAAGGTCACAAATCTGGGCACAAAGCAGGGCACGGCAAAGGCGGTAAAAAGGTGACGATTCGAAAGTTTGCAGATGAATTAACTGAAATGTTTTGTAAGATTCTCGCTTTACACAGATGATGAAACGTATCAAAATATTGTTACCTATATTTTTAAAGTTATCTTTTCAATATAACTTGCACCGGTTCTAGTCGATTGCACTTTTTCGGATTTGTTTTAGAGTTTTCTTGTTAATTTTTATTAACAGAAAGTATAAATTTATTATTGGATTTCTATAAGTGAAAACTTTCTCAGGGCCATTTCGACAAAGGCCATCACGACAAGAAAGGCGATCATCACAAGAAACACTCCAAAGGCCATCACAAAAGCGGGAAGAAAGGAGGCAAAGGTCACAAAAAAGGCCACAAGGGACATTTCGGAAAGGGTCACAGTAAAAAGGTATATGAGATTTGAAGTTAGCGAATGAGTTGATAATCAAGTTCTAATCAGATAATACAGTAATTAGCCTCTGGTTTATATATATAGTCACAGAAAATGCAATGCAAAATTCCAATTCCGAAGAACTATTGACACTTTATATATTACGATTTCATCAAAATTGACGTGACGTGAGTCCAAATGTTATACATGAAATTTCGAAATATATTCTAGCCTCCACGAATGATGAAATAAAACATTATTAACAGTTTAGCATTAGTTTTTTTGTTTCACTTGTGTTTTCTGCACACCCGAAAAAATCACAGTAATAGATGAAGCTCATCTTATTTCTTTACACTTATCCATCAAGTCAGTATTTTACATTAATCACAGTATTGATAAAAAAGCTACTGAAATACGTACGCAATAATTAAGCCTTATAACGAAATTTCACGTTGATCTATCTACGGCAGGAAACTCATGTCTCCACATTTTGTTTTTACCTTCATATTTAATTAATTTCATTCAACTCCTGAGATGGTATCTGCACCACTGGAAGTATTTTTTCACATGAAAATCCATTTAAAGCATAATTTTATGGGCAATTTTACTGAGTTTCTAAAAATTGTCCTTAATTACAGAAAAAACATAAATGTCCTAATCCTTCAGTAAGCATACGGGCCTTAGACGTAGGCACAGAAGATATTTCAAAGTTGTATTTCGTCTTAAATATACACAAGTTTATGTGCGATTCTAAATTACAATTCTTCAAACCGGTCAAAAAGTATTTCAAGCACATGTAATGACTAATTCCCTGGTATATTTACTTCAAAACTTGAAGAAATTATAAATCAACTTCCTACAAAGCAGGTGTTTTAAATCACCTTCCATCATTAATTCATGAGTTGTTTGTCTCCATTTAATTCAATTTTCGATTTTGAGGTCAATGGATTAAAGTACCCTCTCGGTAGGTATTCTAGAGAACCCTTTATCATTAATTTCAGATACCTTCATCAATTACAAAGTCAAGGGAAGAATAGCAAGTGTTTTAAGTGTCAATGTTCCATTTAATAAAAATAATAACCATTTTTTATTATAAAATAATCTAATAATAATTGAATATTGATAATCTAATAGTATTTTAATGATAATAAAAAAATTAACATTATTTTTATTGACAATTTAATAAAATCTTCATTTTTAAACTTCAGGGCTTCAAGCACGAGAGCCACAAGAGCGAGTCTGGCGTAAAGAAGAAGTTCCACGACCACGGCGACAAGAAAGGCTTTCACGGCGGCCACGACCACTTCGACTCGTTCTTCAAGAGCGCCAAAGGCGGTGGACACAAGTCCGGCAAATTCGGAGTGAGTGTCACTTTCTTAAAAAAAAATTTTTATTACTATTCATTGCTTTAATGTATTTTTTGGAATACAAAGTTTTTTTTAATATTAATGCATCAAATCTCTGTAGGAAATTAGATGATAAATTTTCAGGTATTTTATGGTGTTCACTTATTTATATTTTATTGTTATGCGTCACGTCTCTCAATTAAGGAGTGACAATTAGATGGCAATTTTCGATTCTTCACCATAAGCGAAAGATTATCGTGCTTGCCAGACGCCTAATAACAACTATTTAACAAAAATTGTTAACGTCGTGTTGCTAAGCTAACGAATTAATAAATGTTTGTAAGTAGGTTAATGTGAGTTAGAATGTATTTAACACGGATATATTTAGATCCTTGTAGATTTGTTCTCAAGGATGAACACATGTCAAGTGAATTAAATAATAGAGTGACACTTCAACCTATTTTTTTCAAATCAATGACATAGTGATTTTCTAAATGAAAATAGATTTGATATTTATGTGCGGAGGATCAACGCAGAACAATTTTTTAGAACGTTGGGCTACTTCTTGTGATGCATATATAGTATGTTGTTGATTATGTTAAGCATTATCTTTGATACCATGTAGATTAATGAAGAGATTTGTTTCCTGCTTTCTGTTCATAAACGTTCCTCTCTGATACTATTGTAAAATTATTAACAAATATGTACAATACTGACATGAATTCTTTGATATTTTTCAGGGCCATAAGAAGCATGACGGTCACGGCAAAAAAGGCTTCTTTGAAAAAGGCCACAAGGAAGGACACAAAAGCGGACACAAGAGTGGACATGGGCACAAAGGCCACCACGGACACAAGAGTTCTCATGGAAAGAGTGGCGGTCATAAGAGTGGCAAGAGTAGTAAGCACTAACGAGAACAAAAATAACATGATTTTTCAATTCATATTTAATTCCTTGCAAATATCCTACAGGGATAGTCGTGTAACATCTTTTTTCGTTCCTTTCTCACTCCCTTTACATTTATTCTTCTTTGCTTCATTCTACATTCATCCGCTTTTGCTTCATCTCACTAATCCCAAAACATAATAATACAATATTCTAACAGCTATACGAATTAGATACATCTACATAGATACAGCTATACATCTACTTAGATACAGCTTTATATACATCTAATTAGATACATCTATTCAGTTTAGGAAAATGCGTGGCATGAAAGTTAATTTTAGGACCGTATGAGCTTCATATGACTCATAATTATACTCATATAATTCAAATAAAATTGAATGTTTCATGGTGCCAAATTTAATTATTTCGATAGTAAAATTTTGTTATCATTCCGGATTGTTTTTTACGATAGTAAAAAAAGGTGTTATTAATTTCTTGATCTTGTGTGTCATTAAATTTCTGCTTCAAGTTTCATAATTCAAATCAGTTGATGAAACCATTTTGAAATCATGCAGTTTTCACTGGGAATTTTAAAAATATAAAATTTCTTAATATTTTAATTTCTTCTTAATATTACATTTCTTAATATAATCTTAATATTTAACATTTCATAAAATATAAATAATTCTTCTATATCAGGATAAACCTTGACATACTTATTTTAAAATGTATCGCATACAGGAAAATTATTTGAACACCAGTATTATTTTACGAGTTTCAATGAGAACCCAGTTCGACTTACGAAAATAACGAACGAACGAATGTATCGAAAGGACTTCGTTAATTGTGCTGAAGCTCTTCACGAAATAAATAAATGAAAACTTTTTTACTTTTTTCTGTCCTATTTATTTATTTTTAGGTAATTGGAATTATCTGTTGGATTTATAGACTTAAATCATTGAAGTTATTCAATGAATTTGTACTCAACGAAATCAGCATCCACTGCAAATTATTGCAAGATGTCGGTGAAAAAAATTGTATATCAGAGGTGAAAAAATTTACTTTTCGTTTCGAGTTTTCCGGCATATTTATGAAATATTTAATCTTCAAGTAGCTGATCCTTAAAAGTTAAATGAGCAACTGATTCGGTTGCTTATCACCCACCGAAGAATAAAGGAACATAAATGCTTCAAAGAATCAATCCATTTTCATGGTTTTATTTTCATATTATCGCTAAAAACTTCAAGCATTAAAAATTCTTTGAATGTTGAAATGAAACAAATAATTTCTTAATGAGCAACGCTTTGTGCTTGAAAATGCACAATTTACGCGAGATATATTTGGTGATACTTTTCTCCTTTTAAGCTGATTCAAATTTCGAATTTATATCAAACTTTAATTTCTACGCACACGACCCAATGTTTTTGTAAAATACAAATAAATCTGATGATCAGGCTTCCAAAAAGGGCAAAATTCGGTTAAATTTTAATGCTCGTAACTTGACTACGGACCTTAACTAAGTTACGTTATAAGGTTTCTTTCTCAAGTTATCTTATGTTAAAAAAACATCTCTCCATTTTCAGGGAAAACCTCGAGTGTACACATAATTACACTGCTGTGCTTCGATTTCCTAAAGTTTCCTTGTGTTATGGACCTATAATTTATTTTGATCAATTATTCAAAGTTGCATTATATTATTATTCAATAACAAACCTAATATCTTGGTCCTGGAAGACTTATTTCGAGAAGAAAACACAAGCAATTTACGCCCGTCATTTGAACGCTGGCCGATTGTATCGTTGTTGAAAGAAAAAAACGTTGACGATCTTCAATTCAACGATTTTCTATTTTGTAAAGCATCAATGGATTCTCTTGCTAAATTCTATTAGAATTTGTTTCATACCTATGATGAACATAAATCTAATTTTTCAACTTTGTTTTGTACATTGCAAAAGTACTTTCTCGGTGAACCAAAGTTTAGTATTAGATCTGACCTATTTTATGTAAAAAGTTAATCAATGTAAAAATATGCTAGTCTTATTATAAATTTTTAAATGGATGAAAGTGTAATTATTTGATAATAAAAATATATTGTATGGATCTGTTACAAAGAAAGGACGTAATTTTTTTACAGCGAAAATATCTGTACTCGTTGTGAAATTTAAAATGGCTGTCGCTCTTTTAATTCAGTAAAATGGAAATGACTCTAGTGTTTTGCTTAATAGTACCTGTTCTCATAATTATAATAAGAGAACATTGGAAAAATGCTGTAGGTGGAAAATAATATGGTTAAGATTTCAACATTATATCTTTAAAAATTTGCGTATTCTCTGAAATCGCTAGAGCTTATTATGAGCAGCCAATATTACCTGCTCATAACAGCAGCTAATTTTGGCTGCCAATATTAGCTACTTGTTACAGCAGCCAATATTAGCATTATTGTCCAAATAGTAATACACTTTCTAACCCACATTACTAACAAAATGCAGACGTTGCACTGATACGCCTTTATAGTTTATGCCAGGCCAAACTGAGTCAGGTTGAGCCACACAGAGGCAAAAAATAAATCAGTACTCACTGCAGTGAGTGACAGAGAGCGCATTTTCTCGTCGACGAAAACGTGAAGTCACGGACGGACAGACGGACGGGACAAGCACAATAGTGCAATTTTTCTATAAATGAGAAAATGCGCTAAAAATGCATCGTTATTTAGACAAATACCCATTCATTTGTCTGTGTACATGTATGTTATTATTCTCACGTGTTTCGCAGGCGTTACTTATAACATGGCAAAACGACGTTATGCAATACTTACTCCGTGTATTAAAGGCTTTTAAACCATTGAAAAGTGTTAGGCAATATTGACACGTAAGTCTAGTCTTATTTTCTCGGGCTTGCGAGTTACGCCCCTCTTCATGCATGCACGTTAATTGCCTTTACAGTAAAAAAAATTAATTGGCCATATTATATAAAGTGTGACATACCTGCCATACGTATAACTGATACGGCCTTTTGTCAGGGCAAAGTGGGTTAGCATGACTCACACATGAGCCAAAAGTGCATCGAAATTTGTGAAATCTTTCACTCATTTCTACTACCTATTGCATATTTTATGCTGCAAAATTCTGTGAAGAAATATCATTAGAATCTTAGCCAAAAGATTTACATTTGGTAGCACCCAAAAAATGAGGAGCTCCACAAAATTTTCATTTGTGTTTTTAATTGAAAAATTAGCAGCGGTCATCTTGTCAGCGATTCATTTTTTAATGAGATTTCCAGTAATTTGTACGTTTTTTACATATAGATATTCGGTCAAACTTAATTATATTATTTATAATATAATATATTATATGTCAACCATTATCGGTAAAACTGTATAAAGAGCCGGTTTCACTGCAAACTAATTCGAATCAAAGATGAACCTCACCATCAAAACTATCAGCCGTTCAAATCAATTTCTCTAAGCTTTATAATTCTCAACAAATCTATTCACTAACTCACATAGCTGAGCTAAGGCTGAGAGTTCGTAGAAACTGAAAGTATTATGTGGGTGTGGCTTAATCCAGACTCACGTATCTCCCGAACAGGAACCCAGTGTGCTGAGTCACACATTAGAAAATTCAGTCACGGATTCATAGGAAACTCAGTGTCTCTGATAATTATTGCTAGAAGCATTTCCTTTTTGGCTGAACAGCTACCAATTGATTTTGAAACGATCAGAGGGCGTTGGCTGGTGCTGTATAAAAGCGTGCGGGTAGTTCACTGCGTCACAGAGTAGCCGTGCGCTGGTCAAGTGCAGAGTTGGACTCCGAGTACCGAAGTCTGCAAATTTGGAATCGAAAGTTTACCCTAAAAAGCTTAGTTAACGATGACAAAGGTAAGTAAATTACAGATTTAAGTATAAAAATAACTATATGACAAAAGAAGTGTATTTTTTAAAAGCATTAATCGAGAATTCGATACTTGAACATGCCGAATTTAATGATTAATTCTATTAGTAGTTTAAGTAAGCGGAAATGATTTATACATGAGGGTGGGGATCTGAATTATATTTTCATAAATGAATCCCCACATTTGCACGATAATTTTAATGTTTCATTCACCACTTTTTTGGGCGCATTTTGTCTTAGAATTACTGCTTACCTAAATTACTCTCCTAAATCACAGTGGTTGTTTTAACGATATATATTTCAAATGGAAGAATCAATAAATTAACCAAATGAAAATATTATTATGATGGCTTCAATTTAAATTTCATTTGATCTCATGAGTCTGCATATATTTTTAAAATATATATATATATAGTATATATATTTTAAATTATTTATATATATACCGCAAATAAATGTCTGGTATCTAAATTCAATGACTGCATAAACATGTTTTGTTGTTAAGTGCTAGTGACAATATAACACACACATAGGATCACACATAGTGCGCTCTATAATACTTACATGAAAACATTAAAAGGTAACGCTTCATATTTTTTCGTAAGCTATTAAAAGTAATGCAAAGAAACCAGAAGCCATTTCGCTCGTTCAAAAATTAGAACGGAAACTCAATATATTTTAATCTTGGAGCATTTGAGGGTCTTACCTGAATATTTTAATCTCTATTTTATACTCATTACTTTAATTTTCTACTTTCTCCTTTTTTGCCCTGGAGTGAATAGTTTTTATTCATACAAATTATTATAATATTGAGTATTTTCAGCGCATTTTCTCATTTATGGAAAAAAATGCGCTATTGTGCTCGTCATGTCCGTCTGTCCGTGACTTCACGTCAGAGACGGACGAGAAAATGCGCTCTCTGTCACTCACTGTAGTGAGTGCTAAGTTATATTTTTAATACTTTTTAATTTAATTATCTAGTCTATACTTTTTGCCCTGGAGTGAATAGTTTTTATTCGTAAAAATTATTATAAACTTGCGTATTTTTTTCATCAGTTTTCAGTGGTTGCTGCATTTGGGCTGTTGGTAGTGGCAGCAGCTGCAGCAACAGACGTGCCTGTGGCAGACTTGCAGACTTCTGGCAGCGGAGTGAAAGTCGTCAAGACTTATGACTTGCAGACTGCAGCGACTGGTGCGTGTGTTCCCCACTTGATAACTAATACGCTAGTCTGCACATTTCCAAACTCATGGAGTTTCAGTTAGTCATTCCGAAGACTATTTGTGGATAGGGCGTGTTATTATTATTATAATACTAATAATATATTAGTATTTAGTATTTTATTTTTATTAGTACTTTTTAGTTATATTAGTATATTAGTATTATTAATATTGCTATCATTCATTGATCTTATATAATATTAGTATTAAATATTATTAACTGAAGTAGTTCATCAGCGTACAATTCATTAATGATTTATTTTTATAACTTAATTCTTGTTGATAAACCTCGATAATAAATCATTACACGTTCTCTCGCTTTCAAATGTCTATACGAAAATGACTGATCATTCTGCACGTTGCCATAAAATTTAATGGTCCTTGTAAATCTTTGCAATTAAGAATGAAATTATATACATTGGTGTCCAACAAATTTATTTTAATATTGCCAAGAGAAAAGTATCCAGCGTATCCTAGCGGTGATTTTCAGCACGAAGAATGTCCATGGCCCGTATGCTAAATAGGGCACTAGCACTATGAAGTAGCACTACGCACTACAAGCCATAGTGCGGCATGGAACACTACGGTTGGCATGCTAAATAGGGCACTAGCACTATGAAGTAGCACTACGCACTACAAGCCATAGTGCGGCATGGAACACTACGGTTTGTATGCTAAATAGGGCTAAAAGCATAACGCGCACTACAAAAATCTGAAGTGTCCTACACACCGCACTTCACGACGACAGTACGGTATATTTCACCTTGTTTACTTCGTCAGCTATGGATCTGTTTGGCTTACAGCAAAGGCATCATCGCGTAAAAGCCTCAGGAACTACATGCCATGAATACTTATGGCTGACATTTTCCTTGGCGAAACAGATGAACAGCGTAGAAATAGAAAATACTTTTCTTGTTTTTGATACCATGTTTTGAATTTTTTTTTTCTTTTGAGTCATTTTGAATTCTTCTGCAAGAACTTTCCATGCTTCTCTCTTTTGTTCGATGTCTTTGGGAAGCGTGGACTTTGAATATACAGTATGATGGGAAAGGTGCGCAGACGCATTGCGAATTTCAGCTCACCATCACAATTTTCACTAGTACCGTTATATACCATCACAATTAGACATTTTACATCAATCTTCTACAAAGAATGAGAATTATTTGGGGAATAATTAATTATTTGAGCACTTAACTACCATTCTTCAATAGACTGATAGCGTAGTGCGGCACTATAAAGTACTCTAACAACGAAGTAGCACTTCAAAGTCTTTCTGCATACGAACCAGTAGTGCGACACTAAGCGACACTAAACATTGTAGAGCTACTTCGGAGTGCTTAGTGTCTGTGACGTATTTAGCATACCAACAGGACACTTCGTAGTGCATAGTGCTACTTCGTAGTGCTAGTGCCCTATTTAGCATACGGTCCCATGTCGCAGGTTACTATCACCCTTCTCACGACCACCACGACCATCACGGCTACTCTAACGACCACCACGACGGTTACCACAACAACATCGGCTACAAAGGCACGCACGGCTACAAAGGCATCGATGGCAAACACGGTCACGGCTACGGTAGCTTCGGCAAAGGCCAGGATCTGGTGAGATGATAAGATGGTTAAATAATTTTCCAATTATTAAATAACCTGAAGAAGGCAAGTGTGATTAATACTGCATAAATCATATGAATTATTAAATTTACTTAAATAAAGCATTTAAACGATTAACCTTACTTAGAGAAGGCATATGGATGGTTAACTTAAAATTTTAGAATAATAATTTACTTTACTTAAAAATCAATGAGTGACTAGATTTTAGCCGAATAAAAGTAAAAGAACAGAGAGCTGCATCTGAATATTTTTTATATACTGTTGAAATATACTGTAGAAATTTGTCACAAGCAAGAATACGTCCGCGAAAATGTGCTATTTTTTACAAACTTTTATAACGCACAAGATGTGCTGCTGTTATCTTGCTACACTGCAGATGAACTATTATTTATTAAATGGTGAATTCATAGGTGATATGAAATATGACTCACGACTTCGACAAGCCCAAATGTCAGTTAGAGGGTAGCATCTACATTTTATCTAATTGCAAATAAATACTTATATATTCTACAAAAACATTATTCAAGTAGACATTATACTTATTATTAGAACATCATTGACATTATCTACATTATTCAATGTAGTTGTTTATAATCTAAGCCGGCGATAGGGCAAAAAATTGTGTAAATTTTTTTGAGAAAGTTAAAGTGTAGAAAAGTATAAATCTGCACCAAATTTATCAATGGGTAGGATGAGTTCACAAATGTTCAAATTTTTGTATGATATGCCGCTATTATTTGAAGTGAATCTTAAAACTCAACTCTTTCATTACCTCAGGGATTTTACGACAAAGGCGCATCTCTGTACAAAGGCGACGACCACCAGAGCCACCTCAAAGGCGGACACGTATCCGGAGCTCATGGAAGCAAAGGCCATCTTGCCGGATCCAAAGGCCACGTCAACAAAGGACACAAAGATAAGGTTTGTTGTCGTCCATTCGTTTAAACCGATCGGAACAAATGGAATTTCATGGTACATTTATTTCAATAAATAGAAGACGGCTCCCCTTACTCATGAATGAGAAGGAAAAATATACATTTTATTATATTATAAAATCACACTATCCAGGGCATTATGAACGATCACCGCAAGAAGGAGATCAGTAACGTCTCTCCACAAATAAGACTGGATCACTATAATTGTACTAACAGATATGTTAGCTGACTTTTATTTTTTCATTGAAAAAAATAACTTGGCTGTCTTTCCCAACCTCACGATCTGTTTCGACCTTACCCGATTCTACCCGAGTAAAATCAATCCGATTCTAGCCGGGCAAAATCACTCCGATTCTCCCCGGGTAAAATCACTCCGATTCTACCCGGGTAAAATCACCCCGATTCTCCCCGGGTAAAATCACTCCGATTCTACCCGGGTAAAATCACCCCGATTCTACCCGGATAAAATCACTCCGATTTTATCCGGGTAAAATCACCCCGATTCTACCGGGACGTATTGTTCAATCTGCAACACGTTTGCTACTCACTCTTGCAGGGCTTCAAGAACGTGTACCACAAGGAGGAACATGGCTTCTCCAAGGTCTTTGAAGACGATGCAAACAAAAACTTGTTCCACTCGAACTACGACGATGCAGATAGATTCCACAAGTCCCACAAGGCAGGAGGTTTCAAGGGAGGAAAATTCATTGTGAGTCATCTTCGGGAACTATGATAATATATGCAACGAATATATTTGAAATTATAGGCATTCATGTGATTTTAGAATAAAGGCTTGATAGGTCCTTTAATTTTTAATGTATCTGTTGATCGAATTTGTGCAAGGTTTATGAACAGAAAATGCAGATTTATTATAGGTTTAAGGGGGTTTTAATGAAATTAGAAAAGTGTTCACCTGAACACTGAATTATCTGTAATAATTTTTTAACGGAACAGGAAAAATATTAGTTTGATAAACATATATAAATCAAATTGTCTTTAGTTGAAACACATTTTACGTTTTACGACCACAGGATGACAAGCACCACAACAAGTTCGGGTCCAAAGGCCACGACGCGCACGGTCACTTCCACGACGACTTTAAAGGCAACAAAGGCATCCACGGTCACGACAGTCAATACGGACACAAGTCCTCTTATGGCCAACTCGGTGGACATGGACACGGCCATGGGCATGGTTATGGCCATCACGGACACGGCTTTGGTGGTCTCGGATTTGGTGGACACGGACATGGATTCGGTGGACGCGGTATTGGTTTCGGCGGACACGGTCACGGATTTGGTGGACATGGATTTGGCGGACATGGTCTCGGATATGGCGGTCATGGTCATGGATTCGGCGGACATGCTCTCGGATTTGGCGGTCACGGGTCTGGGTATGGTCACGGATCGAACTTCGTGGACGTTGACGGTCACGGCGGCGGCCACGGTGGATTTTTGTACGGCCGCCCTGGATTTGGCTACGGCAGCGCCCACCGTTTGGGGCACGGCAGCGGACTCGGTTTTGGTGGACATGGACACGGAATTTCCTTCACTAACAGTTACGGTCACTAACCGTACGGCCCTTGCCTTTGGATGAACCGCACACTGAGAGAAATGACTGAGACTTTGTCCAAATAGCTTTGCACATTTTGTCATTGTATTGGTAATCTTGATCCAATTTGTCCTGGTAAAATGGCGTATCAGTGTTACGTGCAGAAAGTGTCTCACTATTTATACAATATGATCCGTTCATTTTTCTTAGTGCGAATAAAATCATCCATTGAATGATTTTCCCGTGTTGAACTCTTGAATATTTATACTGAATAATTTTTCCCCTCTACATCTATGCCTATTCCCCTCTACATCTTTTCAGTCCAATAATTAAATCCAGATTTCGCCCCCATTTGGTAGTACGCGCAACAAAAGCTAAATATGAATCACAATTTCAACATAAATTATTCATATCTGTGACTGAAATTGAAACGAACGAAATATTTTTCAATAGCTCCACAATGTTATTCTCATGGATCACTGTGAAAACTTTAAAGAAATCCTTGTGATAAATTGTTAAATAATTTTTTTAATGCCAGCTCTGGTTATTCGTATCGAGGTGAATGAACTTCAGCCTCTTCATTTTAGACTGAAAACCAAAGTGAGTGTTGAAATTTTCTTTGTTCCAAAAATCTACCACTAATAACAAATAAATAGATTTTATAAAATCTCTTGACACGAATAATTATGACCTGGAAGGATGTTCACTCTGGAGGAACTGACCGATTACGAATATTATTCAATAAAAAAGTTTCATGAAAAAATTTTTGGGGTAATTTATTTTTTCTCATTATCTTTACATCTCGGAACGAGTCTTAATATTTGTCCAAAGTTGTAATTACTTCATTTATTCATTAAGTAGCCAGCGATATATTAAATTGATTTTGATTTCACTGGCTGCCTTAATTCTACATATTTCAGTTCAATCGTTTCCAAAATGCGTTTTTTGCTAATAACACTAATGGTCGAACCCATATCATTTCATGCGCTTCAGATTTTTGCATTGGCTGCATGAATTTCATAGATGTTAGTTAAACCGTTTTAGAATTTGTGTTTTCCGATAGGGACTACAAAGATTCAACATCGAATATCACGAAACTCGATTAATCAATAACTTTCTAACGGCACACTGGCCGCATTAGTTTTAAAACTGTTTTTTATTCACGGAAATTATCACCGAAAATGCCATTTTGAAACGGCTGAATTGACTCTTATTATAATTGGAGGACCTATTTTTTCGAACGGCCACACTGACATCAATGCCATTAATGCAGCCAATGCGCAGTTAGGAAATGAATGAATTCCTCAAGTCTCGGTTTATTCAGCTTTGAACCTTGATATTTATAAACAAAGAACCTTATTCTGTAATGGCAAAAATATCATCCTTAAAATTCATGCAGCTGTTGGGCAGTTTGTCCGTAAATTTTTTCTTCTTTTCATGTGACATTTGGTGTTGAATCATGCGAATTCTTATTGGAAAACCGATTTCGAAACCGTTGAACTGTTTCCTGAAAAACTTTTAGGCCGTTTGAGCCGCTGAAATACAAATGAATTTATTGAGCTAAATGAAAATTCATATCATGAAAATTTTTACCGAAAATATAATTCTGAATCGGCTGAACTGATTGATATCTCAGAAAATTGGCAAACCTAATTTTGATATGGCCTAACAGATATCTGTGATATTTATGGATGCAAGTATTGATGAAAACTTTTGCCGAATACAATATTCTGGATTAGCTGAACTGTCATTTATTATATTTATGCAGTCATTGAATCCTTGAATTTATTACCGGTAATCTCAACTTGAAACTGCTGTTGATTCTCCCCTTAAAACTGAAATTGATTCTCTCCTTGAAACTGCTGTTGATTATCAACTTGTAAATGCTGTTGATTTTCAACTTGAAACTGCTGTTGATTTTCAACTTGAAACTGCTGTTGTTGTTGCTGCTACATATGTCAGTTGAACCAATTCCTCATTACATTTTCCGGTTCATAATAACTACAATGATTTAACACCGAATGTCACCTAACTCGATGAATCATTTCTATTCCTAACCGTGCTGGGGCATCATTAATTCAATATATGCCAGTTCAGCTGCATCCAATATGCGCTTTGCGATCATAACTAAAATGATTCAACAGTGAAAATCACTTCACTCGAGAATTTCTTTCGCTTTTCAACTGTGCAGTTTCGGTATGAATTAATTTATCATCATATGTTAGTTAAATCATTTGTGTTGTCAGGCCATAGCATTTCTATTAACTCATGTCAGGGAACATCGCACGTTAAGATAACGCAAGCCTCAGTGACATGTAATCTACTGTGAGGTAGTAAAGTTACGCAGGTAATCTACTGTGAGGTAGTAAAGTTACGCAGGTAATCTACTGTGAGGTAGTAAAGTTACGCAGGTAATCTACTGTGAGGTAGTAAAGTTACGCAGGTAATCTACTGTGAGGTAGTAAAGTTACGCAGGTAATCTACTGTGAGGTAGTAAAGTTACTCAGGTAATCTACTGTGAGGTAGTAAAGTTACTCAGGTAAACTACTGTGAAGCAGTAAAGTTACTCAGGTAATCTACTGTGAGGTAGTAAAGTTACTCAGGTACGCTACTGCGAGGTAGTAAAGTTACACAGGTACTATACTGTGAGGTAGTAAAGTTACGCCGGTACGCTGCTGTGAGGTAGTAAAGTTACACAGGTAATCTACTGTGAGGTAGTAAAGTTACTCAGGTACGCTACTGCGAGGTAGTAAAGTTACACAGGTACTATACTGTGAGGTAGTAAAGTTACGCCGGTACGCTGCTGTGAGGTAGTAAAGTTACACAGGTAATCTACTGTGAGGTAGTAAAGTTACTCAGGTACGCTACTGCGAGGTAGTAAAGTTACACAGGTACTATACTGTGAGGTAGTAAAGTTACGCCGGTACGCTGCTGTGAGGTAGTAAAGAGACACAGGTACTATACTGTGAGGTAGTAAAGTTACTCAGGTACGCTACTGCGAGGTAGTAAAGTTACACAGGTACTATACTGTGAGGTAGTAAAGTTACACAGGTACGCTGCTGTGAGGTAGTAAAGTTACGCAGGTACGCTGCTGTGAGGTAGTAAAGTTACTCAGGTACGCTGCTGTGAGGTAGTAAAGTTACTCAGGTACGCTGCTGTGAGGTAGTAAAGTTAGGCAGGTACGCTGCTGTGAGGTAGTAAAGTTACACAGGTTCGCTGCTGTGAAGTAGTAAAGTTACACAGGTACTATACTCTGAGGTAGTAAAGTTACACGGGTACTATACTGTGAGGTAGTAAAGTTACACGGGTACTATACTGTGAGGTAGTAAAGTTACACGGGTACGCTGCTGTGCAGGCAGTAAAGTTACGCAAGGGCGCTACTGTGAGGTAGCAAAGCAATATAATAGTGAGAACTCAAAGATTTGAAAAATTCCCTGATTTTTTACATGTTCAATTGATCTTATAAATGTAGGAGTCGGTCAGATACTAGCGAAACTTAAAATATGAAAGTTTTTAAACTCAAAAAGAACAATGAATTTCAGTTCATAATTTTGCATTCCTCATGATGGACTCATTATTCCAACTTGCATAGAATGCTTTACAATAATAGGTTACACCTATTGTTCCCGATCTTATCAGGGAGCTTGAGGAACTGATGTGATTGTTCCCAATTTATTTATGCAGCTTCATAAATATTGAGGATCTTTGCGGCGAAATTTTTGATTGCCTCGTAAATTTTCCGATAAAGGCGTAATTTTCCGATAAAGGTGCCTGCCTTTCACGAACAAGGCCGATGATTACAACAGCTACTTCAAAGGGGCCCTTATCAGAGGCTCTTTGAAACAAAGGCAGTAGAGGCTTCAAGAAGTAAAGGAACTAAAGGGAAGAGGATGCCATTATCGATGTTCTAATTACCTTAGGGCTCTCCTAGTCGCCATTAACTTAGGGTTCCTCTAGTCACCATTACCTTAGGCTTAGGGCAATGTTTTCCAAAGTGGGCGATATCGCCCCCCTGGGGGCGGGGGAAAGATGTGGGAGAGCGATGAGGAAGAAAGGGGCAGTAGGGGGGGCGGCAGTCCGCGAAGTCGAAGTCAGAAGTTCGTACGTTTGTTTGCCGATTTGTACTCATCAAATGCAGAACATGACTCCGAATCGAATAAATTTTCACGAGCTAAAAATCACCGTTTGGTAGTTGGGAATTTATATTCAAAATTTCGTTCGAATCCGTTCAGTAGTTTGGAAAAAATTATTTGATTTGTGCGAATTTCGACCCTTATCGCCATATAACTCCCGAATGGAGGTGAAATTTAAAATTTATTCACGAGTTGGACATCACCGTTAGGTTCTAATGAATACGTGTTCCAAGTTTCATCGAGCTGCGCTCGATCATTAGTTTGGGAGATATTCCTCGGTCACTGAATTTTGAGATTGACGTGAGACCGGCTGCGAGACCGGCCACGAGGCCGGCCACGAGACCGGCCACGAGTCCGGCCGTAAATTTGTCCGAGCGGCCTTGAATTTCTAGTGCTGACTGTAAAAAAATATATGTTTTACTAAATGGGGTTCTATTTGTGATATACACATTTGTGCTTAACCTTTCTCTTTTAAAATTGCAGCATACTAAATATCAAGAAAGAGGCGTTTGTTATTATATGTGTCTGTCGGGGGGGGGGCGCTAGAGATTCACTGGGGAGCCAAATGGGAAGCCAGCCTGAAAAAGTTTGGAAACCACTGCCTTAGGGTTTTCCTAGTCACCATTAAATTTGGGTTTTTATAGTCACCATTAACTTGGGTTCCTTTAGTCACCATTACCTTAGGGTTTTCCTAGTCACCATTAAATTAGGGCTCTTCTAGTCACTATCACCTTAGGATTCTCCTTATCACCATTGTGTAAACTTCTGTGTTATATTTGCCTATCACGATATTGTGTTATATTTGCCTATCAGCGACTTATTAACAATTTTTAGCTGAAATGTTCGTGTGACGTGTTATTAAGATCATTATTCAATCAAGATAATTTTATTCGTAGATATCAATTGTATTCAGTAATGAATAGTTATCTTCTATCATTGTTTGAACAATGTTTTACTTCTGGAAAGAATATTTATTTCCCCTGTCATCTAATAAAAAATTATTACTAGCTTGTATGCAACGGTCAATTATTTTCCGCAAATTTTTAGCTAATTTGCGCACGTGTTTTCAAATTTGGTGGAAATCTAAACACTATGTATTTCTTGAAGTAATACGTTAATTACATTAATTTAATTAATTTAAGAAATATTGAATTCTTGAGTTAATAGTTAATTCAATAAGAAATACATATATCAAAGAAAATATCAATCTGATCGCCTATAACTTGAACTTCTGATTGGGCCGCATGTTCTTCAAAATTGTCGGCGGATTCCGAACAATATTACGCCGTAATAAAGCGATATTCAGCTTAATAACGATTAGAAAGGAATTTGATCGTGCATTTCTAACATAAGTTGCGTTGTGTAGGAATTTTTAAATGATAATTTCGACTATATTATTATCAATTATGAATCGGTTATATTATAGTATATACGAAGTATATATCAATCATCGTGTTCATTGGATCACGTTCGCGATGTTCGATTTCGCGGTTGCCCGGTTGCGTAACCGGAAATTCTTCCGTGGAAACTTGCGACATCGAAAGAAAATTCGGAGCAGCGAGAGAAAGTTGCAAGTCATGGTGCCGGTAATGCCTGTCGGTCCGCATCTCAGAAAGTCTGCGTCTCAAGTAAGTCCTAGTCCATAAAAAATTGAAAGTTCAATTTCTTGCGCTACAATTACGACGCGGAAGGTAACAAATTGAAAAATAACGAAATAATTTATTTTTTTTTCGTTAGCAGTATCATGATTGTTGAATATTTTTATCTATAATTTTGCTTTTTACACACTTTTTTAAAAATGTTTAACTGACATATAACAAAATCTTTTTGGGGAAATCAATGCCTGGTAAAAGCTAAGAGATTATTTTAGCTTCACTATTATTGATTTTTGAATATTCATATAAATATAATTAGTTCCGTTCTTTAAGATAGTCTTGTTGACTATGTGTTTAAACGCATAAACGCGCGTTATAAAACCAATACTCTTGACTGATACCAATGGTCGATATTAAAACCGCTTTACATTTACGCAATGCACATAAACAAATACTCTAAACTCATCTTTAATTTGATTACTTCTATTAAAAAAATTATTTTTGCCTAAAAATATATTTCTATGATGTTCTAGTCTATTATTTTCTTTAATACATATAAAATAAAATTTGACTGCTTTGTGGCGTAACAGGCATCATTTTCGCTTAAAAAATATCGTTTTCTCTCTTAAATACTCATGAAAAAATGCAACAAATTTCAATCGTCGAGAAAAGTATTGCAATTTAGTTTTATTAGTACCCGTCCTAGTTGACATGAGGGCTCATGACGCAACATCAACACCACAAGTCCCTTGACAGAGACCAGGCTGGTAGGTGTCTCTTACACCACATGTCCCTTGACAGAGACCAGGCCGGTAGGTGTCTCTTACACCACAAGTCCCTTGACAGAGACCAGGCTACCACAAGTCCCTTGACAGAGACTAGGCTGGTAGGTGTCTCTTACACCACTAGTCCCATGACAGAGACCAGGCTGGTAGGTGTCTCTTACACCACTAGTCCCATGACAGAGACCAGGCTGGTAGGTGTCTCTTACACCACAAGTCCCTTGACAGAGATCAGGCTGGTAGGTGTCTCTTACACCACAAGTTTTCGACGTGTTGCAATCATGCGATGTCACCGTCTGCCCCGTGGCACGAGTTGGGCAATAGAGTTTCACTGTCGCTGTTACCGACGCTCCTGCAAATATAAAACCTGACTTGCTTCCGCGAACTTAGATCACTTCAGGCTGCCATAGAGGCAGCTTAGCTCCAGGAACTCTTCTACATAATTTTCTTGAATGAAAGATTTCCCAGTTTTCAAATCAATTTCAATGTTTTTTTTTATTATTAGTGAAAAGAATTTTTACTGAACGTACTTCTCCCGTTTACATAAGGTTGGGTCCATTTAGGTAGGACCAGAGTCGATGAGCTCAGGCAAAGTTCAGTTTTAACCAATCTTGCCCTAGATTGTTCAACAATTTGGTACGTTATTATCTACGTACGTTATGACCATTTTATTGTTTGTTTACCTCGATTATTTTCTCTATATTGTTTATAATTTTGACTAAACTCAACTTTGTGTTCAAAATGTTCATTCTTTGTTTTCAGAAACCGTTACAATCAACAACGAGTTTTCATTCCGAACAATCCCCCGAACAAAGAGCCATATTCTTTATAATTAGTATTCAATAAGCAAGCTTGTAACTTATCAAAATACTCTTAAATAATTCGTTTATTATTCGAAGTTAGTTTGGCTATAAACTTTGATTTCATTATTATAGTGGAATTTGATAATGGGAAAACAAACTTTCACTTTACCAATAGAATATTATAATAAGAAATAAGCAGTTCTTCCAATTTGCTATTTAGTTGTGAAGAAAGTTATTCAATTGATTAAATTAACCTAAATTTCAAAATAAATGTTCTTGCAATAAACAATGCGTCGTGAGTAGTAAAAATAAACTTTCAAAATTAATTTTTCAGTACCTAGTTTAACACTAAATATTAACGAATTACAGTTCATCCAAGGTAATATTGCTGCAATCGTTTAATTACTTCCTGGAAAGCCATTAACTTAACAAATAAAACTAGATCATTATTTTTTTCGACTAATGTATTTCCTGTCAATGATTGACGTCATTTTGCATCAGTGCTGTATTAGAAAATTTTATTTATATCATCGTGAATTTGGAATTATTTGAAAGTGCTTATCGCCGCGCTTACGGACATGTTTCAGAAATTCTGCAATGTCGCTGAACATCAATATTGAACAAAATCGGCAATTTGCATCGTATATTTCCTGTTATTGGTTTTATTTTATTATACTAAATAATTTATGCTGTCTAAAGTGATAACTATTTGAGGTTTTAATGTTATGAAACACGTTCAGAGCTTATAATACTAGTAGGCTAGCCGGCATTGCCTCGGATTTGGAATCCAGGCAATTTCAGAAACCCTTTATTACAAATCCATGCATCCCAGATACAGCCATCCCTAATCCCAATCTATTTAATAATTTTACAGAGAAGCGCCGTATTTGAACTAAATAAGCGAATTACCTATCCAAAACCATATCCCGCATCAAATTCTGTTTTTAAATTCTGTGGAGAATTGAACCTTTTACGTTTTGAATAAAGTGTATACATGTATAATCTCCCCATCCATTCATCCAAATTCAAACCTCCCCATCAATTTTTTCAATGTTACATACTTCAGCGAATAAAAGTAAATTTTAAGGTAATTTCCGTCAGGATAATTATCGTGGATACGGGCCCGAACAGCCCTATTTTTGCAGCACTAAGGTTTGAACACAAACTTTAAAAATATGCCAAATTACAATTCACTCAATTAAATTCTATCCGGGTTTATTCCAAGCTCCCCTAAAAAATGTATGCACAATAACTTTTTATAAACGTGTGTGTGCATCAAAATTTCAGAAAGATTCCAAACGTTTCTGCCACTCGTGAATATTTTAAGTTTAAGTCGGTCAGCGTCACTCAGTGGTTTGTAAACGAACAAAAAGAGTATTACAATTCAGAGAACCTAACGGAACCATATTCTGTAAGAAGTCATTTCAATATATTGGCCCCACGCTCAAGATGACGGTGAGTCTGAAATATTGTAGTTAGTTATATAATATAGTTGATGAATATTTAACGTTATTTTATTTATATTTCTAATATTTTAATAATGATGTACCACTGTAGGTGCTGAACAATGTCATTAAATTGTTTGTATACTGATCAGGATAATCATATGAGGCTAACTCGAAAACTTCCTCGTTTTTATTAACTTGTTTGATCTTTATTGGTAATTTTAATCAAGTTTTTTGCCTAAATGTATGCCTTCACGTTGAAAGGGACAAATTTTTTAAACAATACAAGTCGGTATTCAATTAAATTTTCAAGAAATGGACATAACATAATTTTTTATATGTAAATGAAGAAAAGAGCTAAATTTAATAATTATTATGTCGTAAAAACGTTTAATTAGTTTTATGTAAAGTTTCGTAAATTAGTTTTTCGTAAATTTGTCTTCTCCGAACAGCCATTAATATTCTTTCTTGCATCTCTTCCTTTAACAATAACAATAATAATCTTAATGACTAATTATTGCTGTCACATAAACAATAGCTAAATTTTTAATTTCAGTGGAACTGCGTCTATGTGCTTCTCTTGCTGGTCCTCTCTGACGGTCATCTCATTGAAGCGTCGCCGGCTTCCATCCCCAATGCTACAAATATTTCTGAAAATTTTCAAAACCAAACTGGGAAAAATACGTTGTCGGTCATTTCTGCAATGGAAAATGGAAACTCGTCTAAAGTAACTAGCGAAGACGCAACTTTTTCATCAAACAGAAAAATTAAGTTCAATTTTGATGGAATCTCTTCACCAGAAACTGAAGAAAAAATATTCAACGCGCACAACAAAGGAAAATCCGGTATTATAAAACATCTCAATGCGCCATCTTCCGCCAATAAAAAAATTACCGAGAAAAAAACGCATATCAATGAAGAATACACAAGTTCAACCAGCAATCATACTTCAGTTGATCGAAAGCCGAAATTGCATCGCCTCATTCCTCCAAAAACAAAGGACTCGAAAATGTCAACTTTTAGAAAACACGTTCATTCAGTTTCAGATAGCGTTGCCGTAGGCAGTGCTCCTATACCTACGTTTATAAAACCTAAAATTGTTACTAGATATTTTAGTTTGACCGAATCCAATGGAAATGATGGGAAATCGTCTGTGACGAGTGACCTCACAGCGTCCGGTACAGTTCCTCTCGGTATGAAAACTAAGCAACTTCTGGCCTCCCCATCAAGTAAGTCATTCACAATAAATTATTATAAATCTTGACCGGACAAAAAATTCAGCTTCGTATCAAATATTCAATAAATCTTTAATAGTGTCATCAAATACTGGTAAATTTATTCGAATCGCATTAAATATGTTGCAAAATAATGAGGATTAAAATTGAAATTGAATTAATTATTTATGTACGCAGACCTAGGACTAGTTATTGTTAGGTTCCTGCTGCGCCACGCCACATAATTAGCTTGCCCTAAGGGTAGACGGCCTCGCATTTTTGCTCTGAAGCCAAATAAGTTCTGAAAAACATCGTTTCTAAGGAGATGCAAGAAAATCCTACGGAGAACTTGTTAAAAAAATTAATTTAATAAACCCTTTGATAAATATTATTATTTTGCGCTCCAAAATATTTTTTACTATAAATGTCTTCATTTGGAAAAAAAAGTAAAAAAATTATATCGACAGGTTATTATTATCGGCCCATCTACGATCACGATAACTACGATCCGCTGCACAAATCTCATCCCGACGATCACGATGGAATCGATAAACACGGCCACGGCCACGACCGTCCTCCATTCACTAACGGTCACAGGTCGCATAACGGCTACGAAAGCAAACATAACAACGGTCATGTCAGTGAACATGGACATGACGGCCGTGAAACATATGATGGGACAGCAGGTTTTGTGGACGACCAGTACGGACATTCTGACACTGCAGCCGTGCAGGTGATTTTGTTACTTCAATTTTATTATTAACAGTGAAAATATATTTTTTCCCTGACGTGTGTAGATAGTTAGTGAAAAGTTGTACGATATTTTTAAGGTAAAAAAAACTTTCGTATTGAAGGAATTCTCCTGTGCCTTACATAACTTCGTTTTTCATTGTCCAGTAAAGCGTAAAATCGATCAGTATATGATTCCAAATCATGATTCTGAGAATAAATACGTTGAGATAACATCACGCTAGAAGTAAATTTCGATGCCGATAAGGAACAGATTTATACAAGCCGACTCACCTTTCATAAATTTTAAACAATCCGTCTTCCCCTAATACATTATTGTTCCTTATATAACATTAACATTTTTCTTTATGTAACATCAATATTTACCTTGGATTGACCTTTTTCCATCGAGTACCTACTACCTAAATTCATCCCTATGTTTTATGACCCTATGTTATCATCCCTATGTTTTTTTATGTGTGTTATGACTGAATTTTTTGTTCTAATTATATATTAACTATGCCCACAGGGGGATCAAAGTGCTGGGGGAGAATCTGTCTCCTCCCACATAGACGACGCAGGGTACAGAGAGGGATCTGTCACCAGTGAAGTAGGCGAGGCTGGCCACGATCACGGAGAAAAAGGATATGTTTCTAAAGGACACGCTGAAGAGGTGGGTGCTTCTCATAGAAAATTACGTAATTAAATCATGAATTAGGCACTTATATCCTTAGTTTGCTTAAATTGCAAGTTAACCATGAATTTAGAAGTAAATAAAACGCCAAGAAAATTCATTTTACCTTCAAATGGTGAAAAAAGCAGTCACAGTATTTAATTCCCAGGCGATTTAACACGAATGTGTCACTTGAATGAATTCTGGCACTTAAAGAGAATCTTTAACCGTACCATAACATCAGGCTAAAATAAAGTCCTACTGATGACAAATAACTTTAAATGTCAGCGTAAGCAATTACCAGATATCCCAACAGAAAATTTTTACTTATTATAAACATTCAAATAAACATAAAAAACTATTACAATGATGATCAGAAAACGAAAATTCCCTTCTGGCTGATCACTAAGTCTATATTAATTTATCAATTATTCTAACCAATAATTCCTTTTTGCCAACGGAACTTTTCTTCAAATAATATTCTAGGACGACTCAATAATAATATTGAATGATAATCAATACCGTATAACAAGAAAAACAATATTCAACCAATCAAAGACTACAAATGTGTAACATCTTATTTAATATTCAACTAATCACTGGCGACTACAATGTAGCAATATAAATATATTTTTTATAATGACTTTTAACGTATAACACGAACGACGTACTCCAGGGCTTCGACAACGTACATCGTAAAGTCGAGTACGGTTATTCGGAGACGTTCGGCGACGAGGACGAGTTTGAATCTCACGACAGCGACCACGACTTGAGTGATTCTTTCCATGACATCGGAGAAGAAGGAGCTTACGAAGAGGGAAATGTGCAGGTGATTAAAAAACTAGCGCTGTTATTTATGTCATTATATCACTTTAAGTAAATCTTTAAACAATATGCCTAATTTTCAACCGCAGCTAATGAGGTTAAACTGAAAATTAATTTGTTTTAGTTTTCAATATTAACTTGTTTCGTTTATTCGTTACCAATTTCAATTTAAAATGTCATAAATTTAGAGGTGTCGGCAAGCCTTGTAATAATAATGTGGCGTTGACGTTGATAAAGCAAAATGTAAATGTTATCGTAGAGTCAAAAAAAGCCCTTAAAAAGAAAGATTTCCGGGGCCTTACTTTACTTAATTTATTTTATATCATTAAAAATCAAAGAATGTTTCTAAGGAGTACCATAAGAATTTTAATCACAACTCACTTTATTTTACACAACTCTGCAATTATTTACGTCGCTAAATTAAGCAATTGTTATAACTTTTTTCGGATTCAGGACCAACACTCCCACGATGTTCACGGGGAAGCAGGAAGTTTAGACAAGTCTGATTTTGAAGAAAATTTTGAAAGAATCAAAGCATCATTTGCCGAAGACGATTATTTTGGCAAACATGATTCTCATGACACTGATCACGGCACTCATGGCAGCCATTTTGATAAATTTGGATCCCGTCGCCATTATATCGATAGTACCCACGATGACCGTCTAGAATCCCATGGAGGTAGCCATCTTAATCCCCACGTAATCCACGGTGGTTTGAAAAATCCGGATGCCTTCAAACTCCATGATAAATCTTACGGAAATCAATACGGAAATCGCGAACAGTCTTTGGATTTTCCGCACTCGCGTGTGTTTGCATCAGTCGACAAAGGTTTCCAATCTGGCTTGAATTTTGCTCCAAACGGCGGGATTCAACACTACAACTCAGATGTGAATTACGGACCGGACAATCAATATGATTCTCCGTTGTTCAGGGGAGATCTCGGATGAATGTTCCATCCCCTTCATATAAACTAAATGTTTTCTGTTTATTATATTGTTGCTGTTACCAGAAAGCAGATTCAAACTCAAGTCTTAAAAATGTTTTCGAGCAGCAGAATATTTGAAACATATGAAATTTTGAAACGTCTGGATGTTCTACACGTCTGATGCCGTGCTAACATCGAATTAGTCTAAATCAGCGCGAATTCTAAAAATTATTATATTTTCATATATTTTATATAAATAATAATAGCACTTATACATCTCACCTACATTAAAAAAGCGAAATAATAGGGAATTTTTTAGTTTATTAATATTATTAGAAAAGATTGTAATGATTAATTAATTGGCTATAAAAGGTTGAACATTCGACGTCGTGGACTGAATAAAAGTTAAATTAAAGAGAAAATTTCTCGCAGTATATTCAAAATAAACAAAAATCGATGAACATTGTTTGTGTTTAGGTTAGGACACAGGTTTTAATTATTAATGTGAATTTAATTATTATACGCATTAATTAATTTTCTTCATATTATCAAGAAAAAGAGGTATAAAAGCTTTCAGGAACTGTGTCATTTCCATACATAGAAATAAATGTTATCATCAATTTAATTCGATATTATATGAAATAAATCAACAGATAAATAATAAACTAATCTACAAACAAGTTATTGCTGTATTCAAAATAATTAAGCTTTCTAAACAGAAAATTTGGCCCAAATAAATTTCAGTATTTTACTTCACAATTTTTGTTGTTCATTAGCACTGATTTCACTAGAAAATTGTTTAAAATACTCTCGAATTAACTCTCATTATTATACTTTGTAAATCTCGTAGTAAAAATTACTTCTATACAGAAAATATGTAATTTTACACATCACATCTTCGTCTCGTGCATAAAAATTATATTAAATTTTTAATTAATTTTGCTTACTTTCATAAAAAATCGCCTTTTTAGTAGTGTTATCAAGTCTAAACTATATTGAAGGACATCAAACGACACCTACCTACATAGGATCTTAATATATGAACATAAACAAAATTTAAATTCACGAAGCCTTTTAAATTCATCATAATTAAACTATGACGAAATACAGTGTCGAAAATTTTCCTACGGAATTCAATGGAAATTTACTTATAATTCTTCTTCTGTTCTATTAATTGAAATAATTAAGCCCATGAATCTGTCGTATTTTGGTTCACTTCATGGAACTTCTCAGGCAATCTTAAATCTTAATGGATCGATATTGATGAAGAATATTTTTATTGAATGTTATCTTTTTATAACGATAACATTAATTATATAAAAACACTTATTACTTCTGCCGTGATATTAAAACTTGAAAGACTTGAACGATTTTCCGCCCCCGAAAGATTTCCCAGCATCAATAAGTCCGCGATCAGAAAAATGTTTCTTGTAGGCGTTCTCGTCGTCGAATTTCTTCTTGAAGCCGAAGGCCTTGTGATGTTTCTTGTCACTGAATGTCTGTGGAAATTGCATTACCTTAATATATTAATAGCAGACATCGGCAGACATTAGGTTTTTAGTTTTTCTGAGAAATTGAACCCAGCAATAATAATCGTGATAATTAATGAATCAAATGTGTTTTTCAATTACTAGACATTTGACAAAATATACTTGGGGAAGACAGATATCTACTGCCAATGACCAATGAGTCGCTACTCAACTGATACTGCACTGATAAAAACCGTATAATATTGGTCAGAATTACGATTTAAATCGCTCTGAAAAGTTCTGTTCAGTTTGCATAATAAAACAAGTCGTTTCTACTGAAGGCAGCAAAAGTTCTTCGGTGACTTAAGTGTCATTTACTTTAAATTCATTTATTAGTATATAAAGAATGAGAATTTCGTGTCATCATCTGACCAGGTCAAGGGGCCTATTTTCGAGTACAAATATATATTGATGAATCAAATTATTATTAATATGACATAAATACAATCATTACTAAAACAGTGTTAAAAAAATTCACGAACCTTATCCCGGTGTCCTTTTCGGTGTTCCTTCTTGAAACCTTTTTTAAAGCCTTTTGATGCCTTTTCCGCCTTCTTGTAGTGACCATGAAAGTCTTCGTAAAACTTTTTGCCCTTACTAAATTCTCCGTCTTTTTCAAAAAATCCCTGCAAAAGAAACAACTTATCAAGTTACCATTATTACCACTCATAAACAAGCCCAAAAGTTTGCAAATTGGTTGTCAGTTGCAGAAATTCTAGGAGGAAAATCTGGATACATGACCATGTAATTAATAGCCGCTGGCCAAAGGAGCTTTGATTCAAAGCAGAGTTTTTACGGACAGAATACTCTGCTAGGATAAAATTTTTCCTGATACTAACTGTATCAGTAATTTGATACATTTGATGAAATGTATACATAATTAACATAGCAAAAAATGAATTTAAATAAAAAAAAACTGATATTAAAATAGTAATTAATAATATACGTTTAAAAATTACTTTTTAAAGACAACACTTCCTAAGAATCCAGTATCTCCAATCTTACAGATGTACAATGAATTTCTCTATATTGAAAAAAAAAATTTTTTTTAATTTCTAAAATCATTTATTTTGACATTTGATTCATGCATTGTCTCCAACTTTACACAAGTTGGCAAAATTTCAGATCGATAGGATAAGTAGAAGTGTATTAAATTTTGATTACAAGATTTGTAGCAGACAGACAGACAAACAGACAGACAAACAAGAAGTGAAGTTAAAGAGAAGTGTTGTAAAAATTAAAGCTGGTTCGTCTTACTGAACTAACTCTTCCCTCGTTTTATCTGAAAAAAAAATTAGGATACAAAAGGCTGATGAAAAATCTTTCAAAATTCATTGGGAAATAAGTTATAAGCTGGATGTACAATATATATTGCAGACTCACGCCTTTGCCGAATTTAGATTTATTGGCCTTTTTATGAGCGTTGTGGCCTTTTTTGCTGGTGTGGCCTTTGTGGCCTTTACTGCCCAGTTTCTCGTCAAGGCTCTTGCTGAAAGACTTCTTCTTGCTGTGGCCTCCTGGTAAGGAAATAATTTGCTATTAATCATAGTGCGAAAAATTATTAATAAGCCAGAAACGGATTGGGAATGCAAAAGTGGAATGACGACTAAAAAAATTTTTAACAAGAAATTTTTTGCAAGTTTAAGTAATCAATAAAGCTGAATATTCGTAGTAACAAGGTTTTAAAATCTTTTTTATATGAACGAAGTCATTTATCCAAACCTAATTCAATATTCTCCGATACACAAATCTTTTTAAACTCATATACTCAATGTAAGTAACGCAACTCCATTTTTGAGTTGAATACAACTTTCAATTATTTTAGAAACAAATTCCAAGAGTTATTCATCAAAATTTTGTTTCAAAATAAATATGAACGATCCCGAAATTCCAAGAGTTATTAACCAAAATTTTTTTAAATAAATATGAACGATCACGATATCGAAGTTTCCTGCATTATTCTATTTCGTCTTTTATCACTCATCGCCTACACCGACCAACATTTTTCACAAGATTTACCTGCAGCTGGAAGCAGTTCATGTTGCACCACTCTAGAATATTGCAGTTTTGTCGGCAGTTTCTTGCTTGTGCCGTTGCCAATAGCAACGGGACCAACGCTTATTTCCATCGCCAGGGTAATAGGCTTGTGTTGATCTCTGGTCCCTGTTGATCTATAATTTTCTCGTGGCTTCTCCAGTTCAGTTTTGTCGGTGGCTTTCATCTCAGTTTTTATAGGGGATGTTTTTGCTTGCTCGGTGTTCTTTTCGCGTATATGATTTCGTTGTGTTTTGTGATTGTCTGGTTTTTCATTTACAGCAATTCGAGAAACTGCAATTTCTGCGTCTAAATAAGTTGGTTCAACATTAGAATGGGATTTAGGTGAGGAATAAGATTCATCATAAAATAGCTTTTCTGTGTCCTTATTTCCTTCTTCTGAAGTCACTGGCTTAAATCTTCTGATGTTTCCATTGGATTTAAAATCTTTATATGTTGTTTCTGTTTCTGACTCTCCGGGAACACCAATATCTTCAGTGCGCGCTGATACTGTGGCACTGAATTCATTTTTGTGGAATTTCTTTGTCAAGGGAATTTTATCAATATGGACATTAGATGTGCTTTCGTTTGCAGGCGAGTTCTTAAGAGTTACACTCATTAATTTTGTCCCATCTTTTTTTCCATCACCCACAGCCCTGCCTTGGACTCCTTTCTCTGTTTTTGTTGAATTTTTATCCGTGTTGTCATTTTTCATTACTCCGTTCGGTTTTTCTGATTGCGAGTTATTTTTAATAAGAATTTCGAAATTTTTATTGGGTTCAACTTTTGATTTTGAGGGTAAAATTACATCACGAGTTTGATCAAACTCCTTGGATGACTTCTGGAAATTATCATTAAATATATCTTCTTCCCTCGAAATTGTTTCATCGAACGATGAAAGTGATCTCGCATTCCTGGAAAATGGAGGCAGCTTTTCAATCTTAGCCGCTACGAAATTCATAACATTTTTGTCCGCATATATCAATGGATGAAGATGTGAACTCGATGCCGAAATTGTTGAGTGTTGAAGATTGGCGTAAACTGCAACTGCAATCATCATTAACTGCAACAAAGTAGTAACGGAAAGTATAAATTATAAAATCATTAAATAATTATTTGCATTGAACATCGAATGCAGGTACACGTTTTGCTGAATAAATTGAAATTAAACCTATTGAAATGAAATATTATTAGAACAAAAATAAATTCAAGTAAATTCAAGTAACTGAACATAGTCAAATTAGCAATGCTTATCGCATAATAACAATTATAATTAGTTACACCATATATACCAATATAATCCTAATATACTCACGGAAAAATCCATTTTCTTCCAGTTTTTGCTCTTATTCAATCACATGCTTTTCTTAAAAAATCTTTATGTTTTTCGACGAATCGAAAGGTAATATGTCCGAAATGTTTAAATTTACAAGCTGTAATCACATTTATTTAATCATTGTGTCAAGTTTCACTGAATCAAATTTCCGCTTCGTGACACCATAATACTCAACTGGCACTCCAATAATGCACTAATTTATTTCTAAACATCAACTCTTAATGAATTTTAATCAGCTGTCTCTGCTGAAATATGTTAATTTCCGTTTCAATGTTTAAACTGATGTCGTTATAATTCGTGGATGGAAGGCATATATGTTTTCGTTAAATTTCGTGGAAAGCGAATTTGTTTTCGTTATAGTCCGTGGAAAGCGTATTTTTCCCGTTATATTTCTTCGAAGGCAGATGAATAATTAGTGAAAAACTTATATGCTTCCGTCATATTTCACGGAAGACTTATTAATTTCCGTTATAATCGAGAAGTGCAGATTTATTTCCGTTACAATTCTTAATCGCGGAAGTTGAAGTCGAAGCAGATTAGTTTCCGAAATAATTAATGGAAGACTTATTTTTTCCGTTATATTTTGCGGAAGACTTATTAATTTCCGTTATAATCGAGGAGTGCAGATTTATTTCCGTTAAAATTCTAGATCGCGGAAGTTGAAGTCGGCGTGCACGGGAGAGGCGTTCGATCGTTGTGATCGCAAGGCGACGAGTGGAACAATGTAGACTCGTGAAGCGGTTTATAGAGTTACACTCGTATTGTTTCCTTCAATAATACTGCACACTGACAGGCATTGTTACCCCAATACAGCACTGATCCTTCTTTGCTGTGTCACTCGATGGATCGTGCGAAGATCCACGCTCTATTTCTTCCGCTGAATTCCATTGTAAACGGAAGGAAGAGCAATGCGATGGACCGTGAGTTGAATTAATGCAGTTTGAGTTTTAGTTCGAGTTAATTTGAATTTTTAAAGTCAATTTTATTTAAATTTGATGTTTGAGTTCATTGAATTTTCCAGAAGCTATCCAATTATTCTCTCGAAACACACGTTTAGCATAACGCAGTATTAATCCTAATGAATATTATGGTCTTTCCATGTGAGACTAAACTAAAGTAAAATAATAATGTCACTAAAATAATAATATCATTATTATTATTGACTAAAATAATAATATTCTGAACTACAAAAATTACTTACTATAATACCTGACTGACGTTCACATGTGAAATTATTCATTAATTGTAAATAATCGTGATTTAATAATTGGAAACTGTACTTCATTCGTTTTCTTTTCAGAAGTTAGGTATATGCATTTTGTCTCCTGAAGAAAACTGAATTTTTCATTAGCCTGCATGTCAATCGAAGGCAGCTACTTGTACGAGTATACATATCTCAGACTTCACCTTCTGTGATATAATGCCTATAATTTCGCTTCTTTTATCTTGTGTCTTTTTTCTCCTCTCAGTGACGTCAAAAAGAACCGGCATTATCCTGCGCAGGCAATACTTAGGTGGCACTTTTTATCGCCCCTATTGAAAATTTCATACTATCCTAGCAGAGCCTTACAATAGATTGTGCAAAATTATATTAATTTCCTTAATCATTTTCAATTAGGTCCGTCACAAAATTGGAAGGTATTACTCTCAGGTGAAATTCTTGACGTTGCAAAGAGAAGATTTGATCGGCGACAATGTTGAAGAGCCTCATGCGGTTTTGATTCTTTGTTCGCCTAAAGCCTTTGTTCGCCCATGCTGAAATTCAACGTAGGATGCAGTATAAGACGTATAAAAAAATCTCGTCAATTTAAAAGCGTCAGTTGAGTAAATAAATTTGAACAAATCTTGCAAATCACAGACTTGTAATCCAGTATTACGAGTCCCAGCTCGAAACAAATGAAATTCCATTTCAAAAAATTCTCCCACTGGAATGTGGAGTCATTCACAATTCTTTTTGCTACTTCCTGAGTTTTAATAAATTACTTTATTATATGTGCTTAACTAATTAACGCGTAGCTATCGACACGGTACTATAATAAATGATGCAGCGGCTGAACTGTGATATTTATTTTAATTGGAACATAAAAAAATGCTGAAACTTACTATTCCTCGCAGTTTAATTCGTAAACTAAATTTGGGAAGGTTTTAAATATATGATACAGTAACTCGGGAAGTGTTTCTATGTATGTCACAGTAATTTGAGAAGTGTTTTTATAAGTGTTACTAAACTAAAACAGTTTTTTTAATTGAAAGAAAGAAGTACAGTCGTCCCGTTGCCATCGCTTGGTGGGCGAGTGATATACATTAAGTAATTTCTTTTTATTGAACCTCGAAGTATATTCATAGTATTAGTATTAGTATAGTATTATTATAGTATTATTTTATAGTAAGTATTCATATATTCATGAAACACTCTTCCAAATAATTTCGCACAAAAATTTTCTGCAGCCTTTGTATCGCATTTTTAAAACGTTTTTAACACGTTTTTCTTAGCTTAGCTTCGCGTTTGTTTGTTTGTTTGTTTGTTTGTTTGTTTGTTTGTTTGTTTGTTGTTAACATTGACAACGAAAATTAGCCCACTTCTGATTGCTCTAGAGACCTGAAATTCGGCATGCAGGCTATTTTCGCCTAACAATTTCAGATACAATTATAAAAACTAGCAATTAGAGACCTAAATTAGCTTAATTGAGTGAAGTATATATATAGGTATATAGTATGTATATATATATAGTATGACGTGCGGGCGCTGACGCTGCGTATCATCGATACGTACGTCAAGGCTAGTAAATTGGCTCGCAACAACGTTTTTCATGTGTAGCAACGGACTAAAAAGGAGAAAATAAAATACTTAAAAAAAACTTTTTAAAAAAACCACGTTTTTCTTGTGGACTAAAAAATAGAAAATAAATTAGGGCTCTCCCCAAAAAACGTGGGTCGGGCTGTACGTTCACCATCAAATTTCCAAAATTCGTGTGTTGTGTGCTTTTCGCTTTAATCATAAATCTGCCCGACACACGTTTTTTGGGGCGAGCCCTAATTTATTTTCTATTTTTTAGTCCACAAGAAAAACGTGGTTTTTTTAAAAAGTTTTTTTTAAGTATTTTATTCTTAGCTTAGCTTCGCGTTTGTTTGTTTGTTGTTAACATTGACAACGAAAATTAGCCCACTTCTGATTGTTCTAGAGATCTGAAATTCGGCATGCAGGCTATTTTCGCCTAACAATTTCAGATGCAATCATAAAAACTTGCAATTAGAGACCTAAATTAGCTTAATCGAGTAAAGTATATATATATATATAGTATATATATAGTATGACGAGCGGGTGCTGACGTTATAGACGAGCAGGCGCTGACGCTGCGTATCATCGATACGTACGTCAAGTCATGCTTTTTAGTCCGTGCAGCAACGGACTAAAAAGGAGAAAATAAAATACTTAAAAATACTTTTTTAAAAAACACGTTTTTCTTGTAGACTAAAAAGTAGAAAATAAATTTTGGCTCGCCCCAAAAAACGTGTGTCGGGTAGAGTTATGATTGAAGCGAAAAGCACACAACACACGAATTTTGGAAATTTGATGTTGAACGATCAGCCCGACCCACGTTTTTTGGGGCGAACCATAATTTATTTTCTACTTTTTAGTCTACAAGAAAAACGTGTTTTTTTAAAAAGTATTTTTAAGTATTTTTTCTTAAGTTTTATTCTTTTTGTGACCCATAGGACTAAGTTGTTCCGATCGAATTGTGCTTTTCGATATGATGTTAGGTCTTGTTTTTCTTTTATGTCTGTCTCAGAATTTTGACTTATAAAATGATATTATTCATTTTTAGATTGTCGAACAGATGATGTAGCTGGACTACGAAACGTTTTCAATATCGATAGTTAAATTTACTTGGCGTTTTATTTGCTTTTAAATTCCTTGGAAATTATGAACGTAATATAGCAATATTTTGTAAAATCTGGTAAACTCTACTACGAATATTTAGTAAATAAAATATGCCTTTAAATGAAATTATGTGCCCATATGAACGACATATAAACTGTGCGGGATCTATCACTTGTAATTGTTAAGTTGCAATAACCCATTAAATGGAATAGGGAAAAGAATATTTCTGGTAGCTGTTAATTTTGGAAATTTGATGGTGAACGTACAGCCCGACCCACGTTTTTTAGGGCGAGCCATAATTTATTTTCTACTTTTTAGTCCACAAGAAAAACGTGGTTTTTTAAAAAGTATTTTTAAGTATTTTATTCATGAGTTCATTCATATATTTCATTCGTTATAAAGTGTCGAATGTCCATTGATTACAAGTGAACAATCTAATCGCAGGTTTTCTCTGAATGTGAACAATTCTAATTGCAGGTTTCCTTTGAATGTAAACAATCCCAATCGTAGGTTTCTTCTGAATGTGAATAATTCTAGTCGCATGTTTCTTCTGAATGTGAACAATTTTAGTCGCATGTTTCTTCTGAATGTGATCAATTCTAATTGCAGGTTTCTTTGAATGTGAACAATCCCAATCGTAGGTTTCTTCTAGATGTGGACAATCCTAATCCCATGTTTCTTCTGAATGTGAACAATTCTAATCGCAGATTTCTTATGATTGTGCTTGTTTTCTCCTCAACCCTCGATGGTAGTTTTTATATTTCCTATGGCTGCTCTTCCTTTCTCCTTGTCTTTCACTTTTATTCTTTAGCTGAAGCTATGACTTTATCTTCTCTTGTTTCTATCCACGGTTAGATCTTGCTTTTCCTCATTTCGCTGGATTTATACATGTATTGTTGTATAGTGTATACACTGTTTCTACCTTTCCAGTATTATCTTTTATTAGTTTTTTCATCAATTTTTTCATCCAGGCGCTATTCCATCCGGGCCATTCTTGCTTGTTACGCTTCATTACTCTTCCACTTTAGTCTTCCTTATTCGCACTGCTACACTTTATCTCAATTTTCTGTGGTGGCTGTAACCTGCTACTCCTCCCACTATTCCCATTGTCTCCCTCCTTCATCACGCTTTCCTCTTTATTTCTTCTCTTCGCATTCTTATCGATTAACTCAATAAATAAGCAACGCATGAAGAATGACAAGTAAAGCTCGATCAAGCTGGTGATGTCTTCTCACTAACTTTATTTCAATAATAATAATTTCAAACATGATCTTTAGTCAATAAGATGGATATAGTTATTAATAATTAATTTGTTATAAAATTTTTAATTATATTTTGAAAGACGTAAATTAATTGAACATGAAATTTACCTCTGCAAGTCATGCGAAATATTTTGCTAGAGCTAATACTACCATCAATTTCCAAAGCCCTTTCTACCCCTCTGCCATTAATTTCATCTACTATATCCTTCTCTCTTTTTATTGCACCCATTTACAATTATTCAAACTGGATGGAGACAAATCAGCGCGCTATTTGTACATATAAGTACATAAACCGTGTACCCTGAGGAGCCCTATATTCAACGTCCTCCTTTGGTGAGACTAAGCCCTGAAGATTAGATACTTCCCATTTATCATTTGGTATTAAAGTCAAGAAATATGGCCTGCGTTTAAAATTAAATGTAGTGGAAATGATAAGAGTCATATTATCATGATATGCTTATATAGAAGCACGGAAAATATCTTCATGACGCCTTTCACCAAACGCTGAGCAAGAAATTTTGGCTTTGATTAAATTGGGACTGAATATATACATTGAATTTGAATAATCTACAAAAAATAATGTCGAAGATAATAAAATAGTAAAGTCCCATTTTAAACAGAATTTATCTTCACAAATATTTATTTAGCTTTTGCAAATAGGATTCATTTGTGGGGAATTGACTTTCCGCGAGTTATTATAGTTATAGTTATTTAGTATGGTCGCGAAAATAGCAGCGCATGAACAAGAATATTCCCCACATGAAGCATGTCCAGAAAAGGGACTCGTTCCATATGAAGTATGTCCAGAAAGGGACTCGCCCCCACATGAAGCATGTCCAGAAAAGGGACTCGTCCCCACATGAAGCGTGTCCAGAAAAGGGACTCGTCCCCACATGAAGCGTGTCCAGAAAGGGACTCGCCCCCACATGAAGCGTATCCAGAAAGGGACTCGTCCCCACATGAAGCGTGTCCAGAAAGGGACTCGTCCCCACATGAAGCGTGTCCAGACCAGGGACTAGTCCCCACATGTAGCGTGTCCAGAAAAAGGACTCGTCCCCACATGAAGCGTGTCCAGAAGAACCAGTCCGATCCTTGAGGGTCGGCGCAATATCTCTTCGTTACTCCCACGCCAGTACTGAGCAACTCCGCTTTGTTGTGGCACTCAATTGCTTAACAAGCCTGCTTGCTTCGATGATCTCGTAAAAACGTCGCTCAAGATCCGCTCTTTGAAAATTACTTGCCATGCTTCGTTGCCGCTCTGGTGCATCGTGCAATCTAGTGCACATTGTGCTACCATTACAAAGTATTTAGGACTGAATACGATGCAGTGTACATCGTAAGAGTACAAGCAGGAGGTGAACGATTTGACTATAATGACATAATTGTGATAAAAACTCAAAATCTAGTCAAAGAAAATTGCAGGATTGTATTCAAATACTCATCAATAAATATACTCGGGAATCAGAGATCTTTATGGACATATGTATTTATTACACTATATATTCCTCTCATGGCAAGCAGCCATGCGAAGAAATATAGCCGTGAATGAATTTAACTTTAACAAGGGACTTACTGAAATTGAGTATTTTGAATGTAACACTAGCAATTGCATAATTAACACTATTGTTGTTGCCATCGCGGACAGGAAGTTTCAAATGTGCCCATTATAATCAAAGTAAAATCATTTAGTAGGTCTTCCCTTCAAACAATGAGTGTAGAATCTGTGTTAATTAAATGTGCATTTACAGTGTTTTACAAGCTAATAAATTTCCTGAAACACGGGTAAATTATTTATTAGAAATTAAAATACCGTTTTGATCATAAAGTGAGCAAATTACTTTGGATAAAATGCACAAGGAGCAAAGTGACATGGTGTGCGACAAGAAAAATGTACGATATTTCACCCTTTGATTTCAAGCAAACTTTTAAAGATACCGATGTCCATTTCATGCGTACTAAAACCAAATAAAAACCCAAGTAAATCTAAAGCATTTTCAAAAATATCTTCAATGACCAAAAGGATACAGTCAGTTTTTCGTAATAAGAAAAAATATTATTAATTTGAAATAACAATAATTAGTAGATACCTACGGTTTACAATAAAACATGTACAGTTTACATCAAAAAACGTAGTTTAAGTGTAAGGCGGTAGCGTGAATAACGCTAAGTGACGCAATAAAGTCGTCGCTATAAATTGCGATCTCAGAGCTCCCTGATGCTCCATTCTCCTCCGACCTCCAACCGACGACGGGAGCTTAGCAGCTGATCTCCCGCTCCCACAAAATTATATCGAAATGATGACCTTTTCTTACAAAGCGGTAACTATAAAATAATTATTTATTTTAAACATTAAAGTGATATAAATTAAATGATGAAATATAATTATTATTGGCTGATCATCTATAATCTTTTTATTTGCCATTGCATTCCAATTCCACATACTGCCTGAAGTGTTTATTGATATCGACTTATGATAATGAAAGAGTCTCACAGTTCTATTGCAGTAGTTATTGAAAGATTAAAATAGTTGATATGTATTATTGGAGTTTAGATATCAATTCGTTAAAGAAAAGCTTATTCCAATTTATATAGTCACATAAACAATCTTTTCGGTAAATATAGATTAAAATAAAAACGCTGGAGTTACCTACTCCTCTATTAAATAATGTTTAAAATTATATCTATGAATTTAAAGTTTATAATTAAACATGAAATAGCTGGTATTTTTTTACGAGTCATTTCAACAGTTTTTCAAGTCTTGCAAATAGTAATTCAAATTAAATAAATATTAAAAAGTAAATAAATTACATTTCAATGGTACCCAAAATGATTAAGATTTTTAGAACAGTCGTAATCAAATAGTTTATTGCGATCAAATTATATAAAATATATACTTTAGAAGCATGTTTGACAACTATTATTGTTTGAATAATTACCTAAGATAACATATAATATGGATAAGTTTATTTATTTTTCCTCTTCAAAACTAAGTTTTCTTAGTTTTTTTCTTTTAACCCTAGAAAAACTTAAAGCTCCTTTTTAAGCGACAATAAAATTTACTCATTGTTTTACGGATTTCAGGTCCCCTTGTTCTTCTTCTTCACCAGCTTTTCTTCAATTACAGTCTCGATTCCTTCACATTCACGACACCTTCAAATTTCAAGAGAATCTGATACCAAAAATTTTCAAAACTTGCTGCCTATCAGCAATGAAGAGCCAGCTGGAAGCATATTAATTTCAGAAAGAAATAAACCTGGATTAATAAATGGTGACAGAGGCCAAGCCGAAAAAGTCGAAAAAATTAGCGATGATGAAACTCGATCAAAAAGAGACACTCGTTCGTCACAGAAGAGTGACAGCAGTGAAGATGATAGTAATAAGAAAAAGCGATCAATTTCAGATGATTTGGAGTCTTGGGACGAAAGCATTGGCACGGACTTTGGTGCTAAAAATTTGGAAAGAACCCAAATTCAAAATTTTCATCTTAGGAATACCAGATCTCTGAAAGATGACGATTATATCAGTCAAGTATCCAAATCAAGCGCACCGTGGATGGCATCTTTCGTTGAAGATATAACTTCGAGGACTAGACGAGATATCCACAACAACAGAGATTCAAAACTGAGCACGAATTACTTCAGAGATTCGCAGGTGAATCGAAGAGCCCAGAGATCGGCTCCTGAGGATCATGGTGGTTCGGGCCGAAGAGATTCAGAGACTCAAGAAGACTCTGAATTCAATCAAAGAAACTTGAAGAAAAGAAGCGTCGTTGTTGCATCTAGAATCCTCAGACAACAACAGAAACAACAACGAGAGCTTCAAAAAATGCGGCCAGATGCATCGCAACAAGTGTCTTCTTACACAGCCTATGAACTGAAACCTGCAGCCACAAGTGAGAATTAACTATATTTTTAATAAATTAGCATTGTAATCATGATTAATTATTTAGAATAATTAATGTTAGTTTAAAATCTTAAATTGAATTGAACTCGAAATGGGGATACAATTTGTACCTAGGATGAAATTATTTACAATAAGTGTTGCTGGATAGACCCTAACAAACCTCTGTACTTTATATTGTGTTGAAATGAATTTTATAGCCTCATAAAATTACACGATCACATGGCATTTGATGGTAATATAGTTACCTCTAAACCACGACGTTTTTTATTGGATAATTTATGTTCAATCAAATCTTTTCATTCAAATAAATAAGCCAATTTTCTATTCACAAATATTGAAAAATAAAATCGTTAATATTCTCGCCGAACGTTGCGATCCAAATCGCAAAATAGATTATGAAAGTCATTTCATTTATAATTTTAAAATTCCATTTTTTTGTCAAATTTTCCATCAAAATAGTAGTCTCTTCCAATAATTTGAGCTTTACTGCTAAGGTAATTTAATAAAATAATTTAATTACTTTCATTTAAAGTCATTGTTATTGTTGTCATTTATCAGTCGGACGTATATTTTTGTTCTGAATTCTCAATATTATTCATACTTTTTACTGAGCTCTCATTTCATAATTTTTCTTAATTCTCACTCCATGATTTTTCGTAATTCCTAATTATTTCTGAATTCTCAATTCATAATTTTTTCCATTCAGAGCATGAAGGCAGTGAGGGCAAAGGCCACAAGAGCGCGGGCCACAAGGCCGGTTTTGTGGCATCTTCGGGCCACAAGTCTGGTGAAGGCCACAAGGCGGGCAAAGGCTTCGATGAGAATCATAAAGGATCCCACGCCTCCAAAGGCGCTTCGGTACGAATCAAAGACATAGCGGTACAAAAGTATTTGTGATTATTGTGATTGTAAGTAGTGGATTAAATATTTTGTATCTAATAATTTGCATTTGATGGGTAACTAATATATTTGAGGTAAAATTATTATAAGTTTGGTAATTGTTGAGTTGAATTTTACGTCACAAAATGATTTTCTAAAGTATGGTCACTGCAGTCCAGCAAGATGTACTAGAGGAAGATCTCATGATGTATCATAAAAAACATCATTTTTTCTAGCAATTGTTCTGTCGCAATTTTTCTGACGCTCTTTGATAGAGAGATCCTCTATAATATGTCCTTAGAGTTAAGATAATCCTATGTAAGAAGCATGAAGGGAAAGATCGTAAGTACTCGCTCATATTGGCGCAGTTTAATTATAAGTTATTTTGCCAAGATATCTTCAACAAAACTTTTTTGTATGAGGTTTCTTCAGTTGCATAAGGAACGAAGTAATAATTGTGTCATTTTCAACTGAGATTGAGTTTATTTTTCAAAGAAAAATAACCATGATAACATTCAACTGAGAACTAAAATGATTTTTCAGGGCCACTCCGGCAGCGGGGGAAAAAAGTATTCGGGCGGTGACCACAAGAGTAGCAGCCACGGCCACTCGTCCTCGGCGGCGAAGGGAGCCAAAGGCCACTCCAGAGGCCACAAGGCGCACCACAGCAAAGGCGCCCACGCCGACGTGAGTAGGGCGCTGAACGAGCATCGCAGCTAACAAATACTGTCTCAATAATTAACTGATTGTTTCTAGTAAAAAAACTATAAACCACTACCAAATAACTTTTGTTTCAGTAACGGTAATTCAACTTGTTGATAAACAAGTGGCATTTTCTGTCCCACCAGTTATTCATTAGAACAAAACAAAAGCTTCGATGTTTGGCAAATCCTCGAATTTTCAAAGTTTAATGACAATCTTATTGAAATAGTGAAACTTTTGACTGTTTGGGCAATTCATTGGTACGTGTTGAGAGAAACTGGCCGTTAACGCTAATAATTATCCGAACATAGCTATTCTTCTATTTAAATAATGTGATAATTCATTTCTCTACGCTTCATACTTCCAGTTTACAGATTCTTTATAAATTTACTAATTAAAATATTATTTGATGCTGTAAACTATTAGGAGCTTCACCTACCTCAGTCCTCAGACGTGTTATCTCTTAATAAAAATACATTAACTGCCAAGGATCGAATCAAGATGCCCAAAATTTTATATTCACTGATAAATTACATCATTGCCGTTCACTTTCTTTAAAAATGAACTGGTAGCGGTTTATACATCATTCAATACCATGTTTCGTGGTATTATGGGGTTGACGTATTCGTTGCAAACCTTGCGGTATTATTTTCGCGAAAATATAGCTGGTAGTCACGTGTTGTTGCACTGAGAGATTCCAGCGAAAATATTTGTAATTTTTCTTAACCACTGCATTTTTTAGAAGACATGTCACAGAGTAAATACGAATAAATTGTAATGTATTATTTTTTATTGATGAGTGGCAAATTGTTATCAAGTTTTAAATTGAGGAATCTTTTGCGCGAGGAATATTGGAATTGTTAATATTATTTTTAATTTGATCTAAGAAGTGATTTTTTCTGCTGATTGTTTTATAAGTTATTCGGAAACTTTTTCAAATGGTATCTGAATGCCTTAGTGTACATTTTATATGAGTGAATTAAACTTTTTTATACCTTGGGCCGTACATTCAGAACTCACTTCAGTACATGTATACTGTATGCTTAGGTGCACGTAGAGGCCGATTTCTCTATTGTGATTGTGGGTTTCAGCTTGAAAATACGTCCGTTTCTGGTTGTCGTAGTTACGAACTCGTAACATTATTTATAGTACGTCCCCAGAATAATATCTAATACAGTTAGCAGAGAAACACAGCGTTATTTCAACTCTGTATCTCTGTTTGTTGTCCAGGGTTTCAAAGCCGAGAAGAACAAGCAGGAGTCTGGCGGTAAGAAAAGCTTCTACGACGACAGCGACCACAAAGGCTACCACAGCAAGTACGATCATTACGACTCATACCACGAGAGCACCGCCGGGGGCACTGAAGAGAAGGGCAGCCATGCGGTGAGTGATTTGACTGCCTATTGGTGAGATTTATCTAATATTACTTCTTCTTCTTCTTAGTCTTTTCATTCTTCTTTTTCGTTTTTTACAACACTTCTCTTTAACTTAATTTCTTGTTGTTTGTCTGCTACAAATCTTGTAATCGAAATTTAATACACTTCTACCTACCCTATCGATCTGAAATTTTGCACACTTATGTAAAGTTGGAGACAATGCATGAATCAAATATCAAAATAAATGACTTTGAAAAAAAAATTCAATATTAAAAAAATTGAAAAAATAATTTCGTCAGCTACAAATCTTATAACTGATATTTGACACACTTTTACCTGTCTAATTGATCTGAAATTTTGCACACTTGTGTGAAGTCAAAGGCAATGCATGAATCAATTAACAGAATAAATAATTTTGAAAAAATTATAAAATAAAAAAAATATATATTAAAAAAATTGGAAAATAGTTTTTTAATTCGAAAATTGAATGAGAAATTCATTTTATATCTGTAAGATATGAGACACTGGATTCTTTGGAAGTGTTGTCTTTAAAAAAGTAATTTTTAAACGTATATTATTTCATTCTTCTTCTTCATATTTTCGTTCTTATACTTCGTCTCTTCCTTCTTCTTCTTCGCCTTTTATTTTCCTGTTCTTCTCCGTCATTCACATCGGAGAACACAACTGGAAAACAATATTAAAAGAACATGAAAACAAATGGCCAACCGCTAGAAATGGTTATGTGTTTAATTAATGGTTTCAATTCAAATAAAATCTTTAAATGGATTAATGAATTGGAAAGAGCATCAGACTAGCCTGATAACATTGACCTTATCAGTAAAGTACCTAATCGTAGAAGGTTAATTTGATTTTGGTTAATTCGACTTGACTCTGAATTTATTTTCATTCTAAATATATTCTATTCGCTCCTAAATTTCTGCGGAGAAAAATGCTGGCAATGAAATTATTCCATTTTTATATTTTTAATTCTCATTCCATATTAAATGCCAGTAATTTTTGTCGTTAATTTTCATCAAACCTTTTTTTAATCTGCCTAATATGTTCGTGATAATATTGTGTGTTGATGTTCGGTTTCTTGATGCTTGTGATATTCATTTCTTATTTGCATAATATGTATTTTCTAATATTGTGTGTTGATGTTCTGTTTAATGATGCATGTGATATTTTTATCCTAATTGCACTATATGTACATGATAATATTATGTGTCGATGTTCTGTTCATTGATGCATGTGATATTTATTTCCTAATTGCACAATATATACATGATAATATTATGTGTTTATGTTCTGTTTATTGATGCTTATGATATTTATATTCATTGCATAATATATATGTTATGTTATTGCGAGTTGATGTTCTGTTTATCTATGCAAGTGATATTTATACCCTAATTGCACATTATATACATGATAATATTATGTGTTTATGTTCTGTTTATTGATGCATGTGATATTTATTTCCTAATTGCACATAGTCTTTGAAAAAACACGACGCCCACGGCGAGAAAGGCCACCACGAGAGCGCTGACAAGTCTGAGCACAAAGCTGACCATGCCGACAAACATGCCCACAAAGACAAGGCAGCGCACACTGAAACATCTGAAAAAACTGCTTCAAACGATGCCAAACATGTGAGCAAACACTGAATATTAACGAGAATGTGAAACATAACATCTACGAAAAAGTGTCAGGCAACCATTGAAGAAAGTTTGCAAGGCAGGAGCTGGTTAAAGAAAGCGTTTCTTCAAAAACAATTTCAAGACCATCACAGACTTATTTGAGTTTATGTTTTTCACAAAGCCGATCATCTGATATTCCGAGAACTTATTGTACTCGAAATACCATAATTAGTTACATGATTGACAAGAGATAACTTTAAAAAATAAATCTATAATAGTAGATATCGATGTCTCGACAAACCCGCTAAAATAACTAATGACAAATGTTCAAATTTTCAAATAATGAATAGATACTAGATTCAATAGCCACCTTTGTTTTAAATCACCAAGAGTTTCATGAGTTCATGTTTGATTACTGACCGATCACAAGCTATATTCTAACGAATCATAGAAAATTAGTCTAAATTCTTGTGTTCAATTTTTTTCGATTTACAATAACTCGGCATTCAATTATAAGGTTTAAAATCAACTTTTGCTTCAATAAGAAAGGTTCATAAATGAGATTTTTTGCATTTCATATGAAATTTTTAGGTTTTGAAAATTTTAAATTAAAGTAAACTGTGAATAACAAAAAAGGTGTTTCAAGTTCGAATAAAAGAAACTTCGAAGTTTCACAACAATCATTCAAATAATTCGAATTTTTCATCTTATATTAAATACACTACTTGTGAATACGGTTCTGAAACAATACCATTTTAATGAAAATGTTCAAATGAATATTATAATATTTCCTTGCCGAACAATCAAAGATTATTGGGAACGAACATCCTTGGCATTTACTATAAACTTTCATATATAAAGATAATTTACGATGAAAAAGGTTATTGTAAACCGAATGACGTTTTTTTAAAGAAACAGCTTTAGTTTCATTAGTACAAACGTGACAAGAAATGAAAAATCAAAACAGAATATCAAACTTGAGATAAAAAAATTAAATTAACTTTTATTTCCTCTGAAAATCGGTCAAGAAAATTGGAATTTAATCATTCAATTTCTTTTAAAGGCTACCACACCCCATCTTCTTGTTAAAAAAACACAAGATAAGTCATTTAATTTTCGATTTCGGTGTGACAATAATAATCATTAATTGGGTATTTCCTTCATCTGTCCCAACTCGGCTCCCAAGATTACATCAACTGTTTACATCCGTCCCATATGATTGCAGTGTACGAAATAAATTTCTATAGATAAGCTGATTACATTGTGCGTTAACAATTCTATGGCCCCGACTTGGTACATGTAATTGTTCCTACCTCATCTTGTTACCTTAATCTTGTCCTTCCTTTGTTTTTGCCTGTTCTTGTTGAAACGAAAAATCGATCGATACGAAAAATTTCGACTGCCAACATTTTGTCTTATTTCCCCTATACAACGCCTAGACAATCTGGATAAATTATAAAATCGAGGTTACGAGATAATCGAATTCTAATGTCGCATGTAACAAATTCATGCAATTAAATTTCCTTTTTGCAGTAAGGAAATTTCGTGAAGCATTGTACTAAGAGCACAAAATTCTATCTGAAGTCTGTCAGAGGGCTGTCAGCGTGCTGTCAGCGTGCTGTCAGAAGGCTGTCATCATTCTGTTGAAGTCAAAGCTATATCATTGCCCGCACTGAAAAATAATAGAAATTTCTGCCTAGCCGACGTATGATCGAAGATCTTTTGGTGCCGTTGATGCTGAAATTTTTACCAGAGGCTTCTGCCAATTCTTTTCTTGTGCATTTTTACAAAATATAATTTCATCGATTGAAATTGTGAGTCTGAAATGTTTTCTGAATCGAATTCGGTTTTCATCAGTCTGCAAAACAAATCAAAATGCATTGATATTATTCTAATTGTTATGAATGGTCGCGTACGACATGGTTATCGATCTTAATTCAGTTCCGTCACCTTTTTGGGGAATTTGATGCTTCCGGAAAATACTAATAAATGTGGGGAGCAACAGCTGCTTGTACAACCGACTGCCTAAGAGTGCTCATTAGGCCTTGTCTGCCGCTAACTAATACTAAAGCCTCGCAATTATTACCATTATTAGCCTTTTTCAAATTTCCCCTTTCTTTCTGATGTGCACTGTCGCATTGTGAAAAGTTTCAGTCTACTACTACGGCCATTAATAATAATTAATCTAATTGATGTATTGGAAAGCCAGACCCATGCTGTATTTCAACCTCTGCCTTAATGCTCGTGAAATAACAACACCCTGAGTTGGGTTTAGAAAGATAAACATTACTGCTGGCTGTGGGCGGTAGCTAATGAAATTTGACGCACACAACTCAGGCCTCATGTCACGTTCTTCATTATTTGAACAGGAAAAATACACGTGCATTCAAAATTCCATGATATGAAAATAGTGTCACAAACAGACTCCAAAAATGGGTTCATGAATGGCCGGTTCCGAAATGCATTTAGTAGCACACCAGCTATTCATTCACATTGTAATGCCACGTCACGATCCCCTTTTTCTTAAATATTTTTATGAATTAACATATTATCTATGAAATTATTCATATATGCATGTATGTTATCGAAGGTAATTTTTAAATACATTTAGTTTGTGTTTAATGATCCAATACTTGAATGCTACGAGGCTGGGGGCTGGCATGGAAAAATATACTCAATGGCAGGGAACTGATCAAGAGCATGCAGACGCAGCATATATGAACTCAATGAGGATGATTAAAAAATGCTTGAAATCTCATGAAAAATTTTTTATTGCTGCTACAAGGGCTATTTGCGATCAAGCGAATACGAAATGAAGAGCGGAGCTTGTTAGTATCCAACGATTTTTGGATATCAATTATTGAATTGACGGACACATAGGAAAGTTCAGTTCAAATCATCGAATTATTAAGCCGCATCGCATCACCTAATTCAACTTCCTGTACAGAGATTATTAGTTACTAGCCAAATTAATTGTATTTTGTCGTCAGAAAATATGTGAATACGAAATAGTGCGACGTCATGGTATCCCCATTAAGTCATAGTATTGCATGCAAAAATTTTTGTCGTCTTATTTTTATACACTGTTTCCGGTATGTCATTGCATGTCATGCAAAATTTTTTCCTCTATCAATAGTCTGGACTCTATACTAATATTTTTTACGTTCTTTGCTGAATCACACACGTTTTTATTTAACTAGCATTTTAGCCCTCGTGGCCCAGGATCGATAATCCTTGCAAATTAATTATCCTAATCCAACGTCACGAATCCCATCAATTACACGAAATTCAGTATAGTTTGCAACAATAATTAAGAATCAATTCCAAAAATTACATCGATGATTGCTGCCACCAATGATTTCAACGGGTTTCTATCGCGACTTTACCTCGCGCACGCGGTGTTTAAAATACAAGTCTCGATCGGGCTGGCTGAACTTGAACACTTGCAATTGCCTTCGTAACAATAAACAAAGCGTTTCAGCTTGGGTGTGTAGAACACGTAATCATCCTTAACTTTTAGCGTTCGAACCTCCATGCGTTACTTATAGGTCTTCAAGGAATTCGACGACATTCATCTAGGATGTAAAGAACGCGACACCTGCCGCAACTTCTAATATACGAACTTTCAATGCGTTACTTCAAAATTTGCTGGGAATTCGACGATTTTCAGCTAGATCCTAGCTAGTGTATTATTACCTCATTTGAGGTAATAAACAGTAAAGTTCCTTAAACAGTACAGTTAAACAGTACAGTTTAAAACAGTACAGTTCCTAGCTGCTAGAAACTGTAGAACGCGTCACTTACCTTAAGAGACACTTGTTTAGAGACACACACTCAAGGTCATGCTGCAAGCACCACCTCTGACGGCTGCCAAGCGCCGTCCACCAGCGACATCGAGAAATCAACTAAACTTCCCGAAACTAAACTAAATCAACCCCTTTCGGGTTGGGAGTGGAGAACGCACCTGCCTTAACTATTGACGTTTGAACATCAATTTCGCAAGTCCAGAGCGTTTCTTAAACCTCACAGAGCGCTTGGCTTAGCTCTCAATATTAATCCTAAGCTCGTTAAACGGAAAATTGTTGAGCAGACTAAGCGTGACGCAAATAGTCATTTTTCTTTCTGGAATGAAGAGCGCGGTGTTCTGGCGCTTTTTTTATAGGACTTCAAAAAAAGTATCAGCGCCTGTTAAAAAAGTAATGTTGGCTCATGTACTTTTTTCGTACTTTCATGTTCAACGCTAAAAATCATTTTCTAAATGCATTCAACCATGTATTTTGTAGCGATTTGAAAGCACAAATAGCGAGTAGTCGATTGGAAGTTGAAAGTACCACGATAGCAGTTATTGAATTTTACGCTATACTGCAACCGTTTTTTGAAGATGTACGTGGTGCGAAATCGTTTGTTACTGACTTTTTTCACAACTCTATCATCGAATCAATTATTTTTGAATGACAACTTGCAATGTGAATAATAATCCCTACTTCAGAAACACAACTTTCCAAATTTAACGAAAATTTTTTTTCATTAGGGAATTTCTGCTGTACTCGTAATTCTTTCAACTTCTAATAATAAGAACATAAGACAGAATACAAAATTAAAATACCTATTTCAACAACTCAGAATGCAAGAATACTGCAATTAAACTTTTTTTTCTGACATTTCCCATAAAATGACGCTCAAAAAAATGTTGTGAAATTTTTACCAACGTGCAATGCATTTTGAAAATTTGCCCGGTGTATTTTTCACCGAAATTCAAGCGGCAGTAATCAAATTAGTTGTCAAAATATTCAATCAGAATAAAAATGTATATTACTCCGAACTGCTATTAAACTTAAAATTACTTCAGGAAATAATTCTGATTCTAAGCGATTCCCTAACTTTGATGCTTCCGATTAAAAAAATCCTAACCTGTAATTGCAGCGCATGTCAAGCAGCGTTCCCGTTACGCCTGCTTTTGAACAATGAGTCTCAACGCGCAAGCACAATTGACGAAAATCAATCAGAGACAACAAATTCCTTCAGTTCGTTGAATGAAGGATTAGGAAATCTTCGTGAAGGACTATCTTCATGAAGAAGGATCATTTTCATGAATTAGGATTATCTTCAAAGAAGGATTATCTTCATGAAGAAGATAATCCTGCACGTGGAGTACGAATTGAAAGATACCAGAAAATCTCTTACGAGCTCAAAAGTTTGTCTCCCTGAGGGCAGCTGTTTCCCAGACATGTTTTGGTTTATGCAAGTCAATGTATAACTTCTGTTCCATAACTTCAATTTGAAATTCAATACAAAACAAAACACCTCTTAAGCTCAAATTTTAGTGGATTGTTTGTAACAACAGAGACAAAAAACTACCGAATTTGTCGCAAATTGCGTGTCTATAATAAAAATACTTAGTGATGCCTTATGCGCTTATTAAAGAGGTTCATTTGAAAATTATAAAATTTCTCAGAGAATTAATTTTTCAAAATCGTGAAATTCTTATTGAATTTCGGGATTAAAAAATGTTGTCGTGGTCATAGTGACATAAGCAGGACAAAAGCAATTTCACATCTTCGTAGGTACCAGAAGTAGCAAAAATTTTCCACAAACTTTTTTAGTTACCTACACAAACATTAAGAGGCAGATCGTATATGTGATATATTGTTTACACATGATTTCATGGTGGCAACCTTGTAGCATGTCTATGTAGTTACCACAGCTTTTAAATATTGCTACTTCCATGCTTAGTTATCAAATTTTTGACTCAGTTGCTACACAAAAATGCCGATGACACAAAAGTTTATAATACAGTTAAGGATGCGTCAAATAAAATGCAACTGCAAAATGATCTTGATAGTTTAGTTGACTGGGCTGATGCGTGGCAGCTGCGTTTCAATGCTGACAAGTGCAAAGTACTTCACCTCGGCAAGAACAATGAACAGCAAGCTTACAGCATGAGAAAACACGGTTGCAACGAGAGGGTTATGATTGAGAAGTCTTGCGTGGAAAAAGATCTTGGAGTTTGTGTCGACAGGGAGCTAAAATTTTATAGGCATATTGAAACGCAATTTAATACATCCAATAAACTGCTTGGGCTGATCAGACGCTCCTACGAGTACCTAGATATAGAAATGATGAAGCTGTTGTTCACCTCTGTCGTGCGCCCAAACCTAGAGTTTGGAAACGTTGTGTGGTCACCGAGACTTGAAAAGGACAAAAATTTAGTTGAGAGTGTTCAAAGACGTGCAACAAGGATAATACCAGGATTAAAGGGCAAGTCTTATGAAGAAAGATTGAAGATTATGAAGCTTCCCAGTCTCCGTTATCGTCGCCTGCGTGGTGACCTCATTGAAGTATACAAGTATACTCATGGTTTGTACAAGGTCCCAGAAGGATTACTAGAATTTGAAACAAGAACCAA